AGGATATTTATAGGTTCCTAGGTTTTATAAACTTTTACCACTGTTTTATCAATAATTTCTCAACACTAGCTGCCCCGCTTACCCAGCTTACTTAAAAGGATATCCCCTTCCTCTAAATAACTGCCTGTTAGAAGGCCTTTAACTATTTAAAGACAGCCTTTACTATAGTACCCATCTTATAACACTTCAACCCCTCACTATCCTATATAGTAGAGGCAGACTCCTCCAACTACTACTTAGGAGGGGTGCTATTATAAGAGGATAGTAAAGGAGTCCTTCGCCCTATTACTTACTTCTTAAAAAGACTGAGCCCAGCTAAATATAACTATAAAATTTATAATAAGGAGTTACTAACTATTATCTAATACTTTAAACAGTAGTAACCTAAACTAGAAGGAATAGTACATCCTATAAAGGTACTAAGCAACTATAAGAACCTATAATACTTCTATATTACAAAATAGCTTAGCTATAGATAAGCTTAATGGTCAGAGTACCTATTATGCTTCAACTTCAGAATTACGTACTGACTAGGCGCCCAGGGCCAAAAGCCCGACACCCTAATATAACACTCTCAGGACCAGCCTACTTAAGAGGAGGCCTACTATTTTCATCAGTAAATACTACTGCGACTAGAAATCTTTGACTTTAGGCTAATAGAGATAGACTAGTTAATTAAGTAGATTATTAAGGAGGAGTATACTAATAATGAATTTATCACTAAGGTCCATTACTAACTTAGTAAGGGTAAGCGCAAATTAAAACTGATTACTCTAGCCGAGTGCAAGGTCATTAATAACCGCCTATATTATAGAGGCCAAATAGTGGTCCCTAATAATAATAAACTAAAGATTAAACTACTTTAATATATATATAACTCTCCTATCAGGGGCCACCCTAGTTACTCCCGGACTCTGGAACTTCTATCACGCCATTATTATTGGCTAAAGATATATGAATCAGTAAGATATTTTATAGCTTCCTATTACATCTGCTTATAAGCAAAAGCCTGGAGGACTACCTATACCAGTATACTAAAGCCCTTACCTATATCTAAACAGTGCTAGCATAATATTTTAGTTAACTTTATAGTTAAACTACCTGCGTCCAACAGCAATATAAATATTATAGTAGTAGTAGATCGCCTGTCCAAACAGCAACATTTTATTAGATGTTCTAAGATCTCAGCGCCTGCAGTCGCCTAACTATTCCTCTATCATATATGGAAACTCTATGGCTTACCAGACATAATTATATTAGACCAGGGAAGCACATTTGTATCACTCTTTTAGAGACACCTATATAAATACCTCTATATCAACACCTGCCTATCAACTGCCTACCATCCTGAAACAGACAGCCAAACTAAACGCGCAAATGGGGAAATAGAGCAGTACCTCCGAAGCTTTATAGATTACATATAAGATAATTAGGATAACTAGCTACCTATAGCAGAATTTACTACTAATAATAGCTAAAATAAGATAACAGGAATAACACCATTTCTGGTAAATACTGGCTAACACCCGTGAATAGATTTTGAGCCACCCTCTAACAGCCTGCAGTCTCTAACAGTCAGCGACATTGACCGCTTTATAAGCCGGATATACAAACTAAACCAATACCTATATAACAAAATAGCCTAGGCCCAGGCTATCTACGCTGAAAAGGCTGATCGCAATAAATAAATAGGACCTAACTACCAGGTAGGCAATCAGGTTTAGCTAAACTTAAAGAATATATACAGCTACCGCCTAACTAAGAAACTGGACTGGAAGAATATGGGCCTATACAAGATTAAAAAAAAAGTGTCACCTTATATATATAAATTAAAGCTACCCAGCTCAGTATATATATAGCCTATAATTAATATATCAAACCTAATACCATTAACTAGCTATAAACCACTGCCTGGCCAGCAGCAGAAGCCGCCACCCCTAATCAAGATTAATAGAGAAGACAAATACCTGGTCGAACAGATCCTGGATGCATGAATCCGCCGCCACCGACTATAGTTCCTGGTTAAATAATATAGATATAATAATCCAGATAATAACACCTAAGAATCTAAAGATACTTTATTTAAAATAGCAGCTCTTATTAAGTATAAAGCATAAAATACATCCTATATTAAGCAATTATAACGCAAGCTCCAAGACTATAATAGCCTAACCTGAACCTGAACAACTAAGCCCAAATACCTGAACCTAAATAACTGAATCTAAGTACCTAAATCTGAATAACCAAGCCCAAATACCTAAACCTAAGTAACTGAACCTGAGCGCCCGAATTTAAACAACCGGGCCCGAACACCTGAACTGGAATATCTAATAATCTAGACCCAAACACCTAAGCTTGAACTCCCAGAACTCCCTCCCCAGGCCCCTCTCTGGAGGCTTCGCCAGCTAGGAGGGGGGTACTATTATAGGGTCACCCCTATAATACATAATTAGCACCATCCTATTACCTATCTAATTAAAGTAGCACCAATATCAGCTAATATGACCTAATATAACCCAACATTACCTAATATTAATTAACTGGACTCCTAAACTAAACTGATTTCCTAATTCAATTTCACCGCGCGCGCGCCCAAATCCCAATTAGGAAAGGTATGATAAGGCCCCCTTTATATTTTTAGTAAGAACTACTTTCAGGCCTTCCCTTCTTCATGCAACGTCTTAATTATTATACAATACTTTAGTACAGCATAACTGAATAGATAGTTGATAGCCTCATTAGTTTACCTCATGTGATAACTTGAGCAGATCACTTCTAGTGGTCCCGTGACAATAGTAATACTCCCGGATTCCTTAAATTTAGAGATAAGATATTTATAATAAAAAGAAAAAATTAAAGATATTTTTATTTTCCTTTCAGCAACCACTAAACCCTTTAAATACTAAAAGCTTAAGATAAGCTTATTAAGGAGGGGAATAGTATTATAAAATAATATATAACTTATTATATAAGTAATTATTTTAATTATTTTAATTATTTTAATTATTTTAAGTAGAATAATTAAAATAAGCGTATTAGCTAATAGTTAATAACTAGAGTGTTACTAATTAATAGAAGTAATTATTCTAATTATTTTACTAAGAATAAGCAGAATAAGTAAGGTAATAAGGATACTAAAATAAAGTCTATATAAATATCCTATTTCTACTAGCATTACACTTCTTCGTGATTTAACTATCTAGTTTATCTAATAATTAGTTTGAATATTTTCTTATACTCTTGAAGCTTAGACTATTCTAAGTTATAAATATAACTATCTTATTATATTCCTTCTATAATAAGCTCTTATTATATATTATTCCTCTGCTCTAGGAAGCTAAACCCTTCCGAAGTGGCTTACGTTAGTGAAGCTAGTCGGTATCGGGAAAGTATTCCTAACACCTTAGTTTATATTTATAATATATCTTTAGTCAATAAATCTAATATCTGCTGGTTCCTGTTCTTAATAGAATATATAAGGCAATATATTAATGAAAAATCTCTTTTAAAATTTTTCTTCTATATATTTTGTTTCTTCCTCTCCTTTTATACCCCTTAAGATTAAGGGGTTCTCCATGCCATATTCGGTTAGTACTATCACTCCTTCCTTTTTGGTATATCGTACATTGCTGTGTACGGACATAAAGTCCTTCTCAAAAAACATGAAACTTGGCTTGCGCGCAACGCCTTTCAGTACGAGGGTTATAGATTAGGTGTGGATACTAGGCCCAAATCATAGGCTGAAGGCCGTGTCCGGGAAGGTTTGCTGCCGTAGACTGAGAATAGGGGATTATAAGCCAGTATACAGAGACGGGTCGAGTTGTGTCCTGTCATGGTTGCAACATGTTCCCAGGTTGTGCATAATAGACGATCGTTCACCGGTAGTACTTTCTCGGCATATCTGGCTGTCTTGATCATCCTAGTAGAGCAATGCCCTAAGACCAATGCAGATCAAAAATTTCAGTCTGCCTTTTAAGGAAAATCGGTCCCTTGCACGCTTGTTCCCATACCAGCATGTCGAAGCTGTTCCAATAAGGCTTTCTCTGGTCGCTCCCCGGTCGGTTGTCCAAATCTACCGATCTTCACCGGTATCACGCTCCCTGTGGTAAGATTGTATTCCAGAGTCAAGACCAACAGGCGCATAACCAAGAGGTGATTGCACTCCTTAGTGCTCGTGATGGTATACTCACTGGGGCGTGGATGAGTTATCTCCTTTCGCAAAAGTTTGACAACTGCAATCATATTCCATCGCATGGTTCTACAGGTGCTAGCAATGCTAAGTACGATGTTGCGGAAACAAGATTCTCCGTGTTCATAGTCATCTAGACATGGTCGCAATGCGCGCAAGAAAATTTCCTGCTGCATCTCCGAGGGTAAATCAAAGAGGGACATTGACTTTGTGGTGTAAAAAGGACGAGTAGATTGACGATTCGGGGGCTCTTAGTTAGTCATAGCAATGCGGTGGGCTTCGTGGATCCTTCCCTTCTTATTTCTGTTTCGCGAAGGCTGTAGGTCTCTAATAGAGTTGAGTGGAAGAGAACGGACAAGTTTCTCGAGGCTATCTTAAGCGTGCCAGTGCTGAAGATGCTATGTTTTTAGTTTTCCACCTTGTTGCCTAGTGAAGAAGAGTCGTGGTGGGGTAGGAAAGGCGACTTGGTGCCTATCAGTGAAAACAGGTCTGAACAGTTTGTGGGATTCCTAAGAGGATTAGAAGTCATGCAGTATTAAAACAGACCTGTTTTAAATGTATTAGAATCAGGAGGTAGCTCAAGGTTTCAATTGAATTTCTTGGTGAAATGCCACACGGGCCAGACTAGATACGGCTCATCTCTAAGGGATATATTTTAATCAATGCCTAGACACGAATTTGGTTATAATGCTTTAAGCACCATAACAATTGCTTAGAAATCATCATGACTATGACAAACGAAAATAATTTATTGATGGTCCTTAAAAGGGTCGACAGTAACTTGGGCCGTGCATTTCAGCCTCACCCGCAACCGCACGGTGCCTCGCCCCTCTTGAACACTACCATCGATGAAGATTAACCCCCCTCAGCTCACTTAAAGACCCGCGCGGGCATTTTGCGAAGAATTGAGTCGGAAGAGATACATACAATATTATGACACAGGTGCATATATAAGAAACCCTTCGTACAGCGACCTCGCCAGGGCCATTACAATGTTCAGCAATCTCTCGACTATCGTACAGAAGGCGGCGCAAACTGCTCAGACTTTCATTGATCCGACACTGAGCTCATCCACTGACCGAAAGCCGTCTAAAGCCTCGTTGTTTAGGTCTCAATTCAGACTCCCAGAGTCTGAAAACCCGCTCCAAGAGATTACGGCCGAGTTGACTCTATCACCACATCATAGTATCAGGAACAAGGAGGACAATGGTTACGATGGACAGAGAAAGAGCGGGAATATTTACGTGGGCAAGCTGCACTTATCTGAGCATTTCATATGCTTCTCTACGCAGGCATCGAGTTTTTCGAGCACCGCGAGTACTAGTGCAAGCACGTCGTTCATGGGCCAGACCCATGGGATGGGACCTTCAGGAAACGGCTTCACGCTTCCTTTATGCGCCATACGGCGTGTAGAGAGGCTGCCGAGTCACACAAACGCGTTCGCCCTCTCCATCACCACATCCAACGGTTACAATGTCCCTTCTACGCCCAAGGCCTTAATTTCACCACAGAAGTTTACCCTGCAACTCGCAGGCAGCAGACAACACTGCGATAGATTCTGTGATAGTCTTAAGAAAGGTCTTCGATCCGGTATGAAGGACGTAGAAAACATGAAAAAGGTAGTCTGTCTTTGCTATTCTGAGTTCCAGCTCACAGAAGACTCGGGAAAGGCATCGAAAGGGAAAGAATTGGTGGATATAGAGAAACCGGAGAGGGAGCCTCCGGATACGGGTTTAGGATCCATATTCAAATATCCGGGTGATGCGCGGAAGCTGCGCGATAAGGCTAAGATGAGGCTGTGGAAGGAATACATGAAAGAGAACGGACGCAATGTCACTCTAATACGACAGCCAACTTTTCACAAATTAATAAGAGTCGGTCTGCCCAACAGATTGCGGGGGGAAGTATGGGAGATTACAAGTGGATCGATGTACTCACGCCTTCAGAATCCGGACATGTACACACAGACTCTTGCGAAGTTCTCGGGAAAGTCGTCGCTTGCTATCGATGAGATCGAGAAGGACCTAAACCGAAGTTTGCCAGAGTATCCAGGGTTTCAGAGCGAAGAAGGCATTGGCCGTTTACGTCGAGTCCTTACTGCATATAGCTGGACAAATCCAGAGGTTGGTTACTGCCAAGCGATGAACATTGTCGTTGCAGCTCTTCTCATGTATGTCTCATATCTGAATTTTATGGACCTTTGATTGACAAGTTTAGTTACACTTCGGAAACACAAGCCTTCTTCTTACTTTCTGAGCTATGTAACCGGTTGCTTCCTGGCTATTATTCCACAACCATGTACGGCACACTACTCGATCAACGAGTTTTTGAAGGTCTTGTAGAGAAGACTATGCCAATCCTCTGGGACCATCTCCAGAAGTCTGATGTTCAGCTTTCTGTGGTGTCCTTGCCATGGTTTCTGTCGCTGTACATAAATAGCATGCCGCTCATCTTCGCTTTCCGTATTTTGGATGTCTTTTTCCTTGAAGGACCCAAAGTATTGTTTCAGATTGGCCTTGCGATTCTCCGAATCAACGGCGAGGAATTGTTGGATGCTGCTGATGATGGCTCATTTATCTCTGTGCTGAAGAATTACTTCTCTCGGCTCGACGAGTCAGCGCATCCGAAGTCTGAGAACGCAAAGCTGCGTGCCGTGACTAAATTTCAAGAATTGATGGTAGTGGCATTCAAGGAGTTTTCTGGGATCACGCAAGATACCATCGCAAAGCAAAGAAGCCAACATAAGGAGGCTGTATTGGAGAGTATTGAATCTTTTGCCAAGAGGACGTCGATTCGGAATCTTGGCCCGGAATCTAAGAAGCTAAGTCCAAATGATCTGGGGTTCTTGTATGACAGGTTTTATGATGTTCTTTATGACCGCCAGCAAAGAGCTCAGATGATCAAGGATAACAACAGCAGGCGAGCGAAAGCAGGTCGCACACAGGCTCTCGAGGTAGTGTCAGGAACACCTAGCGAGGAGACTCCTGAAATGGGCCGTATAGCGCTGGGCAGCAGCGTGACACATATGGATTATGGTGCATTTCGCGAGTTTATGGTTGGCGTGGCGAAATGGGCCATAGCAGATCATCAAAGCCCGAGCAAGCTTGAAGCGGAGAAAGATTTGTCGTATTTCAGTGGCGCAAGGAGTAAGACTACATCACTTTCGCCGTGGGGTCCGGGACCAGACCCTGCAGACGACGAATTTTTGCGCAGGCTATTCAGAGCTTGGGACACAGAGGGAGAGAAGCAGCTCACCCTCCAGAATGTCGTCAATGGCATGGCAAAAATTAAGGGTGCAAAAGATATCATGCTCATTATTGAATACTTCTTTAGCATCTTTGATGACGACAAGGATGGCAGAGTCGATAGAGAAGGCATGCTCCGCATGTCTGAAGCACTGCTTTTTCTGGGAAGAAGAGGCTTTCAAACTCCTATCCCAAGTACTCCTGCCAGCCCTGCCCAGAATCATAGCAATGTCGGCCCTGAACGAAAAGTATTGTCTGACGAAGAGTTCCTGGCAGCCGTCAGCAGCTTTACCCGGCGTTGTTTCGAATACGCTGACACGGACACTTCTCATGCATCAGCAGCAGTGACAAGGACGAGTGAAGAGCCGCCGACTTTAGAACTCGAGTCTTTTACCATTGGCGATGAGAACGAAGATCTTGTTGATCTTGAAGTTTCTTCACCAACTTCATCGAAGAAACGCCCGGCGACATCTGAAAGTAATTCTTCACACCCGCTAGAACTCAATCTTCCACCAATGCCCTCAGAGGAAAAGCCTAATACCCATCGTGCCAATGCAGCACTTGATCCATCAAAACCTCTCTTTATCACTCTTCCTACCTTTCGCATGCTTGTACTTGCCGACGAAACGTTGGAGCATTTCTTTGACGTAGAGTTCCCCAACTCCTTTAAACTCGCAGATAGTCCGCTTCCAAATACAGCAAGTGCGGCAAATTTGACGACATTCCAGAATATTGGGCGTCGCGTCAGTCAAGGCGTTGCAAACACAACGTCTGCGACGAGAGATGTTGCTATCCCTGGAGCAGGAGGCATAGTACCGCCTGGCCGCCAAGGACTCCGCGGCATGCTTGACAACATTGTCACGGATGGCATGCGGGTCGCATCTGAAGTGCGACGTCGAATGGAAGAGGCGCAACGGGAGCTCGAAAGAGCCAGTGGGGGACAGCAAGGTTCGCATGATGACGATGATGACGACGATGATGACGACGCAGATCGAAAATCGGTATTCACAAAGGACAAAGATATCTTGGAAGGCGCCGAAGCGGAAACAATCGAATCTAGTAGCAAACCTACCAGCATCTTACAACTAGAGAACGCAAATGAGAGGAGTAGGTCTGTTAGCGAGACAAGCGGGGAGAAGGAGGGTATTGTGGAGTTTGAACGGTAGCCGGAATTTGGCATGCGCGTTATTCTTGTTCGTGTTTCGGACTGTAGTTTGAACGACTAGATTTGATCAAGCACATGTTAACTACACGATCACCTTTGATAGTGCCACTTCCTCAAGATATCTTTGACGAGAGTAAGCACGAATCTAAGGCTTGACTTGTTCAACATCTCTTGATAAATTTGAACGTGTCATTTTTCAGTTGTTTTTGTGGATTTCAAGCGCTGGTTTCTTAAGCTGCAAGCTACTTGATCTATAAAAGGATCTAGTACCTTCAGTATAAGCGGCTGCAAACAGCTCCATAGCAAGGGCTTTATTGAGGCTAAGTTGCTTTCTTGGTTTCTCGATATACTTTGCTCAGTACTTAATAGAAGATCATTGCGCGTAAAATGAGTGTGGCCAATTTGTCCCCCGAAATGCGAAGACTGTGTTGCCCAGTTCAAATAATCTTATTATCGAGACAAAAGTCTGGATTTGTATGACAATATTTAGCCCGTTCTGAACAATTCCATCATAGTTGCGAACAAAACTATTGAAAGAGGAACTAAGCCGCATCTCAATACTTAGGCTTTGGACGATTCTATTTCCGTAACTCTGCCTATGGTGTATGGAGTCAGGTAGCAACTCCAAAACTTATTCATGATAGAACACAAGTGACTACTATATTGTTTGATCCTTCGGAGAAAAGATGAAAGAACCTGTCAGAGTCATAAAAATGAGCTTTCTCTTGGAAATCGGTAGCTGGGCTTATGGTCGTTGGTTGTGACGTGACAAAAATATGATTCGGCATTTAAGTTCAATATCTAAGTGAGAAGACGTTTACAATAGTGTCAGTTTGGAAACACTCAAGGCCAGTTAGAATGCTTTGATAGAAGAGTCTTAGATGCCCAAGAGAAGGTGTCAAAGCACTGATTTGGTCAGTATGGGAGTTCAGCCGCAAAAGCGATCGTTAAGTTCGAGAAGAGGAGGAAACTTATAGGGTTTGTTCACGTGTAAAGCGAAGTTGAATGAGTTCAGAGCAGAAGACAACCGCATCCCAAGTGATCAATGCGAATCAACGACCATTGTCAAAAATCAAGAGGGTGAATAGCGCTGATTCAACATTCGACTCGAACTACATCGGAAAGAGTGTAAATGTTGCAAACTATCCAAAACTCAATAATTCAGCCACCGCAAACGTGCAACCTCAGATTCTAGGGGAGTGATCTTGTGGACTCTCTCTCCATATCAAAAGCGCTCAGGGCATGCAAAGGCCACAAAACCAAGATCCTTTATATCGAAATCAACAAACCGAGTACTGGGTAAATATTCTTCCGTAGGGGAAAAGATCAACGTGCAACAGATCCCAAGGACAGAAGGAGATAGCGCATAAAATATGAAGCAATATTTGCATGGTGACAGCCTAGAAGCGGGTATTGAGATGAAGTCTTGCAGATGAGGAATGCAGATGACGATGAGAGTAGATACGACTTGTCTGTACGCCACCGTGTTTTTGACGACAACCCAAGTAATTTAGATGAGCCAAACAAAGAGGAACGCGAAATGGAAAGAGAATATCTGAGCAACGTGACAAAGATATCACCATACTACCGAAAATTCCAGGTGAGTGGATGTCAATGCTATCGGCAACAAGACTGAATCTTAGGTCGTTCTTTCTCCTAATTCAATTTATGCCACAGTCGTTTCAAGATCGCCATGTGGGAAAAATGCGTAACTTCCAAATGACTAAACAAAATGGGGGAAGATTTCGTGCAGAGATATAAAAAAAAAGAAAAAAAGTGAAGCTGGCCCCGAATCAGTGCAACCAATATCAGGCTAGCAGTGTGTAGAAAATGCTTTTCTTGACCTGGATGAAACCCCGTGATGAGGTTGTAGATGCACTTGTTGACCGCATCACTCTTTCTGTGTCTTGCCTGCATGCATGTTAAGTTAACATGAGTATGGATATGGTGTTTGACTATAGAAACATTTTGAGCACGGCTTCGCTCAATGTTCGATCAAGGTAAATACAAGATAATGTGAAGTCCTTTCCATGACGAACTGGGACTTTAGAACAGCAATGGAGTTTTTGAATTTTTCAAGTCTCCTCCGTTCTTTTCTTGCGCCTACTTTCTTCCAAAAGTGGCTCTTCTCCTGATCTGTGAGCCCTTCTGCTCAGCGTGCGTGTGAGTTTTGATGTCTGCAAGAGTCAGCATGTGATCGTCTTTAAACACGTTCAAGAAGCCTGGCGATAGCAAGAAGAGGGGTACAAACAACTGTGGCTGAGCGCTTGATTACGGATCCTAGGAGCACTGGGCCGCTCGATTTGAGGCCTGTCTCAGACACACTTCTCTCACGACGCATGTTGCCCAGAATTTGGTCGAAATCTGTCGGCGCAGACGATGTGGGTGTCCCTTGGGATTTTACTCGCTCAGCAGTTGGTGAATTCTTGTCGCTGAACATGCGGCTTTCTCCAGGCGGCCCAGCGCTTACTGCAGAAAGATGTGAATATGATTCATACATAGGGTCCATTGACTTTCATACTTCTTCGCAACTTTCCATATTGCGAGCCTTCTGGTCCTTCCCAAAGACTACCATCGCTGTGATCGTAAAATTGGTAGCACTGCCTGTCGGCATCATAGCCTATTCTCACGACGCCCTCGGGCAGACGGTACTTATCATCATCCTTTGACCACGACGTCATGGGGTACTGAACGTTGATTTTTCAAGAGTCAGAAAGGTCAGAGAGATTAAGGGACGAACTGGCTAAGCAAAAATTGAAATGTATGTGCTCGTCATGTCCTACAATGTGGCTGTGTAAGTTCCTTGCGGCCTCATTCGTATCTCGTGGTGCGGAGCTGATCTGGCTCTTGGGTGTGCATAATGTGCACATGAAACGAGTTACGAAGCATTTCTTGGCTTTTGCGCGATCAATGCAATTAACCAATGCGAGACGGGGCCGCTGCCGGAAATGCCTTGTGCCCTGCCAAATACTTGACTCTTCGCAATTTTGACGACGAGGCAATGCGTCGCTCCCAGAGATTGCACTTCTGCTGACATGCACGTTCTAGTTTTAGTGGCGACCAGTAAAACTTGACTTGCTGCGTTGATAAAATTGTCAGACCAGACGAACTAAAGTACCAACATCAAGACTGAACTACGCTACGGTCCTTTTCCAAAAAGATCTGCGTACCAAAGCGCAAACGTGACTCATTATTCATAATTTTGACAAACTGCTTCGAAAAAAAGGCCAGATCACCAGAGATGGCGCTTTGGGAGGTGTCGTAGGCTTGCTCGTGGTGTACGGGTTGTAATGATCAAGATTTGGGACGGGAGGCATTTTCAAACCCAACCCCAGACGTGGCATATCTATCCAAAGCCTGAGGATTGTGCCCCCCCGGTTCGCTTGCACATTGCACTGTTGAGTTTAGTCCATCATGGAGGCCTGAGCTTGTCGATCATTTATTGGGTCAACCAAAAGTTGAACCATTCTACAATCCCTCGATAACTCTGCTCTTTTACATATTTCTCGTACGGATCATCGAGATTACACCTTACGGCAAAACCATGATTGACTCCTTGAAACAGTTGCACATGATATTTCTTGCCTTCATCCTTTAAGATATCTTCCGCCCTGCGTCGTTTGTCTGCTGGGAAGGCGTGGTCGTTCTCTGCGCAGCTAAGCATCAGAGGTCGTGTGATGGCTTTGAACTGCTCTTCAGTCAGTGCAGTTGGATGCGCAAAAGCTCCTGCAGAGGCGAGCCCGTTTAAAGATATCGCCTCCATTGCGTATGGAGCCCCAAAGCAGTATCCGACAGCTGCGAATTTTGTTGAGTCCTTGGAATATCTCGACGCTATCGCTTGCATCCACTTTGGACATTGCTTTTGAGCGTATGACGAGTGCCGTTCTCTCCATGCTGCTCGATCGAATGCGGGATCCGTGGTCTTGTCATCTTTGTCCTTCTGATGCTTCCAAATGGGATCCTTATCATGTTTAGCATTCTGTAGATGTTGCAGGCGTACCCAGTTGTGCTTACGCCCCGAAAGTAATCAATACCGAAGACGCTGTAGCCTGCGTCGGCAAAAGCGTCCATAAGCAGCAGCGAATTGTTGTAGAAACCATGGATATCCGGGAAGTAGAAGAGTACGTGGCCATTGCTTCTCCCAGGCTGCGGATATGTTACGTATGTCGGCGTGTCTTCGATAATTTCAATCTTGCCACGACTTTCACCTTCATGAATGTTCCCAAGCAAGCAGTGGCTGCAGAAGTCTGATGCTATACGTTTAACCTCCGTTGAAGCCATGATATTCTTTTCTAAAAGAAAGTTGTGTGTTGAATATTCGGACGCAAGCGATTCTAAGTTGCTTGCTCGTGGCGCTTTGGGGAGGAGATGTGATTTGAGCAGTCCAAAAGTCGCGTGCCGCTATCGCCTTAACTTGACAGAAAGTCACTGCGGACTTTGAGAGTTTTGCTGCAGAATCCAGAGCGTAACAGTAGTGCTCTGAAGGAGGGTCGGACGTTTGATAACATTTCGCTATGGATTCTGAATCACTCGGCCTTCATAATCTATTTTCCAAACAGGCTTTCCCCGTTAATGCTGGAGCGGGACCCTTGTCCTCAAATTCGGACAAGGGCAGGCAGACGCGAAGGTGTCAGCAGAGCTCGATGCCTTCGCGCGCCTTTGCTAAAGACTTATGCCGAAACCACACTCCTGTTGTTGCACAGATGCACTTCTCGAGGGATATCATTCGCCAAAAATTTGGCAGCAGAGGCTTGTATTTGAATTTGGGATGTTATCTGTGGTTGCATCATGCTTCATCATATTGCCAACACTTCACACCAGCCAGCTGCAACTAAGCGATACACCCAAGACAAAGGCAATTTTAATTGTTGTCTGCAGAATAGAACAATGGTATTTGAATGTCCACACAAATTGACAATGACTTGCGGAGTCACAATCATACCGTAAGTATATAGTCTCCGTCATGCAATACCTCAGTTGGATCGCGCTGCAGCTTTTTTCGTGGCCTTCAAAACATCAACCTTACCATTTGCTTGCTTGTAGCATCATATAAAAAGCCCACAGAGTGCTCTATCAACATATTCTAAACGATCGCTCCCGTCAAGCTCCTCTCTGATCCTTGGAGACTTATCGCCAATCGAAATGTACGAAGGTCAAACGCAATCGCTGCCATGGGGTATGCTCGGTGTCTGGCTTAAGGTCACTTTCCGCTTTCTTCAGTTTGTGCTTGGACTCGTCATCTTTGGTGTATATTGCGCCGATATTGTCAACGCAAAAGAGAATTATGCCAGCCCATCCGCAGCATGGATACTTGCAAGTACTCTTGGGGGCCTCAATGCTGTCTCTGCATTGTTGTACCTTCTCCCCTTCTTCCACTCTTACCTTTTCTTTTGGTGGGACTGGATCATCGTTACCTTGCATGCAGGAATCATTGGAGTATTCGGAAAAGCATTCATCGCCCACAAAACACCTGAACAAAACCCCAAGGTGTTCAAAACGCTGGGTCCGGACTTTGCCCGAGAGCGTTCAACTGCTTATGTTGATTGTGGGAGCGGGATCCTATGGACGGCCACTGCTGTGATGTCAACAGTCATTTACTTGAAAGTCAAACGTCTGAAGAGTACTGATGGATCTTGATTTGAAGATGGAGGACAGGCTGACGCATATGCGGACAGAATCGTATGGAAGGAGCTAGTGAGGGTCGCGTCATATTAATGAGACTTGTATAAAGACGGGGAGTAGTATAGTTCAAAGCATTACAGGGACTTCTTTCATCATAGCAGTAATTGCACTTGTAACCTATCTCGAACACTTCATGGTGAATTGTCCTTCACGTCGCATCATTCGCAAGCAGATCTTCCACAGCCTTGACCTTCATGGCAAATGTTTGTGTCTTATCGGTCCGTGTTCCAACCCGGATATCACTTTGTATCCGAACGACACCTTTTTGATGCAAGAGGGCGTGGCACTGACCGATCACAGCCATGCACTGATCCCATGAACCCTCTACAACCTCATCAGCCCTTGTTTTGTGTGCAGTTGAAAACAATCTTACCAATTGTGGTCCCTGCAGAATGCATCGAAAAGTTCAATCCACTCTTCTTCAAAATTCGTTGCACCTCAGCAACTTCTTTGCTGACTGACGCAGAGGCAGTACCAAGAGGGATAAGACAAAAATCTGCTATGCAATGCGCAGGTAAATCGATGGCCGATCGTAGAGAAGAAGCAGCGGTAACATCGTCTTTACTTGATACATTGGAATGCTGAGCATGCTCTGAAGCCATTTCGACGAACCTATTTTTGCTTAACCAGACCGAAGGTTGCGAGTAGGTGTCCAGATCCACGAGGCCGAGGAAAAAACATGATGATGACTAAGCCGAATCGAAATTCGAAATTGCAGTTGTTTAGGATTTTAAACATTTTCAAAGGGTGCACGCAATTCAAAATCTAGACTTTCGAATTTGTAATTTTGAAAATTACTGAAATTGACTTATTCAGACTATAGTACGAAGGGTATCGCGAGAGCACATGATCCATAGAGCACTTCACATTCCATCGCTGATCGGAATTTTTAAAGGATGACCGCGAGCAAGAGCGGGATGGCAAAGATGGACATCATGATATACACAGACCATGTCATCGCGGAAGATTTCGCAGCTGATGCGACGCCACCACCAGATGATCCTAAGGTCCCGGATGTGCTAGTGGCCGTGGCAATCGCACCAGTTGTAGAGCCTCCAGCAGATTTGCTGGCAGCGGCATTGATAGCACTAGCTGACGCGCTTAGAGATGTTGCGGAAAGTGGTGGGGCTGGTGGCTCATAGGTAGCTGTGAGCGCTTCGAACGAGGACTCTGCGTCTGCCGAGGCTGTTGCATAAAAGCTGGTTCTCGTGGATGTAGTCACGTAGGTTGATGTGACTGTAGAGAGCTGGATGGCGTAATCATACTCATAATAGTAGCTATAATAATACCTACATACGGATAAGTGAACGTGGTGACTCATCAGGCAAATAGTCAGACATACCAGGTAATGTAGTAATAATAGTAGCTGAATTCGCTGCTTCCAGTCGGCGCTGCGGTTATGGTTGCGGCTGTTGGACTGGATCCACTGTTTCCGCTGGAGCCGCCACTATCTGAACCTCCTCCGGGGCTGCATTTGCCGTTCGAAGAGTTGCAGGTGTAACTGTCAGGACAGCAGCCGCCATACTGGTCGAGACAGCAATGTTCACCTAAAGCACATGCGCCGTCGCCATCAGAACAGCATGTAGAGGTAACATCCATACATCCACCATTGCAGCATGCCTCAAAGGAGTAACAGTATCCACCTCCATCACAACAGTGGTCTGAGCTGGATGATGCACATGTGCCAGACGGGCAAGTGTCTATCCGAATTGAAAGTTAGCCCTGCGCATTCACGTATCGTTAACTCGGGAAGCTGACGCACAAATACATGACTGTCTCCTAAAAAGGCTCAGTAAATCCACGCTTCGCTTGCTGATACCGGTACTGTGGTGCGTTCTATCTATGTCTTGTGCGAAGGCTTGTGTTGTCACGAGCGCGAAGATTGCGCACATGAACCAGATGCGAGACATGATTCGTAATAAGTCTCGAAAAATTACACGTTCACAGCGATGATGGAAGTGGTCCAGATCCGACTACTGTTCGAGTCGATCTCCTAGATATATATACCAATTCATATGCACCGAGCTTTCCGCCTTCAATCTCATACTTGACCGGTCAAAGCACTCTGTGCGGCTTGCAGCCTTTCGCGTGTAGCAAAGCTCTTTCTAGACGGCCCAAAATCGCGCATGGATACGAATAGACTTGTAAGTTCTCAGTTAGCATCTTAAGAAGACCCCTGAGCGGGTTCATGGTTGTCCCGCTTGAGATACGAGCTTGGCAAAAGTTGCCAAGGCTCTGAACGCCTGGCAACTGGGGAGGCTGTAATTTGATGAACAAGATAATAAGTTGTCAATCGACGGCCCCCCGTACTTTTGCCCTCGCTCGTAGTAGGGACTCCGCGGTAGCAAAGAACCTGTGCATCGAGTGTGAGAGCTATGTTGCAGATCAAATCGAGTCGCCGCGCTTTTCCTTCACTTTCACAGAATTGCCGTTCGACATTCTAGTACATCTGACTTCACTCTCTAAGAATCGATGTTGGCTCTTGTTGATTAGCGCGATTCGATTGAAAAGTTACGCTTGGGGCTTTCATTGATTGTCCTTCGTTAATTGTCAAGCAAGAGCGAATGATCGGGTGGTGTACTTGATCCTATTTTTAAACTTCCTTGAGTGGAGGCCGAGAAAAACTCAGGCTTGTGCCTTGCCGTAGGGGAACATGCAGGCCAATCACAGAGAAGACTCGACCCTGTCGAGGTCGCTACCATCCGCTTCCCAGCACATTTGCTTCTTCTAAACCTATCGGCCAGTCTATGTTTTTAGAATGCGGCTATAAAACGGCAGAATCCATGCGTTCGCTACGGGTTTGGATCCTTTGATCGAGGGCCACCGCTCAGGCGGTTTTGGCAAGCGTGTTTTGTCTAGCAGTTTTGGTGGTACTCATCAAGAGCTGTAGGACCAGACTGACACAGTCGGCTGTTCTGTATTCCACGATAATTAGACGATAATCTTTACTTTAGATTGCCAGATCCCACGGTTGATACCGGGATCATTCAAGGAGCTGATGCAACGAGATTGCAAGGTTCAAGCACAGTCGTGAACAAGACCATTTTTGACCAAGGGACTTTCAAAATCCTCAGTAAACTACCAAGCTTCCCATACTGCATCAGGCAACACCGTCCGCATCAGTTCCCAGTGCCTGACCGCAGATCGACGATGATATTTCTCTATGATTGCCTTATTCCCTCTCCTTAAGATAGACCTTTCATCCGGAAAGTCTTTTCCGACCACACTGTCAATGCTTATCTCCAAGTTCTTCGCTGGTGGTATGAATTCCCTTCGTGACAAGCTTCCCATCCAGTCTGCTTCGCTACCTTCTCTGAATGTCAACGGCCGCAATCGCGACTTAGTACAGAAGACGACCATGTTGATAAATGTATGTGCGGGGCTATTTGATTCGGGGGGAGAGTCCCGAAATGCTCTGCAAGTTGGAAAAATGGAATGGATAGTTGCCAGAACAATGCGTAGTGGTGGCAAGGTGAGGTCACCAGCATAATTGATGGCTACAACCCCCTCATCCTTCAGTATATTGCTTATGCCGTGAAGAAATTCGAGAGTAAAGAGTTCTGTTGGCTCGGCGCCACCAGTGAAGACATCGTGGATTATATAATCATAGCTCTTGGGATGCGTGATTGCTTGTGACTTGACGAAGCTAGCTGCATCCTCTAATGCAGTAGTATGGTTACCTGGTAGATCAAAGTATTTAGTCGCGAACTCGTGGACCACAGGGTCCAGTTCCACCACCGTGGTATTTATTCCGTGGTAAATGAAAGCTGCAGTAGAGGTGCCTGTCCCGAGTCCGCTGCATATGTGTTATTGCGAGAACCAGAGAAATTAGAGACTGTGCTCACATGAATAAGGCATTAGCCTCACTATCCTTTTGTCCGACGCCTTCCACTAACCGAACAGATTCAAGCATGGTAAAAACAGAGTAAATAGTCTCGCGTTTTATTTGTCCTTGGGCACGTCTCTCATCATTGACAAGCCATTCACCGCCCAGCAAGCTGTGATCGCATCTTAGGACGCGAAATTGATTGACGTTATCTTCAAGCACAGAGATATACCCTGTCAAAGAGTCTCGCCGTTCCAGCAATGTGTAGTTGTATATTGCCAAGGTTTTGTTCACCAACTTATTTGTTGCACCAGAGTAATGGTGCATGTTTCCGTACATGGTATGCAATATCCCCGGGATGTTGATGAGTAAATAAGGCGTTCGTGCGAGAGCGGCGTAGAATGACGCGATCAGCAAGTTCAATCCGGATCGTGACATGAAGTCCGCTTTACCAATGGTTCTGGAAATCAAATCGGTCGAAGTCCTCTCAACTGTCGTGAAAAAAATATAAGAAAACGCCGGTCGTATGCCATCAGCGATTGTCGGGGGAAGATGGGACAAGTCTAATTCCTCTAGCACGATTGAAGTCGCAATGCAGGCCATGAAAAGCAAAGGATAATATGAAAGAGCCTCCGTGATCAAAGGTCCAAGTTCAGCTCCAAATCGGCCGCTCAAGGGGAACAGAGCCCATTGTATGATTGGGATATAGTAAGCAATCACCGGGAGATACACCATCATATTCGAAGGCATATACTTTCGTGGGGACAGATTGGTGACCACGAACGCTACCAGCGGAATTATGGCGATTGCTTTCTGATGGTATATAGCCGACGGTATGGAGCCGTAGACTGGAGAAAGATTCGATTGTGAGACAGGCGAAGCGAATGCAGCCAGACCCATGAATGCAATTGCAAGACCAAGAGTCTTCCAAATGGGTCTCCTTGGCGTAGTCTTTTTACTCCCACGGGTTTTGTTCGTCATTATGTGTGTTGTTCGGGTGTTGTGTGTTTGGATAACAGTTTAATTCGGCTGTCATCAGAAGCTACGGACTTCACCTCTATTATTATAAACACACTGCTAATAGGGACAAATTGAAGATGCTGAAAAAGAATCCAAAAGTTGATGGCAGTGGAATTAAGAAAAAGGGATTGTTTAGTATTATGTGAATGCTATTTGTTCTCATACATGAAACTGGCTCACACTACTTGAAACGGCTCCAGCGTTTCCGTGCATCCTTGATGTGGCGTTGGGGTGGCGCATGCCCGTTCTGCAGACCATCTTGGATGTTTTCACTCCACTGTTTCTCTATCACAAAGTACCCAACAAAATGCCTTATATCTGGCCAAAGGTAGTTACGATAATGGATTCACAGGACCGTCAAAGTCCCCCCGAAAATGCCGCAAATACAGAAGGCTCGTTAACCTCACGAACAACGGATAGAGTACGCGTAAAGAACAGACGGCTACGTTACTTGGAGCTGCACCCTGAATACTTCGGCCCATCCTTAGAACTTGCAGATCCGCTGATGTATGATCGCCTGATAAGACGGTTTCAGTCATCTGAAGAGCGTGAAGCAGAAGGAAGGAAGAAGGGCTATTCCGGAATTCTGGAAGCCGATTTGTGGAGAGCAGAGGCTAGGCTTGATGCACTCCATAACCCAAATTCGAGTTCTGTATTTCAGTACAGGCGAGGAGCAAACGGAGAGGTATTAGTAGAAGAGCAAGATGACGTTCCTCAAAGCAAGGAGGAAGGCTTCAGAACATGGAAATATGAGATGGAGATGAGGTTTCTTCGCGGCGACGATGACGACTTCGATTATGATGCCGTGGACAACAATGAATTGTTCGATGATAAGGCAGAAGAGGAAAGAGTAGAGCTAGATAAGTATCTTGCTGATGAGGAGCCCGAGTTTATTCTTGAACATGGACAGGAGCCGCAAGGAGAGACCGGCATCCAGGATTTTTAATAACGGTTCTCTCTCAGCTAATTAAGTAGAAAACATCGATTGGAAACCAAGACATATTCTACCGTAGCAGGGCTGTTGGATTTGGAAGAAAGGTACGGAACCATCTTTAAACTAGTTGATCGCAAACCCTAAGTCCATTTCACGAATGCTGTATCTTACCGAAATGCTTCTGGAACTCACGAAGACTATTTATGATCCAACTAGGCAAATTGCCTGACGAGATCTGTAGCCCAGTATCGCTGCAATTTACTTTTTATGGAGAATAAAAGACTGATGGCAGCAAGCATGCTCGTCATAATATCTTCAATATTATACGCAGAATATTGCTCCTAAGTGCATTATGCAAGTTGGTGCAAGGGTTGAATCTACAAGATTACTTTCTTCGGTTTAGTAGAATTGCTCAATGAATTGAAACCTTAGAAGTTATTGATACTTGCATAAGCATGATTAGGCCCACCTGATGTCTAAATGGTTCACTGATGAGTGAGAATGAGGAAGTATTATACATATATATGAGAGTTCTTGATTCCACCGCACTTAGCAGATTTTTCAATTCGAAGCCTGTGTTTTCTCAAGACGACTCACTATGTCTACTTGGTTTGTGGTTCATTCGCGGTTACGCTTCATTATAAGACGTCACCGTCAGAAAAGAATGACTTCAGAAAGTTCACATTCCCATGGACATGTCAGGAGCAGGTTTTATGGGACGAAAAAAAGTCTGAATCTGAACTTCTGTCCGCCATAGAATGATCCGCGAGGAATGAGATCAGTTTCAAGAGACATGCAAAGCGGCGAACGTGCCGACTCACAGAACATGGATGCTAAGGCACTCTAGAGTAGAAAAAGATTAGAGGCTGGATAATTTGTATGCCTAGCATGGACAAAGAATGGCAGAGGAACACAGTGATTCAGAAAACTGGCTCGCGGGGGCTTGTGAAAGTCCGTTGTAGCCACATGTGCTTCATATGCGGGGAAGGTGGAGTCTGCAGAACTCAAAGCCATTTTCTTGACTTAGCATGGGCGCGTGATTCAGAGACGTCGTCGGACCTCGTAGCTAGGTTCGGCAACTCTAAAGGATTGTCATGGTGATATCGTGAAAGCGAAACTAATCTAACCGTACTTTGCTTGTGGATATGATGAGAGCTCAATGGTTGCGGATGGATCTTTGAGGCCCAAAAAGCACCACTTGCTTCTTGGTGGCCTCCGAGGGCTCCAGCCACCTGCGGAACTCAACATGGCAGGATTCATCGAGTAAAATGATACACTCAAGGATCTGAACGGTTGTATTGCGGAGAACGTTAACATCTGACATTGTTCAGCTGCGTACCTCGGCGTTCTTATTCCTAGTGGAGCTCGCAAACGCGGATATGGTCCAATCAGAACGCATGGACTCCTGATCCGCACAGGCAAGGCTGAATGTGCTGGCCGGTGTGACTTGACTGCACATGCCCTACACATTTCCGGCAAGTAAGGGCAAACTATGCCCAGTCATTCATGCTCGATCATCGGCTTGTCCTAGGATCAAGTTCGAAAATCAAGCTATGCAAGTCCGATGTCTTCATTCTGCCATACTTCCTGCTGATGCGTATCTGCCAACGGGCCTCGGTGTGCTGATGCTTAACAAACACACCTGTTGACACATATCATGGAATTAAAACTTCGTACCTCGTTTTCGGACTTGTATACTAGGGGACGAAATGTCTGAATATCTCCACAAAGAATTGCTCAGGAATGAGTCTATTCCACCAGGAGCCACACCTCTTTTGCAAGCTTCTTCGGGACAACGCCTCTCAACGTTAATTTTATGCACCATATTCCTTCCGCTATCATGGATAGCTGTTATATCTCGGTTTTATACCAGAGGGGTGATCGTCAGAGCCTATGGTTGGGATGATTTCACCATGCTTCTCTCGCTGGTATCTGAATTAAGAAGACTTTCACTTATGGGGCTAACAGATTGTCTAGGTCTTCTTCACGCTATTCAACATTGGGGTTATTGTATGCGCGAATGCTGCAGCTCGTTCTCCGAACCTGTATGGCCTCATAATGATACCAGAAGCCAAAGTTGCCATTATTTGGCTCCAAGTCTCGCTAGGTTCGTATGTCGCGACTATGCTCGTACTGAAGATCTCCATCGCTATCTTCTATCTCCGGGTCATGGTAAAATCCTGGCAAAGGCGGGTAATATGTGGGACTTTAGGTCTGGTCACTATCTTTAGTATTGCCTATTTCTTCTTTGCAATATTGCAGTGTGGTCCGACCGTGGATCCTATCAAGTTTATGAATCGAAAATTAGGTGGACAATGCGTGAGCGATGCGAAGATCCTAGGCGCGTCTTACGCTCAAGGCGCAATCACGAGTGTGACCGATATTATATATGCCGCAATGCCAGTTACACTTCTCAGACGATCAAATATGCGTGCGAGAGACAAGGTCACGGTTATGTTTATACTGACACTAGCGGCCTTGTATGAGCACCTCTCAAGTGAGGATGGGGAGGGAGGACCAAGAGCTAACCCTTTACATAGTGGCGGAATTGCGTCGATGATCCGAATGAACTATATCTCCCGATTAGCGACTGCGACCATCAGCTGGTTCACCGAGGCCAACATGATCGCAATCTGGTCGACGATAGAGCCTGGCCTTGGTATAATAGCCGCCTCGCTTGCAACACTACGGCCACTGGTGAGGCAAATTTGGGGCACTTCTTATCGAGTATCTACCTTGAATGGCATGACATGGTCGCAGCCAAGGGCCAGCACAATTAAGAGTATGCACACGCAATTTGGGACGAGGCCGCACGATGAAGAAATAAAAATTTACGGCCTCCAATACACCAACCAAGATTTGGGTGTGAAAGATCCAGAGTCTATACATCCGTATACGTATCGAACAAGCAAAGTGATCACCTTTATGGATAGCCAGGAGGAGATCGAGATGGTCCACCAAAACAGTAGGGAGCCTCTCGTTCACTGAGGGCAGATTGATCTATCAGATACAAGCACATCGATAAATTTACAAGAAAAAAAAAATCGCGACGAAAGCAATTAAATAGATGAAAAAATTACCTTCTAACATGGCGCTGGACGTAATACCTTGCCTCGTTTCTGAGCGACAAAACCCAAGTTTTAAGCTAAGCCCGGAAGACTTTGCAAATTTCGTTCCCGTCCCCGGCTTAGGCTCTCACGTCAGAGCTTTATCGCAGGCAGTCAGCAATATATAGGCTCTGTGCACGCCTGAGATCACAAAATGGTATCTTGGACACCATTCTTGAGCTGCAAAGCACACAGAAATATTACTGAGTAGTTTCTGCTCCATGGCATCATGTCGCGCTGCGTCAGAAGAGCTGGATGAGGAGCTCGCAATCATCCTCACCAATTCGTTTCTGCCGCTATGGTACGCAAGAGAATTCCATTGTCTTTCGCACAGCTGTTTCATACTTTCACGATGAGTGGACGAAGCTGATAAGTCATTGTGCATGGCAGGAATCACAACTGGTTTCACGGTGTATCTAAGCCTGTCCAACGCATACCACAGTCTGCAAATATATCGACACCTTCGATATCACTTTCTAAGCTGACTCCGTTGCAAAAGGCTCGCCGCTCATTTTATTGGTTTCTAATCAAATTGACCCGTGGTGTCGGTGGAGAGGTCTGCGTGGCAACGATACCATCGCCAAAGAATCCTGACGATGAGCTTGTCGCCGCAGTCCTGTTGTGGTGCCCGCCATTCAAGCGTAACGCATCATCTTTCGGTCTGCAATTCATCAAAGATTTGTGGACGCTATACAAGGCGGATATGTTTGCGGTATTACGTGGATATGGTATCTCAGGCTTCCGGCGCATCACGGACGTGTTTGAGGAGAATGTGCAGCGCATGTTCAAGGAATCCTTGGCACCCCTCGGTTTCAAGCCGGAGGAATGTGGCTTTGTGCAGATGATAGCTGTAAATACAGACCCGGAATTCGATGCGGAGCTTAAAGGCAAGGGCTTTGCGAGGCAGCTGCTACAGTGGAGGATTGACCACCACTGGAAGGAATGCAAGAACGTGAAGACGGGCACGGGAGGCAAAATGACGCCTGTGATTTTGGATACAACAACGGAGCAGGGAATCACGGCGTATAAGCGACTACGTTTTGAACTGGTAAACCAGTATATTCCGAACACTGGCACGGACAAGAATGGTTATAAATTGGATAAGAATTTGGATCCCGAGGAGAAAAGGAGGCTAGCTGAGGAAGCTATGGAAAATTGCGTGATGAGTATCATGGTGAAGATGCCTCCCGAGACCGCAGCCGAGGCGGTGTGATACGGATTGACAGTGACGGCCTTTGTGGAGGTTGTTTCTTGTGCAGACCATGGGTGGAGAAACTCCGCTGCAGCATGGAAGAGAGGTCGTGATAACGATGAACAGTGTAAATATCACCAAATTGCCCAGCAATCAGTAGAAGGATCGAAAGTCTTTCGCATTCCTTCTTGTGAGGCATTCCTTGTGAAGACTAACCTCCCCACGCTACCCCACATAGGTGCAGCGCTTCTCCGCACCTAAGCGCAGCAAAGCATGCCCGTTTCCCCGAGCTCATCATTGACAAGTCTTCTGTCGTGAAGCCTGTCAATTGACATGTCTCGCACCCGTAGACTAAGCGATGGCATGCGTGAGGCTGCCACAGTTATTCTCAAGGCGCTGGATCAGTGCTAGCACGTGGCGAACCTTTGTTCGTGGCGTTTTGACGCGATCTTATGCTGAGGGTCCTTCAGAGGTTGGCCTTTCCCCTGATGCCATGCAGAACGCAGAAGTTGACTTGTATGCAGCCTTCATTGCTTGAACAGACCGTGGGACAGCATTTCGAGTCGATTGTTTCGCAGCATGGCGACCGTCCAGCGTGAGTCTTTCCTCGAATACTTTTAACATGCGGCTAATTTCTGACGACTTGGACAGTGTCATTTCAAGACATCAGCGACGAGCGATGACATACTACCAGTTGGATCGCGACAGTAATGCTCTAGCTCGCGGGCTTGCTAATGTCGGGGTAAAGAAAGGAGATCGCTGTGCGGTCATGCTAGGCAACAATATCGAATATGCCATAGCAACTTATGCACTTTTCAAGCTTGGTGCTATCTTGGTTAGCTGGAAAACCACCGAAAACCTCTATGGATGTTCTAATATAGGGAAAGGTACCACTCAACCCTGCTTTTAATAGCACTCAAGTCCTCTCAGCCATGAATCACCTCTCCGCCGAGCACCTACTCATATCGACTGAGACAAATCTGCCTCGAAAGCCCCCTCGGTCTAATCTTGACCTTCTGCGGAATATAGTACCAGATCTGCATAATAAAAATCTCGAATCTCCCACATTACCTTCATTGAGGAATCTCATACTGGTGGACAACTCGAATGGGCGTTTTGAGGCGGAAATAAAGCAGCCGTTGATGTCTACGCGCTCCTATCAGGATATTTTGGAAGATGGACAACCTGGAAAACCGTTAAATATCCAGAATTTACGAGCGGATGAAGTAGTCAATATTCAATTCACTAGTGGGACGACGTCGATGCCTAAAGCCGCAATGCTGTCACATCGCAATATCTTGAACAATGGGTACTTAATAGGCAAACGCATGGGATTGACACCAGCGGATGTCGTCTGCTGCCCTCCACCGCTCTTCCACTGCTTCGGTTGCATATTAGGCTACATGGCGACTGCAACACATGGGTCTTGCATCGTGTTTCCGAACGAAGCATTCGACGCAGAGGCTTCTCTGCGTGCCGTGCAGGAATACAAATGCACAGCGCTGTATGGAGTGCCTACTATGTTCATCGCAGAGCTTGAATTGTTGGCTTCGGGAGTTGTGACTCGTGAAGGTTTCAGTCAACTGCGCACTGGAATTGCAGCAGGATCATCGATACCAGCAGAGTTGATGCGCAAGTTACACCGCGAGCTGAATTTGACGGAGCTCACAATTTGTTATGGAATGACGGAGACTAGCCCCGTGAGTTGCATGACGACAACAGATGATCCCATTGAAAAACGAATAGACTCGGTCGGACGATTGTTACCACATACGAAGGCCAAGGTCGTAGATCCAAAAGATTGGACGCGTATATTGCCAATAGGTGAACGGGGTGAATTAGCTACAAGCGGCTATCTCGTTATGAAAGGCTACTGGGGTGACGAGGCTAAGACAGCTGAAGTGTTAGTCCCCGATAATGAAGGCAACATATGGATGCATACAGGCGACGAGGCGTGCATGGACAGTGACGGGTATGTTAAAATCACAGGCCGCATCAAAGATCTCATTATCAAGGGTGGCGAGAATATCCATCCTCTCGAAGTCGAAAACTGTCTTCTTTCCCATGACCACATCAAAGAAGTTTCAGTGGTTGGACTTCCCGATGAGCGCTATGGAGAGGTCGTGGCTGCGTTCGTGGTTCGAAAGCAGGATGGCGCAGGGCAGCAATTGACCACAGAAGATGTAAGAAACTGGGTGCGGAAGCAGCTGAGCCATCATCTTGTACCCAAGTATGTATTTTGGGTGGATGAGTACCCTAAAACTGCCAGCGGCAAGATTCAAAAGTTCAAGTTAAGGGAGATGGGAATGCAGATTTTGCGGGAAGGAAAGGGTAATGCTGCTTTTTAGGTACCTTTGATCTGCTGAGTGCTTCAACCAATCGATTATCGCTGACGGGCAGCACGCGTCTATTATTGCTTCAGGATTGAATGACTGGCTCTGTGAGGAATAAGACAAGCAATTATTTGAAAGATCCGTATATGTATATGGCCAATGAGTTCCAAAATATGTGCTTTTCAGTTATATATCTGCTGGAGCTGTTTTCCCTCAATATTCCACTGGTCTTCAGTTGAAGCTTTTCGGTCAAGTATATCCGGCGGCTAACTAAGATGCGGGGGGGGGGTGGCCATTGGGGCCGCGGCATACCTTCTACTCAATTTTCTAGTAGATTTTTCTGATAATGAGTCTTAAATACTCGTTGTTTTCAATATATTAATGTCCGGATTTTTTTTCGCTTTCGAAATCTGTGCTGTTGGGGCATTGAAACAAGATGCCGCTGCCGATGAATGGACGAAGACAGATTCCTACACAGGATATCGTGTCTTACATCCTTGACAATCCTCAGTACGATGTAGACAAGCCAGTAGGTCATACCTCCATCCATGGTAAATGTTGCTAAGTGGAGTAGGTATATCGTGACCCTGAGGATGCGAACCACTTTTTCTCTCACCGTATGGCTACAGCAATGATACGTCGTTTGATTGCCGGGTTCCGTGCCACTGGTCTAAAGAAAGGCGATACAATCCTTGTTCATTCGTTCAACTCCATATACTATCCCATCGTAATTCTTTCGATCATTGGAGCCGGCTTCGTCTTTGTTGGAACGAACCCGTCATATACCCAGACGGAACTCAATCACGCCATCAAAATCGCGAAAGTCAAACTTGTGCTCTCAGAACCGGACATATTACCAAACGTTGAGAAGGCCTTGCGGAGCAATGGCATGAATGTTGGAGATAGGCTCTTAATTCTAAACACAAGAAGCGGTCAGGTGCTTCCTCAAGGCTATAAATCATGGAAATCGCTCTGCGAGAATGGCGAACAAGATTGGATCCGATTTGACGACTATAACCTTCAATATAACACGACTGCATGTCTTTTCTTCACCTCTGGAACGACTGGCCTCCCAAAGAGTGCAATGACATCTCATCGCAATTTGCTTGCTCAACATCTTCTCTGGTCGGAATTCACAAGGAGGCCCTACCCCATAAGGATGGTACAAACATTTCCGATTTTCCACATTGGCTCTTTTGTCCTCGCTGTTTGTACTCAACTTAAAGAAGGTCGTGAGATGTACGTTGTCAAGCGCTTCGAGGTCGAGCAATATCTCTATCTACATGATCAGCATAAACTGACGGAGGTCTTCATGGCACCACCAATGGTCAACCAAATAGTCATGAGCCAGATGGCAGATCCGAGCTCAACAAAGTTCCGGTACAGTCTCAAGTCTGTTCGTTCCGGATATGTTGGCGCGGCGCCTTTGTCACCGGACTTGCAGAAGAGATTTCATGCATTGTTAGCGCATGACGCGAGATTCACGCAGGTTTGGGGAATGACAGAGTCCACATCAATGATTACTGGTGTGCCAGGGGACATTGCAGATAAGACGACGCAAGGCGAGTTGGACACGTGGGGAAATGTGGGCACCCCACTACCAGAATTGAGCGTTAAACTTATTGATGAAGAGGGCAACGATGTGACACACACTATTGGGAAAGGCGAAGCATGCGTGAAAGGCCCCACGGTGATCAGAGGATACTACGAAAACGAGAAAGCAAACAAGGATTCCTTTGATGGTGAGGGATATTACAGAACAGGGGATGTGCTGCAGCTTGACCCGAAGACCAACCTCCTTTATGTTGTAGAAAGAATGAAAGAGCTTATTAAAGTCCGCGGATTTCAAGTTGCGCCTGCGGAGCTTGAAGGTGTTCTCACCAGTCATCCTGAGATCATAGATGCTGGAGTCATTGGTGTGCCCGATGATGAGAGTGGCGAGCTTCCTAGAGCGTATGTTGTCCTGAGAGAGGGGAGCAGGTTGACCGAGGCCAAAATCAAAGCGTACGCAGCGGAAAGGTTGGCAAAATACAAAGCCCTGCATGGTGGTGTGATCATTGTGGACAGTATACCTAAATTAGCGAGTGGAAAGATTCTGAAACGCGTGTTGAGAGAGTGGGCTAAAGAAGAAAAGAAGGGTAACACCATCAGCGCAAAGTTATAACCTAGGTGGCGTAAACCTGGCATCAAAGCATAGCGCCTATATCACAGGACACTACATTCTTTTCATACGTTACATAAGATATGTGGATGATGAATTCAGAAAAGACATTTATCAGCCAGAGGTTTGGACTCGTAACATGGGTGTCGTTTTTTGGAATTTATACCTTTATAAGTTCTTACTATAACTAATTTGTCTCTTATTTAATATTTAAAATTTAAATATTTAAATATTACATTAAGTATTATTATATATTAGTTTTGTTATTTCTGCCAGAAAAAAATTTAAAGAAGAAGAAGAAGAAGAAAAAGAAAAAGGGGAGGGGGAACAGATCTAGTTCTCGCTCAAATCTTTGATCAATTCCTGTTCCTCTTAGCCTAGATTATTTATTATGTGTTATAGAATAAATCTTTAGAGTAGGACCTAAATATAAGTACAAGGCAAAAATGTATATTTAAGGTATAGACATTATATATAGGGTATATAGGAGTATTTAATTTATGCTTGCCTATTTAGCAATAGAAAATTTTATGTCTACTCTTTTGGGTATTTAGATTATATGATGCTCTTATGAATAAGATTAAACTATAAATTTATAAAGATAATTAGTAGTATTAAACAGTGTATAGAGTTTTATAATAGAACTGGAAATGCCCCAATCTGCTGATAATAAAGAAAAAAATTAATATTTAGGGTTACAAGACTAAGACTAAATATACCGTAATATCTGATCCTAACTATACTAGTGTTCTTTTTGCAAATTTAAAATAAATCCAGTACCTCATGAACAGCGAATGTTTATCAGAAGTTGCGTTATTGTAAGCCATGGATGTGGCACATCACATACTTGTCTTGAAAGTCCTTTCAGGTATAAACGAGACTGACGTGACCGAAGACACTGAGTCTATGATTGCAGCCCTTCTTAAGTACTACTTGTGATCAAGTAATGTAATCGGTCCGGGTTTGACTGCTATACTAATTCTGTGCACCGATGCTTGCTCTTGAAAATGCTAGCTAGTTATGGTTAAGGTCTGCAAGTTGATCAAAACTTATAGTAAAAACGTAATCTACATAATCCTATTTAGATCAAATATAAGATTACATATGTAGTTTTCCATTACTACCCTATCAATCTCGATTCCTCTTATCGAGTTTACCTATGCCCTCATTGTCCTCTTCTTCTGAGCTCTCCTCTGTTCCTTCTCTCTCTCCTTCTCAAGGAATTTCCTCTGCTCTTCCGCACTCAGTGCTGCAAGCGTCTTATCTCTCTTCTCCTTCTTTTCTCTGTCTGCCTTCTCCTTACGTACTTCTGCTTCTTCTTCTTCTGAAGCTTTTTTGATCTTCCTGATTTCATCCTCTCGAATTCCCTTAACGCGCTTCATAACTTCTGGGCGGAAGTGGCACTGCGAAACAAGAATATCTGGCAGACGCAGGAAGTATTGGAACAGGCTAAGTGTGTTGGCTGGGTAGTAGGACGACAACTTGAGTTGTAAAGTGACACGCTTGCGAGGAAGAGTTTCGTCGATGCTGATCTCGTTGTTAGTCACAGATTTACAGCTTGTGAACGCGTGATTCGAGCTTACGTTTTGGGTTTGTCAGTAGGCTGATCACTCACGATCAGGGCTATGAAATCATCGCCAGCATCTTCGATCGCTTTCGCAAGATCAGCCGTAAGAAGAGTCTCCGTGATCTCCGCATTCTCGCTCATGACACTAGCCCAAGTGGGGAGTTTGGGATGCTCCTTTGTCGTGGTTAAGCTGAGATCGTATCTCTCCTCGCGCATCCTCTTCATGACCTCCTTGTTCACCACTGCCCATACAAAGCCATCATATGAAGAGTTCCCACCAACTTTCAAGGTCTCGCCCTTAGGAACTGGAACAAGATCCTTCTCTTTGCCGTCAAAAGCATACGCCGTAGCCTCAACAGTCTCTTGGGTCGCTGGCATGCTCTCGAAGAAAAAACCAATAATGTTTTCCCCAAGAATGGTCAAGGGGTTAAACCGCTTGATCAGGGTCAGCTTGACATCCATGAAGGCAACATTTGTCCGTCCTGTTGCGTAGGTGACAAACTCCGCAGGAGAATTTTCTCTGATGATCTCTTCCGGAATCACTAACGCGTCGCTCGTTACACTCTTCACAAGGCCCTCTGCTTGCACATCGTCTACCGTAGGTGGCTTCCTTCCTCCAAAACCGACCACAGCATATTCCTGCGCAATCAATGGAGCGAAAGATTTCGCCCAGGCCTTCGCACGGCGACGGTTTGATCCAGTACCCCAAAGATGCACTAAGATCGTCAAAAGGATAAAGGGAAGAATTATCATTTCAGTATAGAAATCGGCGACGGTGGTTCGTTCCCAAACGCGGTACCATTTCGTGTACTGAAAGGCCGGTCGAGCAGTCGCGCCAACTCCTGCGACAGCAGAAGTTAATGACGGCGAGATGGATGCCGGTGATGGGTCTGGAACCCCAGCGAAGTCTGCAAAACCTGTATATAATCATCAATAAGCTTCATATTCAGCGCGTGGGAGCTATTGAAAGCTGTTTCGAGCTTCGGTGTTCATACCTCCTGCATCTCTTGAAGGCGCAGCAGCAGCCTCTGGTTTTTTACCACCGAAGATGTTACCAATTATATTCGCCATAGCGAAGAAATCCCCCAATCGATGAAGAAACAGAGGGGATAATGATTGTAAGGAGGAAGAAGATGGGATGTTGTGTTGCGTGTCGCATTTGATCGCGCGAAGTTGGGCTGGTTTGCTAAGCCAAATGCAGGATGACGACCGTGGGGAAAGTGTACTTTGATAAATCGTTATTTCCGTGCCCAAAGCTTAAGCAGCACACGAAATAGGTGAGAGGGAGAGCTATTATGACGCATAAGATGCTCTGAAAAAAGATTGCGCGTATTATCCAAAGGCTTTGGGCTGCTACACATGGAAGCTGCATCATTGGAGAGGAAATCAAAGTGAAAAGATCATCTAGCTTCCGAGAGCAGATCTACAAGAAGCACAAGTAATGACATAGAAGCATAGTCGAGGCAATGATTCGGAAGATCTATTGGGGCTCTTTAATGCTATATACAGCTTCGTTGTCAAGTTTTCCCAGCGACATCCGCCCTGCTTGTGAAAATAGTCCTACACAGAGAAAATGCTGGCCTACTCATACCCTAGTCCTTGCCAAACCATGTCTTGTGTCCCTATCCTTTATGTCAGTGTCTATTCGCGAAGATTCAAAGGTTGGCGGTTGAACGTACGAGGACCATGCGGCCCATCATGTACATGGAGCTCGTCAGGCATACGGCAGTTGCAGCGTCTGCACAAGATTAGCACTACGTTGGCAAAAACAGTGAAAAGGTAACCTACAGAAAGGATAGAGCAGGAGTGGAGATCTGGGAGTCTAGGGAGTCATTCCATCAGCACATTGATGCTCTCTCTTACAAGTTGATCTACGGTAGAGGATGGACCGTACCTTCCAGCGGTCTGGGATCCCGTCCTTTCTCTGGAAGAGTCTCTGGTAGTGTGGAACACGATTCTCACGATAAACGAAGCTATATAGCAAGGAGTTAGCTCATGTTCCTTTGTACAAGCCTAGACGAAGAAGCTTCAATTTGACGATGATGCTCGTGGGAGCTGAGTCGCCTGTGAGCTCAATGAACAATCAATGCAACGTACCCGGCCATTTTTGAATCTCACGAATGCTTTAAAGCTCTGTGCGAGATGTGTGAATACGGGCTGATGTTGTTTCCACAGTCGTGAAGCTTTGGTGGTTCGATTGTGTCGTGAAGAGACGAGGTCGGACCGGAACTATACGACCTTGCCCTGTAGCCTCAGGCCAACACGAAAGGGCTTCCGTGCTCAAGAATCCATACGGGACTGATTCTGTTTGAAGAGCTCATGATACGAAGGACATGATTTTTCTTTGAGTTTTATGTACATCATAATGTCGCACTTTTGGTTTGGGGAGTATCATCACCATGATTAACTTGGACATGCATTTTTCCAAGAGCTCCCTCGATCTGAGGCACGAATTAGCAATTCACTTGCACAATCCGTTGTCATCGAGCAAAGTAACCGTATTATTTTACGTTTGTAAACTGAGCAATGTTTCTACAACTGATTATAAGTATCCTTGGAAATCACTTATCCAAATTTTAAACTAGCTTGAGGCTTTTAGCCGTGAAAAAGTTGTTTTGTCATCTAAACTTCGCCTTGATCCGAACTCAGTTGCTGGCTTTTCGCTCTGCAATAACAGCAGATTAAAACTGTCAGCCTCGGCTAACTTGGGCTGCTTATATCTCAGTTTCTAGAGCACCTATTTCATAAGACAGGTTACTGTGGCTCTAGTGGCAGAACAGCGAGCGCACCACAAACTAATTTTGACTCAAGAGCGCTACTTCATACTACACTGAGTCCATAGAGCATTACTAGGAAGTTGAATCTCCGAAGTTAAGATTAAATAACTTCGCTGTATGCTTGATATGAGGTTTTGATGTAACCCTGCCTGACGAATTCGGCATTCTTATCATATTCAGCGAGTGTATACACGAGATATGAATGCCCGAAGTATCCTTTGCGGCTGTTTAGAGAACCTTTTAAAGCCTTATGGAATACGCATAGGTGACATTTATTCACAAAAAGGACATTTTTAACTCACATCGGGAGTCTTACAGCTTTTTAGACAGGACTGACTCGCTTAGGAATAAAGTAGTGACCTACGAAGCTGCCATAGTCTCTTGTGTGCAATTATGCTGGGCGGGAAGTACATCACGCAGTTCGTCCTTGTCACAACTACGATGATAGTTCCACAATGGGGAGCGCTGCACCGTCTCCAATTTGCCTCTATGAACATAAGGTTAGCATCGCGGTGAACCAACACGGCAGCTGGTAATCCAAAAGCTTGTGTTCTTTTCATTCTATTGAAATGCGATCCATAAGGGTGCGAACGACCTGTTGGGCTGCACAAGTTCGGTTTTCTAAGCCCGCGCCCTTGATTAGATGTTTGCGACGAAGACATAGGGTTTCTTTTCGTCAGTTGCCCCTTTCCAATAACAAAAGACGACCAGATGCATGAACTTTTGCTGAACTTCAGTAAACGGAAATTTCATTCTCACTCGTGCTCAGGATCAGCAGTTACGCAAACGGCGCTACGAATCCCGCGCTGGTCATCAAACACTGGAGGTCGAACTTGCCATCCATTTGATACTCCCAAATCTGTGAAGTCGCATTACACAAAGAACGGAGATAGTATTATATTGCTAAATATGTTATTGTGAAATTTTGCTCATCTTACCAACGAAAAGCATCCTTACGCTCAATATACCATTATCAAATGTTATCAAAGGATGGTGGAAATATCCTCGGCCTGCGCTGTTGAGAAGCGACGTTTTGATTTTGCGAAACCTTACAGTCCATTCCTTGGGCAAAGGCACGGGTGAATCCTTCGACAAATTCTTCGTGTTTGTGGTTACATTTTGACTTCTACAGCAGTTCTATTGTAACAAGAGTTTTATCATGTGGTTAGCTACGCAACGAATGTAAATAGTCTTTAGGGGAGGGGAGATTTGATGTTACAACCATGCACGTAAACTATGATGCGAAAACCAAGAAGAAATTGGAGGTTTGAAAAAGGCTGATATTTTCCTAGACATCTACATGCAGACTGGTCTTTGCTGCAGAGGAAAATTCGAATTCACATTCCAGATGTTATCACAAGCCCCACGTGCAAGCGCCACCATTAAACTTTTGGACCGCATCGGTGTCTCTACGTACTTAAAAGTTGACATGAAGATGCGTATAAAGCTTTTCGTGCTGAGAAATAAAAGAACAGTAGCAAAGACGAGCAAGCGCATGCTTATGAGTGGCCTGACGCGCTCAAGACTAGCAATGAATTAATTAATACCCAATTCTGTACGAAGCTAAATTAAAACCCAATCATCCTCTGTAGATGGACCTACGTCTTGAAGGAGCCAATTCAGTTTACGCAGATCCGGTTGAACTAAGTAGTCTCTAGATTCTAGTGAACATAACAGTGACTTGCTGAAGTAGCACTCTGGGAGACCGGGATGTACCATATGTGGATTTGATCTGAGGAAATCCTCGAATGTCAATCTTTGCTTGAGATGTAAGCAAATGTCTAAAGCTTGTTGAACCCAAAATGCTCTGATCGTAAGCGATTTTGGATACGGGCCGCACATTTCCGTCAAGAGAGAAGACGCCGTTGCAATTGGGGATCTGTGTTGATTTTGAAAGTCGACTAAACGATTGAATAGGAATCGAAGCAAGTGGGCGTGACTGACGATGGCAGGGGAGGCCAATTGTGTATCGGACATGCGTCTTACTTCGTCTATTAGAACAATCGAATTCACTGCAAGCTCCTCCGCAGGCGGCACCTCCGGCTCAAACACTGCCATTAAAACATCATCTGTCTCTTTCTGCGATACTGGATGGGGACTCATCGATGGACATGTGATGATGTCTGGTAGAGGCTGTAAATCTGGCGAAACAAATGTCATTCGCGCTTCTATAGCCTCCCAAAGCATAGGTGTGTAGAATCTCTCCCAGAGTGTATCTTTTATATCGAAAAGGGTGCTGAATCTTGAGAAATTCATTCGTGCGACAGAAATTTCCTTCGAGGTCTCCTTCGCACTGGTATCATTTGAGGCGAGCGCTGCATGGACTATCCGAATCCAAAAATACGCGTGCGTCTCCGAATATGCAGGGATACTTGAGTTATGTGCTCTCAATCGGATCGTAATTGTCTGCAGAGTTGCTAAGGTTTGTTTGATAAACCAGTCACGTCTAATGTCTGTGGACATATATTGGCCGACGACAGCAAAGGCGAATCGCAGCAAACGCGTCTGATTTTCTTGACAAGAATATCGTTCATGCGCCATATGAGCTTTTGTCCCATTCATTAGATCAGGCAGTGCTCTAAGATCAGGTAATCGCCAGTAATACCTCGACGCAGGCGACATCATCAAGTCCTTTGTGTAGTATTCCTTCCATAGTCCGGTATTCATCAAGTAGGGTGAAGTTGAGAGGACTTCCTGAAACATTCCTTGGTCAGGCCATCGGTCTAAATGTTTATCATCCTTAAATTTTCTTGTGGCTCCCAGCAACTGCCACAGCCAGAATATTGTCATAGTTCTGTGATCCGTATCGTGAAATCTGTCGGGACTTGTTTCTTTAAGGCCGCGCGAATCATCTAGAAACATATTTGCGCACTCGAAGATACTGAGACCAGAGTGCAGTGTCTCTAGAAGTAGGAAGTAACCAACTCTCAAACGGTAGAGATGCTTCCTTTCAGCAAGGCTTGTTGACGAAAATGCCCAGCAGAACTGGGTCGCATGCAGATGGGTGCTTTGTTCTTTGAAACCAATTTCCACTGAACCAACACCATTATCTGTAACTCTAATGCTTTCTGAAACATCTTTTGGTTGGTCTCTCGTTTGGATAGATTTTGAGTTGTTCGTTGCTTGATGGAATGCTTTATGAAGTGTATCAAACAATTCGAAGCATCGATTGCCAGTTAAAGCGCTGAACCCGGGCAGATCAACGATCATACAATTAATTTGCTCCATATATGGAGCTACTTGGCGTTCAAACTTGTTGCGGTGTTCTGCCAAGATCTTGCTTGCAGAATCTTTTGGTAGCGCATCCTGCTTGTTGAAGATGATAAATAAACGCCGTGCCGACACATCGACCATCGTTTCTACAACCAGCCTAAATCTATCCAACGATTCGTTGATGCGTCCGTCAATCGGATTGTGAACGTATAGCAAGCTAACATCTTTAGAAATGTAGTGATGGATAGATTGAGTGTTGTCGCAGCCTAGCGAAATTAGCGAGCTTTTCCCACAATCGCATTTGGTTTCTCACCACCAATATCCCAAAAGGTATAATTGGCCTTTTTGTATGTAATGGTTTCGGCGTTGAAGCCAGCAGTCGGAACTGTTTGCACCGGTTGATTCAGCTTAAGTCGGTATAGAAGAGTAGTTTTCCCGGCAGAATCATTTCCTAGGACCAGTATTCGCTCGCCCTTTCTCGCGAAGACGTTGACGTGCTTGAAACCCTGAATTAAAGTTGGCATGTCTAAGATATCAGAAAAATTAAATTCAATAGATAACTGAACGCCATACAAATTTTGTGATTTTCGAAGTTTATATCTATCGTGTTGCCTGTGCGAGATTGGAATAGCTGGCCTTTCCTCCTTGTTCAAGGTTGACGCCTTGTAGGCTCCAATAAATGGTGGTTGCACTTTGTTTGAGGGGATCGGCTGGTGGCGTAACGAATAACACATGTTGATTAGTACCTCAGAAGAAAAGAGTCGAGCTGGAATTCAACTCCTGAAGTCAAAAGGGCTGTTGATTTTTCGAACCCGTGGCTTTCCATGGCGAGAACGAAGGAATTGGGCATGACAACCACTCTGAGCTGGAGGCATATTCGGAACTTTTCTTTCTGCTTTTCGTTGTTCGTTGTATCGTACCAGCGCGAGCTTACAACAGCCTGAAGGACCACTATTTTCGCCGAGAGCAGCAGAGAAAATTCTTCATAACAATATTTAACCGTCGATGCGTAGGATATTCCCGAAATTTTGTGCTATTCCTTGTCAGTGCTCAGCCATCACTGTTGAGTTTTCAGTGGGCCTGCTAGTAAAGTCATGGCAGTGACAACAGGTCTCGCCAAAATTGGGTGACTGTCTTGCATCTTTTGCGCCTTGCACGAACCTTTCTCAATGGACTTAATCGTTTTCTTATGAACGACGTGATGTGACCTGACGGCTGGTTCTTGAACTCGATGTCTGAAACATCTTTCATAGAACTGCAAGTTGAAAGGCCAAAGTTGGCTCAACCACCTACGCTATCTCGGGCATATGTATATTGTACGATTCATCTATATATTTGTTCTTGGGTCATGGTAGAGCTTCGAAGTTACGGTAGAAGGACTCTTCGTGTCTTGATGGGGAGGCGATGATTAACTGGAGTAGTAACGTATATTGCGATTCTGAATGAGAAATCAGTTGATTTTTGTTCTATACAGAGCAAATTTTATGTTGGAATTAGTAACTTCGAATGCGTAACTGATGCACGCAAAGTATTGTGAATTGATTTACATGCCTGTTCTTAAAGCACATGATGCAGGGAACGTTATTGGCCGCCGTCAATATATTCAGCCAATCGATGAAATGAGACGTGCGTTAATCAGGTGTTGATTCGGCAACTCCTGAAAGTTATTGTTGTTTAACAGTATGCTGTCACTTTAACGGACTGCAATCCAAGGTCTTGTTACCAAGCTCGGACGATGCACCTGTAAGTGGCTAAAAGCATAGTATGACATTTTTTACGGCCTCAAGGTGTTGTAACCAAGTGCTGCTTGTCATAGAACGTGGAGACTAGAATGGTGTTTTCAGAGCTATCAGCGTTCCAATGGAGGAGTCTCCGGACGCTTATGATGTGGCCAGCTGCGCAAATAGCGCTGCATGATCGTTTCCAGCTCAATTTGTGATTCGCGAGACTTAGGTTTGAGGCAAGCTGTCCAGCCTTAATCCATAGATTTTCCAAGCGATTTTACATTCAAACCAAAATTTTAAGCGCCGAGGAATTTGTAAACTAATATTGGGCCAATCCGGCGGTACAAGTAATACACTTGAGAGATAATTTGGAATTCCCAGCGCTTAAAACCTATCAGTTCTGTGATAGATCACAACCAGTTGTTGGGAGCGACCAGCTGCATCTGGCAGAGTGGACCGATGCGCTGCCAAATGCAGAATCGGCTGTGGCAGATTTTTAAGCTTAGGGTTTTAGTCGGCACAGGGATAGTATGGGACTTGTATGTTTCAGAAATGTCAATGCGGTGCAGACTAGTCTAGATATTAATCGTACATGCAAATCTACTAGTTACTCTTCTGCTTGACGTGATAGATTGCCTGTGCTATTAGCATGGTGCCAAATCCTCAGCGGATGGACATTACTCAACTTGGAGCTGCAATCGAGCTGAAAATGAAAATGCGTGGAACTCTTTTGAAAAGACAGTCACCAAAGGTGCGATAAGCGTTTCCAGCCGTATGAGCTTAATCACGGACGGATCATATGGAGTTATCCTAATTGGGCTGCAGAGAATATGGCTAGTGTCACTAGATGCTTGCAAAGTGCCCAGGTAAATGGCGTGCCCGAGTTTTGAGCGATCGTCGTCATGCAGCGCCTCGTTCAAAGGTCTCGACCCAAAAGGCAGATTGCCATGGATAGATTGGGATCCAGTCAGCACCCATCTAACACAGCCTGTACTACATGTAGCCGAACAAATGAATGAAAGATAATCTACCCAAGAGACAGGATGGCTTGTGAGATATCACACATCGGGCGAAACGGGTGTGCAATGAGATTGCTAGGGTGCGTCCTGGATTTTCGGGACTGATCGAAAAAGAGATCAAAAGGACAAGATCAGATCATAGGCAATGGTGGCAGCAGGATCGTGATTCGTACGCAGGATGCAGAAATTCGCCGAAAAGAATGTACATTGCAGGTTGCATATGTGAACTCCAAGTGCAAGCACACGCATGGCTGCCGGAGCAAAAGCAGCCAACGAACGTGCAAACACTGCTTCGCAACCAACGTCATTTTCGGCAATGCTTGTGGCCAAGCAACATTAGGAATAGAGCACTAAGTTGATCTGGAAACCTGTTTCCAAGTTTTTAGAGGCGTTTCGATCCAGAACATCGGCAGACGGGGGCACTTAGACGGCGTTTCAAGATTCTTCGGCATGATGTGCGCCTGTAACAAGAAATCTAGGTTTGCGAACGTGCGCTGGCGGGCGTACAACCACACAGGCAAAGCAAGAAGGGCACTGCAGGTAGTGCGTGACCATTATTTTCGTGGCGGTCGACTCGTCCCAGTCGGGCCACCGGTGATATCGCTCCGATCGAAGATCCAGGCGCCAAAGGACGGTTTGGTCGGATCTGCAGTCCAGCGCTAAGCTAGGTATACCAGAGAAGCAATGATCTAACGAGCAGAACGAGAAGCACGTATGTTGGAAAGGACCGACATCTTCAGAGGTTAAGAAAAGTATGATGTAAATCCGATCGGAAACTCGCCAGAAGGTTTGCCGAGCAAACTTTTTTGGGAGCTGTACGACTGTGCCACTCGAAACACGTTTAGCTAGGGGTTTGCTTTAGCGTAATGCAGTTTGGCAAAGGACGTCATGCGAAATATCCATGCTGACGACGTTCTGAGCTGTGAGTATTTGGATTCCGACCGCAGGACTTACAATCATGTATCTGAAGCAATCGTGCAACGCCTTCGCTGTATGATCTTCAGGTCAAGGCACATCCCATGGGCGGCAGGCGGAAGTTTTTTTTTTGGAACGTGTTGCCTCACGGGCCACGGTGGTGGCGCTCGTCAGGTCTACCGATCCCTGAGTCAGATCTAGAAGCATCGTGGACTACTCCGTGCTTGCGGTGCAGATTCGCCACGCCTCACAAGTGCCACGCGTGTCTGAGAAGTTTTTGCGGCATGGAGAGATTTTGGGATCACTAAAGGGTTGTAGGCACACCAATTGCTGTGCATCAAACAGGGCGGCGAAGGACCAAGCCCGCTGCCCACTGGACGGACTCAACTGCAAGATTCCGCAATGAAGCCCAGAGCCTGGATTGCTGGTTCTATAGCTGCCCTTGCTGCTTGAATCGTGTAAAGAGGGAGTCCCCTGTCGCCTCCCCAGGTTTGCGGAGCTGTGTGGCTGCGAGTTCCGATGTCAGTCCAGCTGGAGAGTCCTCGGATGCGACGTCCTGCTGTTTGGAAACATGTATGGCGTGTACGATATCACTTGTCCCGACACTCAACGACTCGTCACATGTCCAAATAGAGGACTTCGCTGCTCGTGGTGTGCGCACCACGCGCGAGGTTGTCAAAACGTGAAGGAGCTTTTTCCCACGAGCGAGCCGGAGATTATTGCAATCTTTGTGGCTGCATGATCGAGAGGGGCAGAGGCCAATCATGCCCATCTGTCGTACCCACCTCGAAAGCTCATTATCCCGCTCACCCTGGAAGGAAGGCGGAGCACGCCAATCTGTGCCGGTGTCAAGCAGCTGTCAAATCGATCGAATGGCGCCAAGAACACAGTCGATTTTGCTCGCATCGGAAGCGTTACACTCTCCTCTTGTGTTTAGGCTCCAGGATAGCTAGGCGTTGACGTGCTTGCATGCCTCATTGTTGTGTGCTTCCGACGGTGCTAGCAAGGAATTTTCGCCAAACATTGCCAGCTACGTCGGCCAACAGCCTGGGCAGATCTTGCAGATCTCGATACCCGTGTTCGGAAGTAGAACCGCCGAGACCAGCCGGATCTCGAGAAAGCTAGAGCGAGCACTAGCTGAAATGGATCGAAAAGCGTGCCATTTTTGGTTCTCAATCGTCTCGGATTGCTCCTCCTAGACATGTACGTGTGATGCGGGCTTGGGGCCTCACATTGAAAAGCGCTGTTGAAGAAGGTTGAAGTTCTTTGAAATTCGATCCAAGAATGGATAGATCAAAGGGCTCCCATGTCTGCATTTCATCTTCATGCGCATTGTTGAATCGCAGCTGTGGAAGATCGCTTTCCATTATTTGAGTTTTTGGAAATGAGCATGTTGCTAGAAGACCCACAAGGCTTCGAATGATCATCAGCCTTGAAGTTGTCATTTTCGCCACATGGACACTGACACGCAGATGGACAGTGATACGCTATAGCGCCAGAAAAGCCGTCACAGCGCGTTTGTGCCAGCCATTGGCGCGGCCGGTAATTCAACAAGCCGTTACAACCACAATCCCACTCCAGGACACGCCAGAGCTCAAAGTTTGAAGTCTGAAGCAGCTGAGAAGCAGGTCCAAGAGCTAAAGTTAAGATAGTACGTACGTTATCGATTCAGCCCACCGTCGCATGCTTTTCTACTGGATGGTGACACATGGCGTCTCACTTTATCCTTGACGACGGCGACTGGCACGAGCCGTCTCCTGCAAGGGAATCTTGGTACGTGCGATCAGCCTCTTTCCCTAAATCTGCTCCACCAGGTGCGCTATCCGCAGGGTGGCAGGGGCTACACTTTCGATCAGCACTTGATGAGTCGTGACAGTCGTTCACCGTTCATTTAGACTCCCAGGAATAGTGACGCTATAGAATGTCACCCCTGAGCGAATACGTGCGTAGCTAAGACGAGCAGAGTGGAACGCCTTCGATTGGCAGCAGCATTTAGATCAAACAACAAATTTCCTATTGGTTCATGTTGTGGAGGAGCTAGATGTCCGATGATGCAGTGAACGACTTTGGTCGTCCTGCAAGCGGCGTGTTGTCCTGGACCGAAAGGCTGCACAGCAGGTGTATGACACGATCCATTCGACCAAAACTGTTCGAGGACTGCAGGGAATTGATTGTCGCGACTTGTGTATGCCACAAACCGGCTTATGCAGTATTTAGAGTTCAATCAGAATCAGCAGCCAAAACACACTGCAGCTCGTGCACGATTAGCTCGTCTCTCAGCGCCTCTCGGAGAATAGTTCGAAACCTTGAGGGCTAGCGCTTCACCTGTCAAAACGCTCAGTCAAAGCTCAGGCTCCGCTTGGCTGCTCCTAACGCCGGCTGGAGGCAGCCCAGCGTACAAAATCGTCCGTTGGGGCAATGGCGGGCCGCTACAGAAGAATCTCGCAGGCTCGAGGGATCTTGTTTTGCCCATTCTGCTGACGGGTCAAGCAACATTCCCAAATTTTCTCACCCATTCAGACCTGGTGTTGGTATTCACCCACCGTCAGCTGGTAAGAGTGAGCAGTAGATCGATCATATGATCACCATAAGTCTCAGCTTTCATTCGCTATACATGATTTAACGGTCCTGGCGGCAAGAGCGCACTTTTGCATGGACGTCGTCCACTCTTGACTGCCCACTTTCTGCGGGTCATAGGAGCCTTCGAGCCGTTGGAAAATTTAAAAGCCAAAATTAATGGGCTTGATTGGAAGCGCACTCGCAACTGACGGTACGTATTTCCATTCAGATTCACTGCTTTGGGACCTTGCAGCTGTCATCTTTTTGGCTCTGAAGCACCATCAGGTAGCTGTCTACCAAACTTTCCCCTCCTTCCGTAGCTTAAGCACGCAGATATGACAAGCGACAGTGCCAGAGAGAACAAATTGTCTAACATCAGCACTTGGCCAGTGTCATCTTGATTCCAAGGGCAACGTCGAGCAAAAACGCCGTCAATTTTAAATGATCTTGACAAGCCCAGATGGCATCGCCCGTCACAATTCACGCCACCCATCCTTCTTCTCATTTCTTCTCCGTGCACTCAACCTATCCTGAGGAACATCGAGCACGGCGCCTCAAGGAAAGTGTTATGGGACAGCATCGTGCTCATCCCTACCAGAGAGAACGCAGCTATTCCCCTCCAAAAAAGGGCATCGATTACAGGAGCACCCGGTTCCCAGGCTTAGCAGTTCCCTTTCAGCAAGCGCAACCACCTTCGCGAGCCCATCACTCGACAAATTCTTCTCGGTCAATTGTAAACCAGCCGGATTCTTCTTCAAGATCATCTCCCATGACTCCGGAATCCACACGAATCGGCGTTGAACAGCTGGTCGATGGCTATGCCTCGACAAGATCGGCTACATCGCATCGCGAATCACAGCGCCAAGACCCCCTAGGGAGATCTCCAATGCGAGGACCTGGAGATCCAGAAACTGCGCGGCTGCCTGGCATAACGTCGGTAAGTGACCTAGAGTAGGCGCTCTTGCAGCCAAGTATTTGACCAAAGATGTAGCTTCTAGGCTTAACGCAGGACTGCCCAACGTTCGAGGCGGAGCAGCGATACCAACATTCATCTTCAGGCCACGGGTACCAGCAGCGACCTTATGGACACTCAGCAACATCCAGTTTGTCATCAGCTGCTTCGGATCCGGTTTCACCCAACTCGTACGGAGGTCACAGCTCGCGCAGCCCGATTCCGCACCCTTCTTATCCAGACGACAGAGGCCGGACTCAATCTCGTTACCCATACCCTTCACGGGAAGATCCATTGCTGTATTCACATTGCGAGTACGGCCGCACTCAAAGCAATCCAGGGAGCCACTTGCGCCATCCATCTTCTGCGTCGCATCAATACCCGCCGCCACCTCCGCCGTCAGGTCCCAACACGATGCTTCCGCCCCCACCAGACCCATTTTACAATAGTGCATACTCTTCCCAGCGACAGTCTTATTCGTACAGTCAGTCACACGGGCCTCAGATTGGCCAATCCTGGGATAGGCAAAGAATCGATAGTGCCGTGCCGTCATATGATCACTCAATGAGTGCTAGCTCGGGATATGGTTGGGGATATCCTCCTCACCACAACAGCTTAGCAAGAAAGCGACGAGGGAATCTGCCAAAAGAGGCAACAAGGATATTGAAGGAATGGTTCGGACGACATCACGATTCTCCTTATCCCACCGAAGACGAGAAGCAGGATCTATGTCGCCAGACTGGTCTCCAAATTAGCCAGGTTGGTCTCTTATTTGATTTCGAGGCCTTTTACACTGACAGCTTGAGTAGGTGAACAACTGGTTTATCAACGCGCGCCGCCGATTGCCAAGAGAAGACGCAAAAAAACTTATCGACGAAGGCAAGAATCGAGCAGGAACAGAGGATAGTGCAGACTCTGACGTGCCGATGGATGGAGCAAGAGAAGATGTAGCGGATGGCAACATACGCTACTCATAACAGCAGTCCTGGTTCAGCTGAATGAAACGTCTGCTAAGACGAGGCTGAAGAAAAGGAAGATAAGACTGTTCTAACAGTTCGTCCGTGGAGCTCGTGAATGACTGTGAGCACGGGAAACCGCTTCAATTCAAAAGGATGAATGACCTGTTCGCTCGAGCAAAAGTCCGCGGTTTCCTTGCTTTGTTACTGATACCCACTCACTATGGCTTGTGCCAAAGGAGCGTCGGTATTCTTGTTCTAATGTAACGAGAAGCGAAGTTCTTGTTGAGAGTCGCGCATTACCGATGCTTGATCTTATCGAATGGCATTGATGAGACGTACAATTAACGGGTCATTGGGGAGGAATTTACTATAATAGTGAGCAAATAATGTTAGAAGTGAAACCTCTTTTCGGTCGAAAATTCGCTGTCGGCCTTGCAGAACTCTATCTTTCTGCTCCTAGCTTTTTCTTCTTCTGCAACTTCCACGTCCAGGCTCTTTCCCCAGATACATTGTTGTAGCTGAGTTGGCAAGGTTAGTTTAAGCACCAGTGACTTTGGTCTAGATAGCGGACTTTTTGACACCAACTTTGCTTGCCTTGGCTCGGAGCTCAAGAGAAGACTTGAAAATCCTCACTCAGCTCGCATCATTCCGTATTGCTCTGTGGGGAATTAAATAACACTCGAGATCGCAGAGGCAGAAGGGTCTGCAGAATGCAAGGAGCGAAACCTAGGCGTTTGGTTCATCTTTTGTGTACCCAGCTTCTCAACGGCCAATATGAAAGGATTGCATTGGAACCCGGCCATTCCAGGTACTTCACCATCATGAGATCTTCTCGACATATTAAGCCTTCGGCGGAGCCCTTTACGGAGACAATTTTCGATAAATTTTATCGAGCCCACTATGGGTTCATGAACCCGAAGAGGGTAAGTAGAGACGCCAGGCCAATTGAGCGGTTACAAAACCAGACGCTGCGTGCGCACGGCGCTCCGACGATCCAATAAACGCCATGACTAAAGAAGCAAGGTTGCAAAGATGATTTGTGTTCCAGTTGCTCGATTTAGATGACGAATTTGCAGAGCTCAACTCGTTGTTTCGAGGAGCATAGGTGGGCTTTATAGATTTTCTTTACATCAGCTAAGCGAATCAATTGAGAACGCCCGTGGCTCGTCTCCGAGTTCGACAAGGCTCTGAAGAATGCGCATTGCGGAATTGGCTGACGGCTGAGGTGGAGAAGACGCCAAGGCCAGGGAGATTCCATTTCACGATCTGTTAAGCTGTTCTTTGGTGCTTAGGAACCAATTCCGACGACGTTGACAAATCACGAACGTGAAAAGTGAATTGATAATGGGGGTGACGAACTCATGGACCGTCTCCATGCAGCAGCTTCGGATCGAATCGAAACATTTGGCCCGTCGCAAACAGTGCCCCCTTGGGAAATCCCGGCCTCTAACAGCAAGATTGTTGCTTGTGGCAAATCAACGGGACGACCGCAACGTGACAGTTCAATACTGCGCAGGATTTGGCACGGAGTTGTCCAGGTCAAGCGTCAATCCCGCCATGCCGTGCATAAGACCGAATATCATTATCTCTACGGAATCAAGGAGGTCATCCTCTCGTACGGCGAATCCGCGCTGTTCCTCAACATGCTCGGCAAGGATGGCGCCGCCCCTCTCGAGTGGGTGCGGATTCTGTTCGAGGAGGAGCGGTGGCCGTACAAAGAGGGCTGGCGGCCCCCGAAGATTGTCGACCAGAGCATGATGAGACACGTCATCACGAAGCTCATGGAAGCGAACGAGGACAAAGCAGAGGAAGCCGTGCTCGTCGGCCTGGGAACGGTCCGCGCCTTAGAAGCTGCGGTGGCGAGTTTGATCAAGGTTTCCAGCCCTAGTTACTGTTCCGTCATGTAGCGAGCTAGATCTAACAATTGCCGACCGTTGTGATACCCTCATCAAGCCGAAAATCACAGTCGAGATCTAGTTTCGCGAGTAGCTCGATCGCTGTCGCCATACCGTGCCATATTTCATCACCAGGATGGGAATCGGTGCAACTGCCAAAACGATACCCGCCAACACAGTGAAAGCCCAGCCATATCTCAGTTTTTCCACTAGGGGGCCAACTGCCAGAGGCAAAAATGTCCCCATCAAACACCTGACCACGAGGACGGCAGTCGTTGCAGACGCCGAAAAGAGGCCAAAAGCATCGACAATATACGCCATCAGTGGAACAACACCGATAAGCAGAGAGAATCCCATAAAAATCACAGTGAACAACATAGCCGAGAGTGACCACCGACATTCTGCTATCCATCCATATAATGCGATGGCGATCGGCAGAAGGCATGCGCCAACAATGACAAGTGGCAGACGGTGCTCTGGCTGTGCCCTGCCGTTGTTCGCTTTGCGCAGCATTAGGTAGATTCTGTCAACTGCCAAATTGCAGACAAGAATACCTGTGATAGAACCGAAGCCTGATTCTTTGTTAGGAGTGATTCTTCTGAAGCCCTGAAACAATGCGCTAGACATACTAAACGTCATAAATGACAGTCCTGTTTGTGCTTCATCCAGTCCGAAGCAATCCTGCAAGATATCCGGAAGACTAGTTGACATTATGTAAAAGAATGTAAAACCAATGGAACCGTACCATGCCATAATTTGGAGGACGAAAGAATCCAGAAAGACGCGAGCTGGTCGCTTGATGGCCTGCCATATCGCATTTGTCGATCCTTCAACTTCGGTGCCGGTGATAGTCTTTACAAGCTTATTTGCAGCTACGCTGTCATTATGTTCTTGTCTCAATGCTCTTTTTTGCAAGATCAAGACAGAATATGTCTCTCGGAAAAAGAACAGAAAAGTAAGCTCACAAGCTGATGCAATTACAGCTGCAATCAGCACAACTAGTCGCCAATCTGCAACTTGGGCAATACTCGCACCCACAGCAGGGCCAATTGCGCCTCCGAGAAGAGTGGTAAGAAACACGCAAGAAATAGCGCTTCCTCTGTGCTCGGGTTGGAAGATATCGCCAATAACGCTTGGATTAAGCACATTGGAAGCCACTGAAAGTCCAGTTAGGAATCTTGCAAATATCAGGAGCTCGATATTCCGGCTCATGGCGACGATGATGGTGCCGATGATGAACAGAATGTTCGAAGCATTGTAGATAGGATAGCGCCCGAAGCTTTCTGAAAGCGGTGCAATCAATAAAGGTCCTGCAGCTTCTCCAAGCTCCCATATGGTGACAAGCAGAACGCTGGCTGATTTGTCGTGCCGGCCTTCAAGATCCCGAACGATGTGTGGGGCAATTGGCACAATTCCCACACACGTGAAAGTTCTGATTTTGCTGTTAGCTTCTGCTCAGAGCATCGGAATACTATAGTACTTGCGTCGTAAAAGACATGAATGATAGCAATGCCACAACTCCATACTTGTATGCTTTAGGCCAGTCGTAAGGACAGTCTGGATCTCCGTTGGGATCAAATTTGACACTTGCGACCCGATCTAGTTCGGGAAATTCCTCATCGTGTGCGGTGGCAATAGAGCATGATCGGGCTTCTGTGCCTAGCAAAGGAGCACTTTCATCCATCTTAGATTTGGAAACATGGGTATAGAAAGCAAGTCATGGTTGAATTATGAGGTTGTGCTAGTATAACCGATTACATATCACGGAAGACTAATCCTGATTCTGTGCTAGGGCGTACCTTTCTCCACAAACACTGTTATCAGCGCTCTCCGCACAGCTGCATGGCTGTAGAACACAAATGCGAGCATTAAAATTCGCCAGCTCGCCAATTGGTCATCTAAACGAGACATTGGATTCCATTAGATTCCAGTCTTGCAAGCCTTGATTTGAAATTCACGATGCGAAGACCGTCTCCGATTTCGGCTCTGTAAACATTTCGGATGGTTGAGATACGACGGCATATGTATTGCCATGCCATCTTTCCCCTTAGATTCATATCATGCTGAACTTGAGCTGCTCTGCCTTAATGTAGACCCAAGAATTTGAAGCATGAGTGGAAAATGCGGCGATAGGTAAGTCGAATATTTGATAAATGTCCAGAGAGATGCTTCGAGCGTGGTCAGAAACAACAATGCACTTGACGCGCAAATTTAACCCGACACAATACCTAATTGCTGGCAAAAAGCGGCGCAAGAAGAAAGTAAGGATATGTGTTCCATGTGAAATTCCTGGTAGTTTTGAATAGAGCGTCTAAATAGATTTTTACGCTAACACATGGCCTCCATCAGTGGAGTATATCGAACCAGTTACGTTGCTGTCCCGCATAAATGCCAAATATCCCTCGACCACATCTTCCACTCGACCAACTTTGCCTGTTAGAGTACCCTTTGATATGTGCTCAAACAGTTTTTTCTTGTCATCTATTGCCATCCCTGCCCAGAGATCCGTATCCACTGCACCAGGGCTGATTAGGTTGACACGTACAGGTGCAAGATCCAAAGCAAGATTACGAGTCAAAGCGTGGAGTGCTGACGCGTATCCAGCAATGATGCTCCAGCCTTTGTTCGGCTTAAATGCAACGCCGCCTGACGTAAGAGTGTATGACTTTGTCGACTTGGGCAAGTGTTTTGCCAACAACAACGGCGCAAAGTAGCGAATTTGACCGGCATCTTTGATCTTCGTAATGCTCATCTCTGCTAAAGGCATTTGTGCAAGCTTGTCACCGGCCGTGTAAACAACGTGGTGGACCTCGCCAACTTTTCCCATTAATTCGATTAACTTGGATTCAACGTCCTCGACGCCAAGGTCGCAAACATAGCCTTTGATCTTCTCCTTCTTGCTGGGGTATGCTTCTTGAAGCTGTGCAACAGCGTTCTTAACGCGTTGCTCGCGGGATGATGAGATGAATACCGAGCAGCCAAATTCAAGACAAGCTTCAGCTACGCCATAGCCTATGCCAGCGGACCCGCCTAGGACTAGGACACGCTGGCCAGAAAGCTTGTTCAAATATTTCTTCTGATCCAACATCATGAATATTTCAGGCACAATGAGGTTATCGAAATATCAGTGAAAGAGATGATATGGAGGACTCCTTCATTTCAATGCCCTTCCACGTACTTATACTCATTATCATAACATGGCTTGTTTCCTTCGTTCAAGAGTGGAACATTATGGATTTAACGCTGATAAAATCTACTCAATCTCACGGACTTTAGCGGGAACTTCAACAGACGACGACGATCTTCGCCTAAAGTGGAAGTACTTGGATTTGAACTAGTCTGACGCTACTGTGAAGTCTGGTGCAGGGCGACATTTTCTGTAGTTCTCAAGTCATCTCCGGGATATGTCAGAATGAGCCTCTAAATGAGCGCCTAGATCTGAGCATTTATGAGCGGATTTCAGGCCACCAGAAGTCGTAGCAAGGATACGAAGGTACTATCGCTCCTAGCTCTCTTTACAACTTTCCCTCCTGGAGTGGTTTGATGGAAAAATTCGTTCTTGGATAATGAATTCGCAAGTGGCCCTTTCCTCCAGGAACCTCCGATTTCACAACAACCTCGTCCGCGCTGATAGACAGCAGCTCGCCTTTATCATGGTGATTCATTCCTGAGTCAGTCGGAAACATCTCAACCAGTTGTCCCTTTTTAAGCTGCAACGGATCGAGTGCGTCAACGTCACCCTCCGGCTCTGCATACTTGCTGCTCAGGACTTTTCGCACTGTCTCTTCGATTCCAATCGTTTCCGCACGGCCATCTTTCTCATGGACACTAGCGACAAAAGCTTTGTACCGGTCTAGCCATGCGAAAACTTTAGGATATTGCTCCCTGGTGAACAGATCTCCTTTCTCGCCTTCCTGCTTCAACTGAGCGAGGCCCACGGCCCAGTCCAAGTTCCAGGCTGCGTGTATGTCGCCCAACCTCGGCTCATCCGTGCCGCTGATGAACTTCCTACCATCGGCCAATATCTTTGTTTCAAATAGATTGAAATACATTCTCACGTGTGCCATTGCCTCGGGTCGCTGCCGTTCTCTGCCCTGGGCTTCAAAGACGCGTCCTGTCATTTCAGATCGATCCTTTGCGAACTCAGGACTGATCAGGGAAGGTGGGATCATCTGCGCTGCGCGCAAAAAAGGACCTGCGTCATTGATGAAATTCTCAAGAAGATACTCAAATGCTTGCTCGATTGGACTGGAAGCGCCAAGGGTGTTCTCTGGATACAACTTTTCAAGTTTCGAGATTATCATGCGGCTGTCGCAATAGATATCCTTGCCAATTGCCATCACAGGAATGCGACGATAACGAACACCGAGCTTGGCGAGCACTTCGCGTGGCATAATAGGTGGTTGAATGCATCGCTTGTAAGGGAGATGACGTAAGGCAAGATATCTAAAAGGGAGAGTGAGCTACGGAGCAATGCAAAAACCTGGGAAAACACCGATTATGATTGGATTATTCGCCTATCCAGTAAACAAGTACAGTGGTATAAACACGTAAGAGGCATAATCTAATCGAGCCCCGAGCGAGTTCCCATCCGCTGTACTTGTTTTTGGTTTTTTTTTTTTTATACTTTTCTTTTTCACACAGTTCCACGTATACTCCTGAGATCCTGAGAAAGCCGAAGAATACGTTCGTTCACTTAAAAATAAAAAAAAACAACTTACTCGTCGACTTTTCTACCATAAACACTAATATCGTACGTGAAAAGAATAATCTCCGGCTTCGAGGAGGCCATTGTGCGATCTTTTCAAAAAGCTCAATTTTCCCTAGAACTAGCTCTTCACTGGAAAAGAAAATAAAAGAGGCCAACAACAACACCACCACAGCTGCAGCCTCTTAAGCCGGCCGGCCGCTCATCCTCATGCCCCGTAAGTACGGAGTACAATCGCGTGAAAAAATGCGGAGCGCAACCCCGCCCCGGTTCTTCTCGGCTCTTTCGTTCATGAAGTCGAAGATCCACGTTTGGCATCGCTTTTGGCTGTTGGGACACTTCCAGCGAAAGCGAGTCATGACCTTTTTTTATTTTATTTTTTCTTCTTATTGTTCGCGGTCGTCTCTTTTGCCTGTGCCAAGCGCTCAGGTGGTGGAAACGTGCAGCCGAAGGCCTCTTCACCTTCTGCCCCAGATAAAGCAGTAAAAAAAAAGGCGTGAGCTTTTCGCGAGGTTTAGCAAACATGTGACAGGCATCGGATGCGCGAGTTTGCATTAGTCTGAAACTGAAGATCGATCTGACATGACGAGAATGCATTCTATCAGGACGCCACATTTAAGGAACAGTCGCGCTCTGTACCTGTGTACCGCAGCGCTCGAGCATCCGTTTTCATGTGCTGGAGAAGAAAACCGTCTATTGGTCTACATGTGACAAATCGTAACTTTTTCCAACCACAGCGTTGGCTGCAACATTCCAAAAAACGCTGCCGTCTCGTATACATAAGATACCATTCCACTTTCATAATATTGTACAGCTGCTCGGCCCGCGATGCTTCTGCTTTCTCTTCCTCTTCTTTCGGTGTCCCGGCTCTCCTTGTCTGCCGCTATTGTATCTTCCGTAGTCTTCATCTTCATAATAATAACCTTGGCGTCGTTGTGCTTCCTGATCCTTTCGTATGATTTGCCTTGATAGGTCTCTGAAGCACTCGTCTACATTTGCCCTTCTTCTCGCGCTGGTTTCGTAGTAGGGCGCATTGCCCCATGACTGCGACACGGCGAACGCGCGCGCCCGAGACACGGCGCGATCTTCCTCCAGGTCGCACTTGTTTCCGACCAAAACGATGGGCACGTTAGGGTCGTCCTTAATCCTGATTATCTGTTCACGCAGTTCGGTGAGCTCTTGCAAGGAAGAAAGCGAGGTTATGCTGAAGACGAGAAGGAAGCCTTGCCCGGTCTTCATGTACAGTTCTCTAGACAAAGGTTGTTAGCATTGGATTTCTTTCGGGACACGGGAGAAGGTTCGGATGGATGTGAAGGTCACGTACCTCATCGCAGCTGGCACAGGCGAGGATAGTTAGCTTCTTGGTCGTCAGGGCGTTGGGTCGTATGTGAACATACTAAACTGTTCCGTCCCGGCCGTGTCCAGAATTTCCAGGACGATTTGTCGGCCCTTGAGGAGTTCGGGTTAGTCGCGGATCAGGTTGTGTTGTGAGCGTTGCTGAACCTACGTCGACATCGAGCGTCTTCCGATACGAGTCTTCGATTGTCGGGTCATAGCTTTCGATCCAGATGTTTTGAACAAATTGAGCTGCACAGATTATGAACAAGTGTCCTCACGCTACGCGCGGTTCCTACGACGGACGCGTGGTGGGGTCGCGTACCAGTCAAACAGCTTTTGCCCACGCCACCTGTGTCGTTGCCAATCAGCGAATCTGACGTCGGCCATCGTCGACGCGTCAAGGGCTAGAGCACGAACCGGACCCGAGCACAACGATGTTGTATTCTCTTCGCGCGTTATGTGGCCTTGTGGATAGAGATTAGCTTCTGTATGTGACGTGCGGCAGCGCGCTGTTCCGTACCTCGGCGCCATGGCGAGCAGCGATGAAGGCGGTGGAGCGGCAGCGAAGAGCTGCCCATGGAAGTGGGATTGCGACGACGAAGGCAGCTGAGGTCTTGAGGACGCGGACGCTCAAGACACGATGGCGGAAGAAGAGATGTATTCAGGCGCAATCAGGGGGACGCAGTTGGGGGGACGTCGGCACGCGACGTTTGCTTTTCGAAGCTCGACGCTGACGGGCGGTGACGTCCAAGGAAGTACGGGGTGAAGTTAGCAAGATCCGCACACTCCACTCAGGGAGGGCAACCTGGAGTATATAGTCAACCCATTGGTGGCCATCAAGAAGAGCCGGGCACGTTCAGCAGAATGGCATCGGTTCGGCGCAGGCGCAAAGGGGGCCCGTGTTGGAGTTTTGAACGAGCATTGAAGAGCAATTGGTGCTTGCTCACCTGGCTGGGGGCTTCGATACGTCAATCAGAGCAGATGGAACAAGCAGTGACAAGGCACCGTGCGCCCACCGAACCCCAATATCCTTGACCTGGTTCTCCTGTCTGCTCGCTCGCGGCGTTTAGGCGTGCACGATCTCTGCTGTTTTGCCGCGGATGACACATTTAATGACGACCGATCGGGCGCAAGGAAAGACGGCGCGAGCAGAGTCAGCTTGCGCTTCGCATTGTTGTGCTGCTGCTGCTGTTATGCAACGAGCGGTGCGAGCGGAGCGATGGGGGCGATGGGACCGAGCCTGTTGCCGTCGCATTTTGTACGGTGGGCGCGCGCACACACACGCACACTGCCACACACACCACCGCACGCACACAGCCCAAAAAAAAGAAAGGAAAAAAAAAAAAAAAAAAAAAAAAAAAAAAATTCCGCCTCGAGCCTACAGGCTCGAGCAAGTGACGCATGGCAGACAGACCCGGCTGCATCGATTAAGCCGCCATGTGCTCGCCTAGTTGACTCTTCAGTGGAAACGCAGCGGTCTGCCCAACGTTGGCGGTCTGCTATTCGCTCAAGAAGAAGCCGACCCCGTCTCTTCATTGGCGGATGAAAGAAAAAGATGGCCTGGCTGATAGAGAAGCCCTGCCAGCACTCGTTCGGACGCTACTCCAGCACTGCAGCATGTTCGGAAGACATTGGCAGTTTCCGGAGAGTAGTTGCCAAACGCAGCATAGACCAGACCTCCCAAGCATCCGGTGCACGATCTAATTAAGCTCCAAGCCCAGCAGCAGAGCCGTCTTTTCGCAGCGTCTGACGTTGTGGCCAGTTGGAAAGTGCCGAGTCTGTTGCGCTGTTGTTAGTGCTGCGGACCTGCGTGGACACACAACCACCGGGCGGTCACGTATGCACGATATACTACAGATTTGCAAGCTGCACAGCACTTCCCGAAGCGCCGACAAAGGTAGCACTGTGATGACGGCTGCAACGAATCGAAAACGGAGCGCCGAACGCCTCTCACGTTCGCTTGGATGCGAATTGCGCAATAGAACCTGGTCGGCAGTATAACGAAATTGTGCTGCTGCGTGGACAGGCGCAAAAGACGCCGTGTCGACAATGCGGACGAGCTCTTGCTACAGACGATGGCCGTGACGATAGTGCCGTGTGGCCATGGCTTCTGGTTTGATGAGACGATGCCCTTGCGACCACTTTGAAGACTCCATGCTGCCGAGCTTGCGTCCGAGTCAAATGGGATGACCAGCGTCTTGGTGCGACATGCCGACCAGGCACAGATCCCGCGCGATACGATGATCGTGAACGTGTCAAGCACAAGTGTATAGCCGTGGGCATGAAGACCGTTTTTTCTTTTCCCCCCCGCCGCCCACCCCTTTCGCTCGTGCTAAGCTACCTATAACGTTTGACGTACAAAGCCAAAGATCAGACCACGCGTCGCAAACAAAGTGCACGGGACGCTATGACACGCATGGCAAAGCAGAAAAAAAAGGACGTGAAACACCCTATTTGGGAGTCTTGTGGTTGGGGGCAGCCGTGAGGCCTGACTACGTTGCGCAACGCCTACGGTGTCTTGGCTACGTTGACGAAAAGAGGGAGTGGTATAGGACAACGCTCTTCTGCCATGTGGCGAACTGCGGGAATGGATGCCAGGCATTGTGGACCGCTCGGTAACCCCAGATCTCGCCTTTTTCCTCTCCCACGGCCTCGGGCAGCGGGTCTGACGGGTATCTAGCCTAGTTGGCTCGATCAAGGCATCTGACAAGAGAGTAGGTGTTATGCCGGTATGCCATGGAACATTATTTGTTATGCTGCGACGATGATCTTGTGCATGTGAAATGACCAGCTCGATCTGTTGCCTCAGGCTCGAGATGTTTCAGACGGTACGTGGTCCTGCTGTGCCCACGACCCACCCGTCAGTTGGGAATTTTGCACGGTTCAACCTGTGATTTCGACTGCGAAATGGACGTGGTCGAGCAGCTTTTACTGGCATCGTATGACTAAGTCAGAAGCATGATGATGGCTCAATGAACAGGCTAGCGTGAGGGATTTGCAACGTCAATATAGATGAGAACAGAAACTCTATGCTAAGCTCTGACCATTGCTTGTCTCCCTTAGTTCATTGGCCTTGTGTCGGCTCCTATTCCCACGAATTTCTTCTTCTCTCTTTACCGCTCACGATTGTCACCGCTCAGCCACGTCTGCCGCATCCTGAGCCTCCCATCTCACGCCCTTCCGACCCACTACCACAGGAGCAAAACATGAGACAGCCCATAAAGGAGAAACCTAGGACCTAGGCCCACCTCCTCCCCAACACGACTCTGCTTGTGGTCCGTGGTCATCCAGATCAAGTCAATGATGGCCTGCTCGGGTGTCTTCGCCTTCCCAAACTGCACTCGTCTTCATGATGAAGACCATGTGCTTACTCGTGTGAAGGGGCAAAGATGTGGCTGGATTCGTGGACGAGGCACTAGTACTACAAGTACTTGTAGAAGCTAAAAACGTAGAGTCTCTGACAACCGTTGGGTGCGGGAGGCTCTTGCTTGCACATGTTGCATAGCAGCTATTCGCTTTTTGGTTAAGAAGGGTTGTCTAGCCCTTTTATCTTCATTCCCTTTTTTTTTCCCTTTGCGAAAGTAGACGGGGGAGTCGGCTTCTCCATGCTGCACCAAATCGAGTTTGCAAAGATAGGAGTGCCATGTTCTAGCATAAGATGCATCACAGTGGTCTGCCAGCAATAGTTTTCTCATTGTGCAAAGTCGACAGGCCGTCATTCATGCATAGGAATCGACGTCTGTTGCGGATCTTCAAGCCTCCTTTGATGGTCGAAGTCATGGATGAGCCTTATGTTTTTTTTGCTGCTAGAGGGTGCTCTGTTCAGCCCTCCTTCGTAAGATAGTAGTTCTGGTAGTTGTTAATTTGTAACGAAGGGCAGGATATTGGCGTCGTATCAGTCCACGCTGGAATTTGAACTCTTCACAGTAGGTAGCTGTTCAATTGACGAGGAAGAAATTTTATCATAACATGGAAGGATCGCAGTCCAACGTGAAGGAAACGTTTACATAACGTGAGATCCTGAATCTCGCATCTTGTCAAATCTTTTGCTTGAGAGCAGCGCGCCTTGCACGTGACTTAGAGGACTGCAGGCGTGGGCTTGAACCACTAAACCAGGATACGTGCTCAATTGCTTAGAACGCCGAAGCTGACGACCAGCATAGATGAGCTTGCACAACTTGTCGCCAGCTCATTCATTAACTATATCATGCGCTTCTGGTCGGTCGTAACAGCACTGCTGCTTCCCCTAAGCACGCTTGCTGTTTTTGCCGACGAAGCATACCAGGTCGATTACCATCACGCCCTCCTTGGCATTCCTCGCGAAGATAATACCTTCGTCCACATTCCCATCGCGTCCACCAAAGCAGCACTTATATACACACTCAGTGAGAAGAACATAGTCGGAGCCGTCAACCCGAAAGACGGTAGCATAGTATGGAGACAGCAATTGCGGACTGGATCAACGGCCAAGGCGCTGCTGAGAGCGTCTGCAGACGGTGACAATATCGTTGTGACAGGAGTCGATGGGCAGGCAGCTGCTTGGCAGGCGAGCGATGGACGGCTCATATGGAGTCATGAATTCGAGGGTACCATCGGGGACGTGCAGTTTTTGGAGCTTGCGCAGGACGGCAGCACGACCGGAGCAAAGGATGTTCTTTTGCTCTACCAGGGAGCCAATACCGTGGTTGAAAGAAGAGATGCGGACACAGGGACGTTGAAATGGCAGCTCGTTGATGCGAGTGGAGACAAGCCGTACAAACTTGGTCTGACAGGTACCACTGTGCATCTTGTTGCTTTACATGGAGCTATGCTGGGCGGATATAAGGTCAAGGTCACCAACATCGACGCCGTGACCGGTCAGAAGACGGACCAACACATCGTCTCGGATAGCGATCTGCTGTCTTCAGACGACATTCTGTTCGTCGGTGCGGGCACAGCAGCTCCCATTGTGGCGTGGACAGAAAAGTCTTTCAAGACGGTCAAGGTCAATCTGTTAGGCTCAAAGACTGTGGTAAATCTGGCCGTGGACAAGAAGGGGGAAGAGATTCAGCGGATTCAGCTCCACGCCCCACGCACCATTAACGCACTGCCACACTTCCTGGTGCAGTACACCTCCACCGACAGCCACTGGGCAGACGTTTATCACATTGAAATCGCGAAAGGAACGATTGAAAAGGCATACAGCTTGCCAAAGCTGGCTGGACAAGGAGTTTTCGCGACGAGCACATCAGATGCTAACGTCTACTTTACACGCATTTCTCAAGGCGCCCTCACGGTGACTTCATCCACATCTCACGGTATTATCGAGCGTTACATGCTTCAGCAGATTGTTCCGACCGTCTTTGGCGAGACGAAACCCGTATTTTCTGTGGCAGAAGTTATGACCCGGCCAGATGGCCGAGTAGCTGTTAGGGCTGCCTTGCTTCTATCAACTGGTGACTGGGCACTCTTGCTGAACGGCGAACTGGCTTGGTCAAGGCCAGAGGTCCTGACATTAGCGGATTCTGCGGTTTTCACGATGCCAGCACAGGAGGAGCGACTGGCCAAAGAGCTGGCTATCGAGGAGCATGCTTCCATGCGTGCGGCCTACGTTCACAGGCTGAAACGCCATATTGCAGAGTTGAAGGGTTTCCCCTCATGGTTGAGTCAGCAACCCGCTAAGATTGTGGACTCGGTTATGGGCAGGAGCTTGTCGAAGAAAGCCGACAAGTTTGGCTTCAATAGGCGTGTCATCGTTTCTACCTACAACGGTCGCCTCGTGGCGCTTGACACTGGCAATGATGGCCAGATCGCTTGGAACAGACCTGTTCCTGAGTTTACATTAGGAGACAAACCGGCGAGATTAGAAGCACCCTCACCTGGATTGTTGCGTGTCAAGACAGCCAAAGGCAACTGGATCCTTGATTTGACCGGAAATGTCCTTAGAGCAGACGAAACCTCGAAAGAACAAGCTCAGAGTGGAACTCGCATCAGTTACGACATGGTAGACGGCCAACTCCAGGGGTTCCTCGGTGAAGACAAGAAGTCCTCGATTTGGACTTTCAGACCGGCCGCTGGTGAGCGGATCCTAAGCGTTACTCCGCGGCCCTCTGAAGATCCTGTAGCCCAGATTGGTATCGTTCTAGGCGACCGTCGTGTGCTGTATAAATACCTCAACCCCAACCTCGCCTTGATCATGAGCGCAAACGATGCGGCGAGCACTTTGACGGCTACGCTCATTGACTCTGTGTCGGGTAACGTCTTACATGAAGCTAAGCACACGAGCGTCGACATCAGCCACCCAGTGGCCGCGGTGTTGTCCGAGAACTGGCTCGCGTACACGTACACCTTGAGAGCTGGACCGCTCACGCCGTCCAGGGGCCACATACTCGTTTCGTCACATCTTTTTGAGTCTGCCTCGCCGAACGATCGCGGTGCTCTCGGTGCAAGCAAAAATTACTCGAGTCTCATGCCTCAGATTGCAGACCCAGGAACGCCATATATTTTATCCCAATCCTTCCATATCCCGGAGGAGGTCTCCTCACTGGCCGTCAGCCACACCCGCCAAGGCATAACTTCCCGCATGCTGATGGCCGTATTACCCGACAGCGACTCCATTGTGGGTATTCCGGTGCTTCTTCTTGACCCTCGACGACCTGTAGGTCGCGATCCGAATTCGCAAGAACAAATGGAAGGCTTATCACGGTACGCACCCTTTTTGGACTTCAATCCACACTGGTATCTCAACCACAAGCGTGAGGTTGTGGGTATTGAGAAAGTCCTTGCCAGTCCCGCTGTGCTGGAGAGCACTAGTTTAGTCTTCGCCTATGGAACGGATGTTTTTGGGACAAGAGTCACACCAAGTATGAGCTTTGATGTGCTGGGCAAGGACTTCAATAAACTGCAAATGCTCGCTACGGTGGCTGCTTTATTTGTGGCTGTGCTCTTCGTGGCACCTTTGGTACGTCAGAGTTGTTTCTCTCTCGGCAAGTCGAACGCGGAGAATGACTAATTTTTCTTTAGGTTAAGCGAAAACAGATCAACATGCGCTGGGCCTTATGAAGCGAATATATACCAATAGATAATGTAAAACTATGGTCTTTTTTTTTTACTGAATATCTGCCCTTCAAGTTCCTAGGGCGAGATTGCCAAACGAAGATGTACACGGTGTCGAGGGATCAACTCCAGTGACTTCGCATGCATTTGAGGACGTATTGACACGCAAGCTTCGCCGCAGACGTGGGACACATGCATAGCTCGCATTGGCTTGCTCATTTGCCGTACCTAGAAAGTCCTTCCGCATCCGTATTGGGATTTAATCTGATTTTATGGATTTTTGTCGTCGTTGAAGATCGATCGAGAGACCAATCTATTGTCATTGATGGAATAGTTACAACTACCGAAGGAGCCAACCGCGGTAAGAACGTTATTTCAAATATTCAGAAGAGCATAAAGGGTAGGCACCAAGTCCAGTCACGTCAGATGAAGGTGATACATAGTGATAAAATGGTTTGATTCATCAATAATCAACCACGGCGTGCTCCGCAAGCCATCTCTGGGATCTAAATACTGATTTCATCGCGGACCCGGATCGGTCACGTCGAGGACTAGCGCAACGATCCTTTAGAATCCTTTGCGCCCCTCACGATTCCAAAAAGGTGAAACTTCCCACTCTTCTTAGTCGTCCAATGCCCATCGCTCTGGCCGGACGCATACTCTGTACGACCCGACTGGCCCGCTGCTGAAGATCGTGTCGTGCGGCCGTCGGACAAACAGAGTCGATCGTACGTATGTGACAGAATATGCCGCTGCATCACATCTGCAAGATAGAACTGCTTCGGGAGCATCTTTGTGTCGCCAACAAGATCACAATGTCCTCGATTGACTGCGCCAAGTGCAGTTGCGGCACCGGGAAGAATAAGATGGCCTTGGTCTCGCATCTTGTTCTATATATGCTCGTTCATTCGTTCACTCGCTCGCTCGCACATCGGTGGGACCTTCCAATTATCCCCAAATCGTCCAGATTAGGCAGTTTCTCGTCCCAATCCGGCATCTGCATCGTACGTCCTTCCTCTGATAATTGGCACTTGACAACCTTGGGGTCAGGCCATTCGCACATCTCAAGCTGGTCGAGCATCTCCAGGACAGAAAATGCGCGTCGCAGTTATTGGAGGTGGTCCGTCAGGACTGACCACGCTGAAGCACCTGATCACGGCCCACGAATTTCTTCCCGACGTGGAGCCGATTGAAGCCACTCTCTTTGAAGCGTCCGCCAGCATTGGGGGAACGTTCAGGCATCGCACCTACCAGGATGCTGAGGTATGCCTCGCAGAGCTAATGATAGATTCGAGACGTTGAAGCTGATGGGAATAGATGGTGTCTTCACGCCAGCTGACCACGTTCTCCGATTTTCGCGTCCCAGAAGCTCCGGATTTTCTTTCCACGGACGAGTATTGTTCGTATCTTGAGTTATATTGCCATCGGTTCCAGCTGTGGCAGCACATCAAGCTCTGTACTCCGGTGATGAAGCTTGAAAGGGTCGGCGAAAGTGGCCATTTGGTCACTTATGAACAAGACAACCAGCGGAAAGGCTATCTCTGTGACGCCGTTGCCATCTGCACCGGATTGCATGACGTGCCAAATATTCCTGATATTCAAGGAATGGACGGTGTGCCCAACGTCATGCACTCATCTCAATTCAAAAGCCGAGAGCAGTTTGGAACTGGTAAAGATGTATTGATTCTTGGTACAGGCGAGACAGGGATGGATATTGCCCACATGGCGGTGACTTCAGACACCAAGTCCGTTACCTTGTGCCATCGAGATGGCTTTCATGTCACAATGAAGGTATGTTTCACAGTCCATCGTATGTTGAAAGAAATGGAAAAAGTAATTAGAGTCGTAGCGGGCGCCGCAGCCGATCTGGTTTAGCCTTGGTACTAAGCATTTCAGTGAAGACTCGTCTGTGGAACGTACCTTGCACGCTCCGCGATTCGAGCTTTCCCCTACACCTCATTGCCTTGAAGGGTTTGATCCTGCTTGTAACACAAAGGATCTCCATGCTCTCTCTCAGCTCGAATCAGATGGTTTTAATCGCCGGCTATCTATCAATGTTGGGAAGAGGCAGCACGAGAATGAAAACGTCCCTTACGATGTCGGATCTGCCAGTCTGTTTGAGACAGCATATGCTCATCCTTGGCTGTCTGGCAAATCGAAGAATTCGAAATCGAGGAAAACCTGTCTGGAAATGTCTGGGTTGACAGGCTTCCTTGATATTACGTGTGATCATCTATGGTTGCGGAAGCCAAAGTTAGCAGCCTTGCCTTGGACCTATTATGATCGCTTCACAAAATGGACAGTAGCTCTCATATCAGGAACGAAAGCTGGTCTCGATCAATGGTGCGGAGAGATATCTGCGGAGAGATATCACGCTTCAAAGAGTTTGTAACTTCTGCGCCACTGCAAACCATCGCTTACATGATACAGTTTTCTTCAACAAGTCAACCAAAGCCATGCCTTACATTAGCGCTCCATACCGAAAATTTTCCATCCTGAATGCTTTCAGATCGTTGATCGTGCAGATACCTATTTCTGATACTAAAGGGAGACACATCGATCTTGCGCCGTGGCCTACTCGCTTCGATGAGAAAGGCGTGGTTCACTTCCTGGATAATGGAAGACCTGAGTATGAAGTGATGAAAAATAAGGTCGTGAAACCAGACATCGTTATCCTCGCAACCGGCTATTCACAGAGTCTCAACTTCCTAAACGAAACATATCCTCGTCCGCATGACGCAGATATTCGCTTTATATGGAAGGGCGATGATGAGAGTGTCGGATATATTGGATTCGTGCGCCCTAGTTTTGGGGCTATTCCACCCCTTGCGGAGCTCCAAGCACAAGTCTGGGTCCTAGCTATCCTGAAGAGGCTCCCATCCAAATTGCAGCATGAGGATCATTACCGGCTACATCACAGTCCAACCTCACGAATCCAATATGGTGTCGACCACGAGTCCTACGTGTATCAATTGGCTTGCGACCTTGGTTCAGCACCCAGCGTCATTGACGTGCTCAGTCTCGGTTGGAAAACCATGTTGAGCTGGGCACTGAGCGCTAATGTCAATCCTAAATTCAGGCTGGTCGGTCCCTGGAGATGGAATGGTGCTCGAGCAGTCATGGAAGGTGAAATTTGGGAGACAGTCACGAGGCGTAAATTAATCTGGGGTATGGCTTTCATAAACCAATTGTATGACCAAGGCTAATCGAAACCAGGTCATCTCACTCTGGCAGTCATGCCAATGTTCGTCTTTGGCAGCATAAGCCTCTTGTTGTTAATCGTGGAGTGCGCGTTAATTGTATTTCTCGCATTCGCGTCCCTTTCAAAGTGTGCAGCTAACTGGGTGATTATGAGCTCAAGCTGTACTATCACAAAGCATTAAATCTCATAGTACCTTTTCCTCAAGTGGCTGCGGCGCTTTCGAGCACTCTCTTTCCGCTATGGCAATGATTAAATTGTGGCGACAGAGGCTATGTGAAAGTATGCTAACCTAAACACTCACTTGGACCATGCCAATAGGACTGAGAATAGATTTACAAGATTTTCCTACTCTATGTGTGATCTTCAGATTGTTACAAGAATCTTATTATAAGATGTTTTCCCAGTGTTTTTGTTTTTAGAATGCGTTACCAATGCTCGCATTGTCCCAAGCTTAGGTTGCAATCCCTTTAACAATGATTTTCCCCTTTGCTCTTCCAGTTTTTAACTTCTTGTACGCATTTATTGCATCCGTCCACTCAAAGGTGCTGTCAATTATTGCCTTGACTTTGCCCTCTTGCAGCCATTTGCCCACAAGCTCGAAATCCTCTTTCTCGTTTTGGCTTCTGAGAAATGCAAAATTTCGCTTTCCACCACCAAGACAGCTTGGCTGATATTGTGAAAACCACAAACGAGTCACCCCTGAAAATGACGGCGAGGCACCAATCTGGTTGAAATATCCCGTTGGTTTGAGAAAATGATGACATTCTTTGTACAGGTTTGTTGGTGTTCCGATGAAGTCTGCTACAACGTCAAAGACCTGTCCCTTCTTCTTCAAAACGTCCACGATATCGGTGCTTCGGTAGTCAATACATTCGGTGGCGCCTAACGTGGTGCAAAAGTCGACACTGGAAGCTGAGCATGTTGTAACAATATCCTTTGCACCAAGGGCTTTTGCGAATTGAATTCCCCATGTGCCCACACCGGAAGAACCTCCATTGATGAGCACAGTGCCTTCTTTCTCCGGTAAGAAAGGCCGAATGCTTTGCAATGCAGCCATTCCCGCTGTTCCTACCGCAGCGCCGGATTCATAGCTCACCCCATCAGGAAGTGCAACACAGGCGTCTACACCAACATTGACCAGTATGTACTGAGCTAGCGCTCCCAGACTGGGCTGTCCATGAAGGCGACCAAACACACGTTGTCCTTCTGAGAGTCCTGTGGAATTGCTCGCGCTCACATGTACCACATCACCAGAAAAGTCCTTTCCCGGTGTTGCTGGCATTTTAGCCATGTGAGATCCCACAACTGGAATCTCAACCATTTTGTAGTCTATTGGGTTGATCGATGCCGCGCGAACGCGAACAATTATCTGATTCGACCTAAGTTTGTCGTGCGATGGAATGGGAGCATCTGATACTGCGCGTAAGTTTTTTTCAAGACCACCATACGCAGTGGAGTAGCGCCATGCGCTCATCGTGTTAGGTCCAGACATATTGCTGTGTTGTCGACCCAACACATTTGTCTTGAGAGAAAAGAGGAGCAAAAGTCACTTATGACTTGTTAAAGAGCAAACGAAACTAATACCTATGGGCACATAAAAATGGGTTGTCACACCATATACTTGACTTCATCCTCATGGTGAGTAAGTATGACCTACCACGGTTTCATATTCTGGACTCGAGATGGATAGAATAATATTCGGCCGTTGACGGGCAAACTATCCACCCATCGCCGTCGGTGCGTCGGGTGTAGAACTAAGCATGTCCCGCTCCTGTGACCCGCACTTCACTAAACACACTAGTTACACTCTTAGTCATTCTCTGTTTCTTGACAGCCATCGCACATCTATAGTTCTTTATAATTTTTTGCGACCTTCGAACTTGGTCAGAACACGTGAGGGCTTTCCTGGCTTTCTGCCGGTTCGCAGAACTATCTCCCCGATGATCTGCCCTGGTCCGCGTATTCGGACGAACAACGGACACATTGACCACAGTTCAATACCTTGCGGCTATTCTATTGTCCTTAAGCAGCACATACCTCAGATTTGATCAACTCGGCTGACTAGAATAGTGGGGTAACCTAGGGATGATCTAGAAGCCCTCACGTACCTTTCATGGAGTAAATGTAGTCTTGCGGGGCGTAGCGATGGGGTACAACAAACACGCCACTTTATGTCCCAATGAGGTCTGTCTTGCGACTCTCACTGTGATTGAAAGCCGCGGCTACTACTTTGCTCCTCGCATTGCTCCTCGCCTCCACTTGCAAGGCTATCTTTTGAACAAATGTGCTTATAGGATATATAAACTTCATCATGGAAGTAGGTGATATAATTAATCAGGGTTTTATCGATGCGTTTTCTTTCCGACGTCAAGTTTACCATCTTGACGATATACTGTTACTTGCGTAACTCTTGCAATTCCGTCCTAAAAGTGGCTCGCCATAACTCGCTTAATCCTCGTTTTTTTGGTATCTGAAAAGTTATACAGCAATGACAAATACGAAATCAGCGTCTTCTATGCCACGTCCTCACGTTGGCGTCACCGAACCCCCCGGCTCTGTAGCAAGTCATGTCGCTAGCTCTCCCAGTGCGTCCAGAAGCGAACAGCGTGCTGATATCCCCACCTTGAGGAAGAAGTATCTAGAGGAGCGAGACAAGCGACTGAAAGCCAGGCCCGAAGGCAATGCTCAATACAGAGAATTCAAGGGAGTTTTCGAGAAGTACCTGAGAGATCCATATATGCCTCGTGTAGAGCGTGAGCCAATGCATCTTGAGCTGGACTTTCTCGTACTGGGTGGCGGTTACGGTGGACAGTGTATTGCGGCAGAACTGATCAGGTCTGGAATAAAGAATATTCGGCTTATCGAAAAGGCGGGCGACTTCGGTGGAACTTGGTATTGGAATCGGTAAGATCTAATTGAACCAAAAAATTGCCGAAAGAACTAACGTGTCTCCTACAGTTATCCAGGTGCTGCCTGCGACATAGGTAGGTAGCAGTATTTTGCCCGTGCCAAATATATACGCGATCTAATTGCTGGTGTTAGAATCATACATTTACATGCCCTTGCTGGAAGAGACTGGTTACATGCCAACAGAAAAGTATGCCAAAGCACCAGAGCTGCAAGAGCATTCGCGTCGAATCGGTCGGCATTTTGGGCTATATGACAAAGCAATTTTCCATACAGAGGCAAAAGATATCGAATGGGATGACAAAGAATGTCGTTGGATCATCAAAACTGATCGAGGGGATGTTTTTCGTGCTCGATTTTTCGCTACGGCGTCTGGTCCTCTGAATATGCCAAAGCTTCCTGGCGTCGAGGGAATCGAGTCGTATAAAGGCCACTACTTTCACACCAGTAGATGGGATTATGATTACACAGGTGGCACTATCATGGGGAACTTGGATAAGATTGGGGATAAAAAGATTGCCATAATTGGTACCGGTGCGACGGCGATCCAAGCTGTGCCTCATCTAGGTGCCGGCGCTGGACACCTTTACGTTTTCCAACGTACTCCATCTTCCGTCGCATGGAGAAATAATAAATCAACAGACCCAGAATGGGTCGCTAGTCTGCAACCAGGATGGCAGGCAGCCCGACAAGAAAATTTCTTGAGGATCATGGCAGGTGACCCCACAGCTGGTGAAGATCTTGTCAACGATGGCTGGACTGCTATCACCAAAGTTATGCGAGAAAAAGGGGTAAATGTAGAAGAGGGTCAAGACATCATGACTGCATTTGCGCAAGCGATGGAGCAGGCTGACTACGATACCATGGAAGCGATTCGACAACGCTGCGATGATGTTGTTAAAGATCCTAGCACAGCCAATGCGCTTAAGCCATGGTATCGACAGCTTTGTAAGCGGCCTTGCTTCCACGATGAATACCTCGAGACATTCAACAGACCTAATGTTACGCTGGTACACACTGATGGCAAAGGAATTGACAGGATCACAGAAGGTGGCATTATAGCCAATGGCCAGGAATATGAGGTAGATTGCATCATCTACTCAACGGGATTCGAGGTTGGCACTGGATACGAACGCCGAAGCAACTTCTCTGTCAAAGGACGCAATGGCATTACTCTCACCGAAGCTTGGATTGACGGGCCTCGTACGCTACATGGCCTCCATTGTCCACAGTTTCCCAACATGTTCCTCATTAGCACATTGCAGTCTGGATTTGCTGCAAACTTTACGCACATGCTCACGCGACAGGGTAAGTGGGTTGCTGACATTGTAAGAAAATGTCTCGATCGCAACATCAAAACAATAGAGGCAAGCAAACAAGCCGCCGAAGACTGGACCAATATCATTGTACAGGATCAATGGATGAGTGAAACATTCCAAAAGGAATGCACGCCGGGCTATTATAATTTAGAAGGGCAGATACAACAAAATTTGGTTACGAAACGAGGAGGTGAGTTGCTTCATCCGTACTCTTCCCGCTAGTTATAACTCAATTTGTTTAGGAATGTATGCGAAGGGTCCAATCCCTTTTTGCAATCTAATGAATGAGTGGATTGAAAAGGGCGATTTAGATGGTCTGGATTTGACATATTATGACGTTGATGAACGGACTATACAGGCTCATCTGTAAAGTCGTACTCAGTAATCATGATTCACATTCTTTGATGAGCTCCAGAAGTCCAGAGTTGTTTCTATCTAGCTATCAACTATTTTAAACTTTGTCACAAATCAATTCAGCGATTTACGGATGCAGGCCATTGGATTAACTTTGGCGTCACCGTAGTGGAATGGCCTGCGGAATTGGTGGCCACGAGAGTCGTGCCCCGAGCGGCACTTCTGCTTTCATTATATCAATTTTGTAGATGTAGACATCCTTCTTATCTGGAGGACCTCCACGCAAGAAAAGTGCCGGATTGGACTAAATTAAGCTTAAAAATTTTAGATCCGTGTGAAGAACAAGCAGTGAGAGTAAGGAGATTCAAGTGAACGTGCCCCTTAGTCCCCATGACTAATATCTAGTTACAATATGAGAGGTGATCTTAAATGCCCAAATCTCTCATTATTGCCTTAGTCGCCAATTATTAGATAGAGCGCAAGAAAAATATCCAGATGTTCATGAGGAGTCAGAAGAAAATTTTTCCACAGGGCAGCAGGAATACGTCCTGAGACCTATTACATATCTTAATCATCTCTGCCTTGACCGTGTATGGAACTCTGAGAATAGTTTTTTTCCTCCAGATAAACTTTCAGTTACGGATCCCACTCGGAATATTCCACGAAGAAACTTTGTAACGCTTACCGCCTTGAGACTTCACCACATTTACTGTAGACAAATTTGATACTTAGATCTGGGTTCGGAATCTCTACCACTCTATTTCTATTTGAAGGCTTACGAAGCTTCCAATCCTTTCAAAAGATAATTCGTTTTGCCAACACAGCAGCACGAATCCCACGACCGGAGTGCGCCTTGTCGACGGACTCAGTCATTTGTTTTCTTAGTGCAGCAATCTCGTCGTCACTCAGCCCACACACCTCTTTCACGTACCCCTCTGCACCTCCCCATCTCTCGTCTATCATCTCGAGCGTTTTCTGCATGCTGATAGCTTGAGCACCAGACATCCTCAAGGCAGCTTCCCTACCCTTTTCTCCTTCGAAGGCGCCTGACGCCATGAGCTTCTCCAGCAACTCCGGCCTTCTGTATGCCAGCCCAGTTTCTGTCAGCTGGTATTCCTGACAGATGTCTGCTCTGTCCACTCCGAGGAGGCTTAAGATGATTGCGACTATGACCCCGGTCCTGTCTTTCCCTGCCGTACAATGTAGCAAGACTGGGCCTCCACCCTCCCTTCCAAGCTGCCGAAGAATTTTTGAGTAGCTTGGCCCTCCGTGGAGTAATATTTCGGTGTAGGCTCGGACGAAACCCATGTCGTCCTCGGCACCATAGTCCTTGAAACGTAAAGCTACACTCTCAGGGCTATAGTCTTCCGTCTTGAAAACTGGAGTCCAGTATCGCTGGATCTTGGAGGAGCCCGTGTTTTCAGAGTTATATTTTTCTATGCGCTCAGCAAACCCTGCAACAACCTCCCGACCTTGTTTCTCGAATTCGGGTTCCGATCTAAGGTCGAAAATATGTTCGATGCCCAGCTCAACGTGCAAAAACCTGATCTCGTCTTCAGTGCACAGCGACGGATCTGCACTTCTGTACAGATGTCTCCTTTTGACAACGGCCTTTGTATCAGCAATGGCAAGCCCTCCAGCATCTCGAAGATTTGCCAAGTTGGGAACATAAATAAATGGAGGAGGCAATCGAGGCAGCTCAAGACCAGCCATCGTTGAAAAACTTGTATCTTGAGCAACGAGCTCTTTGTTGCTACAGCAGGAGGCTTTATCGTGCTGCAGTATCGCGACTCCTTTGCACAGTTCTATACCTTTGAAGACCTGCGAGACAAATGCCGAGGTTGGTTCGGTGCCACACTAAGTCCATTGTTCCACCGAATAGCTACCACTACACATGCCATTATCTTCTCTGATCTCGCAACATGTTGCTAAAGTTTTTGAATCTCTTTGATCCTCTTCCGGCCAAGTATTCCAGGCATGAAGACGTTTTCTTGAAGCAAAGGTGCCATCACGTGACAGATCCGAAATCTCAAACGCCATGACCTTAAGTTCAGCCGGGGATTCATCAAAAGATGATGTACACCTAGTCTAGGTAAAGCTGTTAAATGATCACAGCGTGCTGGCCTAGGTGGTGACTTCGGCATTTCCGAAGCACAATCAGAGCAGCGACGTCGTCCCTTTCCTTGTACGTCAAATTCACGCTTATGTTGTCATGTAAAGCTCAAACGCCAAGGAATGAGAAAGCCTTGTTTGACGAGTCATATTCTACGGATTTGCAAAGCCAAGAACGAGACGCGTTGCTTGATGCTTTCAAAGACACAATATTCAATCTCAACTTCGAACACCGGAGCATGCTAAGCCTTCAGGTACGCCTTTTAGGCACTTTGCACCTCGACAGACCCGGAACGTACATGGGTTAACCTGCGATTTGCAGTCCAAATGGAAGGGCAATCATGATTGACGCTCAATTACTCTACGCCGAGACTGCAACAGCTTACGCGGCTATGTGCCCCGAGAGTGGACTCCAAAGGTAGCTGGAACACTCGTAGAGATGAAGGTGATTGGCATAGGACACAAGCCTTCGCTATTCAATATAAATAATCGTACTTGATGCACCGTCAAATTTTCTACGGTCGGTTCAACAATCCATTCTCTTGTCTTTAGTCTCGCAACAATCATAATTTTCCATCTTCGAAATGATACTCAACACAGCCGCCGCTGCAGTTCTCGTTATTCTTGCTGGAATTTCCAATGCCCATCCTGGAGATGATCACCGCAGTGAGCTTATGAAGCGCGCCGAATGGCTCAACCAAGTCGAGCGCCGTGATCTTTCTCACTGCGCGGAAAAGCTGAAGGCTCGAGGCGTACATGCTAGAGCACTTCAACGTCGGAGTGCTCTTGCAGACAGCCGACGCACCATGCGCAGCCTGCCGTCATGTATGTGGTTATGGCTTGAAATGAGCAGGATATGATCGTAACAAGTCATCCAGTGCCATACCTTAAAGCTCGGGATCTTGATTCAGTTGTCAATATCTCTCATCACAGTTCTTTGACTGGTCTGACTGCCTCCTCGACCGACGAAACAATCTTCAGCGGAAATAGCTCTTGTATCCTGAATCCAGAGGTGACGGAAGGGCCATATTGTAAGCAATGTATTTAGACGCGTTCGTCTCGACGCTAATCTTGATATAGATGTTCTTGGAGAACTTGTCCGCAAAAATGTTACGGAAGGATTCGCAGGAGTACCTTTAACCCTCGACATCCAAATCATCGATGTGAACACATGCGAGCCAGTCCCCGACATAATGCTAGACTTTTGGCACTGCAATAGTACCGGCGTTTACTCTGGTGTGGTGGCCAACGGGAACGGCAACTCTGCTGACTTGACCAACCTCGACACAACTTTCAACCGGGGCATTCAGAAAGCTGACGACGATGGTGTGGTGACGTTCGATTCTACATTCCCTGGACACTACACGGGACGTGCGACTCATATACATATCATGGGTCACATCGGTGCAACGGTTGGTGCAAACAACACGCTCTCTAGTCAAGGCTCTATTGCGCACGTGGGCCAAATCTTCTTCGACCAAGATCTCATCAGCCAAGTCGAAGCCGTAGAACCTTATGCGAGCAACACACAAGAATTAACGCTGAACGCAGATGACATGATCGCTTCGCAAGCTGCCGAAGACGTCGATCCGTTCGCAGAGTATGTGCTTCTAGGCAGCGACATTAGCGATGGAATTCTTGCATGGACTACTATCGGAGTGAACGTGACAGCAAACTATTCCGTTAGTGCGGCTGCCACTATCTATGCTGATGGCGGTGTTGCAAATGAAAATGCGATGGGAGGCGGACCCGACGCTCCTGGGGCCTCCGGTGGACCACCAAATGGAACAGCGTCCGTTGCTGCTACAGGTGGCGTATCCAAAAGGACAACATCGAGTGTAAAAGCGTCGGGAACTACAGCAGCACCGGTGACCGTGTCTAGTTCAGATGCACAGCCCGCAGCAAATTGGTATAACAGGGTATTGATGGCTGCTGTCGGCGTTGGCGCCGCAATGGCCTAGACTGAAGGACCCCATCCGGTCTGTACTTTGAGATCGAATATTGATGTATTTGCGGAGGAGGGAGTGTTTATAGTTCGAGGTGACAGTACATATTGATCAGTGTTCAAGCGCATTTGGCAATGCAGTGCCATATCACTCGCACTCTTGGGCTGTAAGATCCACTGCCTTCGCAAGCCAGGAAATGGCGAATTACATTTCTAATCAACACCCTCGTCCTCCAAATACTGTTTCCAACCACGTCTTTCAATGCCTCTCTGTCCATTGTGATCGATGCCGAGTACAAACTTCTCCCACCTAGCATCACGGCCAGCGCTGACAACAACAAGACTTTCGTCATCTATCCACGCTATTTTCCCCTTCGGCGGACGTCCCTGAGGCCACCAAGGATTCTCCTTTTGACGACTGAAAGTGGTCGCGGTTCGAACTGTTGTCACGCTTGCTGTTTCATCTTGTCCGCCAGCCCGTTCTTTGTCTTTTGAACCTTGTCTGCGCCTCGTTGGCTCGTTTCCCATTTCAAATTTGCAGCTCATCGTGCTGTACGTGTCCTTAAGAAACCGCGGGGCAAGCGGGAGGCTTCCTAAATTTCCATATTTTTGTGCTTGACGCCTCGGAGGTGTATCAGTATCCGTCGAAGAGTCCGTCACACCGCCGGGCGTTGCATAGGACCATCGGCTTGCCGTTCGCTGATGCTTTGGCGGCATTTCTGGCCATCCTTGGACTGTACCTGGTCCCAGGAATTCCGTGGGTTCACGTTCGCTGGACGAAGTGCTGAATTTGACCTTTGTGGCAGACGATGGAGATCCTGCGTGTTTACCTGGAGTGGGTGGGGAACCGCCGTACGCTCCGCCTGGTGACGAGCTCAGAGGTGAAGGAATGTCACGTACGTTCCCTCCGCCGTACGGATAGGAAAGTCGCTTGCCTGCATGAGAATCTGGGCGGTAAGAAACCTCGTCGCCCGCCGACTGCTCCCTCCATGGCATCTCAAATACATGAATCGTAGATTTGTCGGACGTGACAGCCATCTGATCTCCAGAGGGTGAGAAAGCGATAGAGAATATTTGCGCCTGTTCCAAGCCACGGCGGAACTGCATCAAAAATGCTTCTTGCTCAGTTGACCATAACTTAATGAGAGTGCCCTTCTCGCCCGCAGTAGCGAGTATAGACTCTTCCCTATTCATGGTGAACATCCGTATTGGCGACTCATGCGCTGGCAGAATACTGATCGCTTTGGTAGCCAGGTCCACGATCTGAATTTGACCCTTGCTACGTCCTGGCATCACCAACTTCCTGCTACCCAACTGACAAAGTCCAAAGCAGTTCGGCGCAGTTTCGTATATTCCAACTCGACGCTCGGCAGTATTATTATGAGCATGTGCATCTAATTCGTAAAGGACGACACCGCTCTCAAAAACGGTACAGTAATATGAATCAGTCAAACAGGCTCGAATCGGAATCATATTATACTCAATCTTGAAAGGCTCCGTTCCCGTCTCGCTCTCCCATAGGACAAATTTGTTGGGTGAGTATGCTGGGGCTGGGCCACCGCCTATCAAGGCAACATAGCGTGACGATGACAGCACTGATGCGAACTTAACGGAGCCTTCAAGGTCTGCATCCTTTCAGCACATCTCATCGATCGGAGCTCGAAGTTCCTACCTTTCGCGAGCACCAATTTACCCGTAGCACTCTCGTACAGTCGGAAGCCATCCTCGGTACCAACTGCGAAAATAGTCTCATCCTGGTTAAATTCGACCCCAAATGCCACATGATCAGGCGTGGAGTCGAAAGGCTGTCTAGTGTCCATAGAGCGCCGCTTTTGACCGACGTTTCGCGGCTACCAAAGCAAGATAGACTTCAATATGATAGTGCCGATGACATGGAGGCAAAGGTTCCAAAATGACAGTCGATTAAACGGTCATGTGAATCCGGAGGGTCAAAGAATGAGTCTTCCCCACGTGGTATGCTTTGGCATGTATCCCGTGGTGCGATGCGCCGTGTGAAGCGGCGTTACAACAGCTGACAGCCTTAAATCAACAAATCGAGAACTATCGTTCGTACCTAACGAATCATTTGCTATACAGTTAAAGAAACATAATTTGGCTGTCCTTTCCAAGATGATCGAGATGTTTGGTCTGGGTTGACGAGCTGGGCCTCGTTATGTAAGTTCTTAATAAGAGTCACGTCCTACACATAGTCACGTGATTTTAAAGATCAGGTTCTCTTATCATATAGACAAACAGGGGCGTCAACACACCCAGTTCATCGATAGTTCTTCTCCATTTTGGATTAGTCTTTAAGCTACAGATAGTAAAATCGCGCGCCGTGGTTTTGCCTGAGAAAATTGTCTTTCACATCTCGTAACTTTTGTCATTTTCGTTCATTGACAATGGGATATCCTCAGATCCTTTTCTTCCTTTTAGACGCCCTTAGAAACTTCCCGATATCACTCATTGTTTTATTTGGTCTCGGCCGCCACACTTGCATGCTTCCTTGCACAGCAATCTTCTACGTGATCTTCATTGGTTTTATTGCCGTCGCTCGATGTGCGAGCCGATTCTACGGCTTCCTCGTCATGAATCTTTTGTTTCTGCTCTTTGGCGGCGACATACTCGTCGTACGTCTTGCCTGCCGCTCGTGCCGTCCGAATCGTGTCTCTATTACGCCAGATCCACGATAGCTGTACAACCACAAGCCCTATTTCCAGTATCATGACGATGATGTAAGACGCGCCCCCGAATTTGTCCCACTTGTGCTGTGTAGCAAGCGAGACGAGGGAAAACAACGCGCCAGCAAAATCGATAGCGACGAAGCGGAAAGAGAGACCAATGAAGCGCCAACCATCTTTGTACGCTTGATAAAATGGGACGATGAGACCTAGGTTCAGAAGAGCGCAGGCCCATGCGCCTAGTGCTGTTAGTGGCCACTGAACGCCTTTGTTGTATGGGATCTATCATGTCAGTCTAAGAAGCTAATTCCCCGGGTTGTTTCATCCTACTCTTATCCCAAGTACAAGGGCTAACTCAAGGGCTGCAAAGCCAGCGCCCGTAGCGAGGGCCGTCAATATTGCTTGCCAAGGTTTGTATTTTCTGCATTTTCGTTAGCACACGTACTCGGTCCTTTCTTTGCGTCCGTCTTACTTTGCATAGTATAACGTCTGACTCCAGCACAAGAGACAGAGAGAGCAAAATATTTGAGGCTGGGCCTGAATGGCCAGATTGTTTTCCTGTGCGTTTGTCAGTGACGAATACTTCGACTTCGTTGAGGGAGGCACCTACCCGAAGGATACAATAAGCGCCAAAGAAAGGCATGGCTATCTGAGTTGGTGACGTAGGCTTTGCACGGATGATTAGAAAGACATACCAGATGCCCAGAGCAGAAGCATATGACTTGGCACGCCTGTCGTGGTATGCCGTCGCCAGTTCTTCCATATCTGCGGCAGAATTTGTATGCACCAGCACGCTGTGCCTATGCCTCCAAGTACCACTGATATCTACATCTTCGTAAGCCTGAGATCTCACTGGAGTCATGAACAGAGTTGAGTAATCACCTGTGGTTGGGCTGTGACGTGCTCGTCGGACGACATCTCCGAAGAATCTGGGGAAGGACGTGGTCGTACGCGGCTGTTCTAAAGCACCTCACAGATCCGACAAGCTTGGAAAAGGATACGGCTTGCGACAATGGGATGCAGAGTGAAGAAAATAGACATGAATTCGAGACGTTTAAGTAGCATGAACAAAAAGCACAAAGAAGCCACCCAAAAAAAAAAGATAGATGTGAAGATGTAGGTTTGGATGTTCTACGTTGACGATCAGGTGTAGGAAGGTAACATCATGTAACTCTCAAGTAGTCCTGCATGTAAGGACCTTATCTGAAATCTAGTACATCACCAGCTGAAGAATCGCTTAACGAAAGGAGACCAGTCACAAGTCCTCAAGTGCCGTCCCCGCTCTGTAAGGGCCATTATTGGGTTGTGTGGCCATCTGGAACGCACGTCACTGCGCCTCTTCAGATCAGTCGCAAGTCAAGGTGGCAAGGCTATTCGGCAGGACCGCGACATGACGATGATTAGCTCACCTCGATACGATCTCCGCACATGGAGAGACAGTACTTCAGAATCGAGGCGTAAAATTTCCAGCTCCACCGGTCAAGCGCAACAGCCGCGCAATAAATCAAGCCGCGAGGTTGACGGTGCGGCCGGTCACGCAAATAGACTTTTGAATTTTCGCACCAGGTTCCAAAGAAGGAGAGGACATGTTTTGTGGAAACGATGTTCGTTCTAGCGTCAGATCATGCAAGCCATTCGCATGGCTCTGCGCTGCAAGAAACGGGGTCTCTGCAAGACTAGACCGATCTTGAGATCGATGCTCATCGTTCAATTGGCAGGGCCAGATATCGGCAGTCCCTTCAGACGGCTTTGCGCTAGCTCACGTCAGGAGCATTGTTATGGAACAGTCATCCCTTGTTCGGCCGACGAAAAGTGTTGATGAGTTTTCTGATTGGTCTGGCTGCCGTGGCCGTAAGCGTTGAGCTCCAAAGATCCCGAATGCGGCCAACGCGGGCGACTCCACATGTTCTCCTCCTTTAGGAAATCTCATCAGACAGACATCGCACCGTATCGGATACAGCGGTTGCTCAGTGGCGACAGGAGAACGAAGGGCAAGACGGTTCAAGCCCATTCTCAGCTCCTTCGGGGTTGGTGTCGTCTAGCTATCGTGCTTTAAGGTTGCAGATCCAGCCGCGGATGAGCAGGAAGGAAGCCGACACGGTGCTTTGATTGGCTGCAGACATGGGGCCTTTGCCTTGCGAACATGTACAAGAGTAACTAGCGACGTGGAAGACTTCCCCGCGAGTAGCACAGTCGTTCGCGACAACACTCCTGGCGATAGAGCGCAGTCGGGTTCGGTCAGCTGACAGAGGCCCGGCGAGAGGCCAACGGGCGCCTCCCCAAGCGTCGGCCTCCAGTGTGACGCTTGCAGGTGACCAATGTCTGAGGCGAACTGCAAGCGAGGCAGGTCAACCATATCCCTCATGCGGCTCTTCGTCGCAGAGATCGACTTCTCCTTCGCGGTGGCAGACGATCTGGACGACGACTGTTCCGCTCACATGTCAATTCTCCCGCTGGACAGTTCCCTTCTTTGTGTCCACCGTCCGGCTCTGGTCTCGCCTCGCATAGCATCACGCACAAGCGGAAAGTCCCCACATCGCGTCCACTCCGCAGGGTCGAAAGACACAACTCGAGCGTGAATGACTTGCATCGGAGCAAATGGGGAGACGGAACGCTTCCAGCGCGCGCAACCTCATTGGACGCCCTCGGAGAGTTTGCGACTTGCGCGTTCAAAAATGCTGGTCCTGCCCGCTTTGCCCCAATTAACTGAAGACGAGAGGCAGATGCTTGGTGTTGCAGCGCAAAACCGCAGGCCTTGGTGTTGGTGTATGCTCGCTGGCCTCTTGTTTGGTAGCTGGGAACCTAGGTCCGATGGCTGACTGGTCCGTGGACGCAGAACTCAGTGCACAACGGTGGAACCAACCGTTCGGCTGGCCTGATTCTGGCCACGAATGATGCCGCGCGAAGCGCGAGGCACGCTTCGTCCTGGAAGTCTCGAGTAGGATAGGGACGTTCACCCAGGTCGTTCGGAAGCAAAGGCGGACATTTGCTTGTTACACGGCATTCACGGCCCTTCGAGCTGCTGGCTTTGACATGCAGATTCTAGATCGAAGAAGCGAATGGTATACAATGGTCGAGCGATCTTCGGTTCATAGAATTGTTCCGACATCCTTGCCGTCGCCTGGCGCGGTAATGATGGACTGCTCCGACAAGGGAGAACTTAGCCATTCTGCCCACTCGATGCTGGAAAAGATATGCAATACTTTATTCGCACGTCAGTCAAAAAGAGCCCGCCACAGCTCATCCTGAGATCTATTCATCCGCGCCGGATGTTCGAGCATAGTGCTCTGCATGCCGATCGATGAAATTTCAGACACTACGTAGTTCAAAAGAACGCCGAGGGACACTCTGTATTTCCTCGTGGTAGATAATGCACCAAGAGCACGAGATCAAGCCTAGAATTAAAAATGTAAGGTGTTCTTGCGTACACATACGAAATCAATCTTCAATTGGACCCCCAGCGCAATGCAGCTCAAACCATCAAGGCCAAAACCTTGCCAGTTGTTAGGCCACTCTTGCAGCACACACTCCATATCGCCTAGCTAGTGTAAAGAATAGATGATTACTCCCCTTTCCTTTTTCCCTCATACAGCGGGCCGCAATCACGGTAATGTAAGACCCGCATCTGCAACTCAAGCCAATAATCAATGACATTTTGCTCGCGTATGAAAATAAAAACTCGACAGATGGCTTAGCTGCTTACTCGCGGTCGTCATCTGCTGCAAGGGCGGCATTCTGCTCACGGTGCATGCGTGCCTCGATCTCCTTGAGCTGCGACTCGCGGGCCAAAAGCTCCTGTCTCTTCTCATTGATCTCCCTCTGTACCTTGACCTCGATCTCGCGAAGCTTCTCTTCCTCGCGACGAAGTTGCTCTTCCTTCAAGCGGACGGACTGTGAGGCAAGATCCTCAGGATTCATGGAGGAATCACTATGACAGGTACATGCGTTAGCGGCGGTGCATAGTATCTCGTATCATACGGGGGTTGCTTGCTTATGCAGACTAGTTTTATGTATTGGAGGGTAGGGAGGGAGATGTGAGAGCGGGGAGGGGGGTAAAAAGAGGAGGGTATGGGATCCACGTACATTCCAGCGCCACCCTCGACGCTCTTGCTGAGCTTCTCGGTACGGTAGTTCTCATACAGGAAGTCGTGCGTGATTTCCTTGAGATCGGCAAGGTGAGAGTGCAGAAGTGCACTGCGAACGGCAAGGAAGTCGGAGTGACGAGGATTGTCGACCTCGACAATGCCCCAGGGGTACTGTCTAGCGCGAACTCGTCGGCCGTTAACCTCGACCACCTCCTCCGATCCGACGATAGCGAATGGCATGAGGCCACGAAGCTCGGCATTTTCTTCAACGGTATCTTCATCATCCTCCTCAATGTCATAAGGGAAGTTGTAGACAGGGATACGATAGTGCTCAATGTCCTCCATGACAAGCTTCTTGGACTCTGCCAATTCTGCAGGTGTAAGCGAGTCCGCCTTGCCGATGACAGGAATGACGTTGACACGAGGAGAAAGGCGTTTCATAAGCTCGATGTCCAGCTCGCGCAGCCTAGAGACACGAAGATCAGCGTTGTGCAGGAGCAAGGGGTGTTCAGGTCGGATTTACCCGTGGCCAGTGGGTGTAATGAAGTAAAGCAAGACATGCACACGGTTGTCTCTGAAGCGGGGGTTTCGCTTGATTCGGGATTCCTCCGCGAGAATGTCGTCGTACTGTCTCTCGAGGTAGCCTACGATTTCCGAGAAGCTGCCCAATGGTTAGTCGGCCAACTCGCCTCCATAATACTGTGGCACTGCTGAGATGAAGTGTACATGCCTGGCCTCATTATCAATTTGGTCGCCAAAGCCAGGGGTGTCAACAATGGTCAACGATATGCGGGTTCCCTCCTCATCGAGCTCTGCAAACATTCTTTAGCATCTGCGCTAACGACCTCTAAGTTCGGAAGAATCGGCATACCAACAGTAATTGGCTTAATCTTGACACCTTCCTCGATGTGCGCAGTGGTTGGGTCATCGGAGTCTTTGTGCTCAAGCACCTTCTGGCCACATAGGGTGTTGACGAATGTGGTCCGACCTGAATGATATGGCCAGTCAGCCGACAGACTTTGATAAACATACACGCGCGCTCTCTTCTTCTCAGGACACTGATCTGAGCAAGAAGCTTGGGGCGTGAAGACGGAATTGAAAAAAAGGTCTCATATTACCTGTGCCTGATGCACCGCAAACCATCAAGCAGAACTGAATTCCTTTCTTGACATTCTTCTTTCGACGAACCTTGCTCATCTATCAGCACAGTTGAACGTCAGCTGCTCAACTCTAGGCTGGCGGCGAAGGGGAGGCAATGGTTTTGGTTCAGAGCATACCGCGTTGATGGATGGGTGAGAAGACATGATGCTGGCTTGCCTCTAGCTGACGCTACGCTTCGAAGGGTACGTGGAACAGGGTAGAGCCTCTGGATGCGCAGGAAATGGGTGTGGATTGTGCAAGAGCTTCGCACGAGAATAGCGGTTGTCAGCAACAATCTCTGGTGTTGCAATCGGCTGGAAAAGGTGCGGTCGAGGTGCAGATGCGAAGTTGGTGTCGTGGTCCCCTTGCGGTTCGCTCCTTCTGAAAATCAACCTCCACACGAAAAAGGGGATCGGGGGCACCTGCCAAGCTTTCTCTTGACAGCTCTCAATTGGGGGAAAGCGCGTTCCGATCTTATCCCTATTTGGCTTCGCATATATTGAAAATCACGTGCATTCTTTCATGCCCTTTCTCGCGGACCGTCTAAGCCAATTTCGTCCTGGCGCTTCCATCCTATCATCAACGCGCAGGCGTACATCGACAACATAGATGGAATTGATGAAGCCATACCACTTCGACAAGTAAGCGCATTTTTGGAAGGCACAAACACTTCCGACTTAGTAGCCATGGCTCTAATTCTTTCGGATGCACGAACCATGACAACCTCGATGATCACCTACATTACAATTTCAATTTGCAAGACCGTCGTTTGGGGCGTTCATACTGTGGTACTTGCTCAGGTATCCAATGCTGAGAACAATCTTCCTGAAACCAACATTCAAGCAAAACGAATATAACCTTTTGCTACGTCTGCCTAGTATCCCTGCACTCCTGGCCAATTCTCTTCGGTTTCAGTGTAGACATGTTTGTGGTCCTATAACCTAGATGCGTAAAAGAGAAAAGTAAGAGCTCAAATTGACTACTAGATCCGTCGCTTCCTGCGGAGGATAGTAATGAATCGCGAATGCTAGCCCAGACTCCTAGGTGAGGACATCTCTATTCAGTGAGAGATATTAAGTCATCTTAAAGCGGGGATTTGTGTCATGATTGTCTACACGGTTGAGAGTGGACACTGGCACAACATAGAACAAAGCGGAACGCATCTAGGCCAGGCTGCTCTAGTACTTGATCGCATGAGTACTGTGAGATAAGGCGGAAGAGACGTGAGATAGACCAAGCAATTCAAGTATGAATTCTCGGGGTTCGAAATGTCTTCACTAAGATAAGAGCCATGGAACTTGATTACGGGGGTTTTTTCTGGCGAGTCACGTGCGCAAAGCTTTCGTTGCGGTGGGTTTAAATTGCTGCTTGATCAGTGGATAGGGTCGCTCAAGCGAGTGAAGATTCATAATAATAAGGACATAGCCATGGCAGCTGATTCTGAGGCTCATGGTGTGGAGCCACAAACACCTGAAATGTTAAATGAAAGACTGGTCTTCTCCGTATCCTGCTCTCTGAAGACTACCTCCCCAGATAAGATGGTGCTCATTTAGTCCCGCTGTGCTCAAAAGCATCTCGCAGGCCATGGCGAATCGTGTTCCTTTGAAAGACTAGAGCTACTCGGGCCCAAGGTAGACGAGGATTACAGAGCTTGGAGGATGGAATTGGACGAGATGAACCAGGTTAGGAGTAAGAAGAATCGGATACAGGGTTCCTCTGCTGCCACAATCCTGTCCTTTGAAATCATTCCAGGCGTTTACACATTGCCTAACAAATGGACACTGCTCTCTCCAATCTCAATTACTGACACAGTGCTCTTCGCATCCTCTAAGCAGATCCGCACGGAATCGATGGCACGTCCCTTCTCTTAGCACACTATCGTAGTTAAGCCAAGAGTCGACATGCGGTCAAGAGCCGTGGTCCGAAAGGCGAATGCACGGTGCAACGAGGAGATAAAAACCAAGTTCGATTCATTCGCGGAAGAAATGCTCGCCCTTGAGCGTAGCATGGTCAATCGTGTCAGCCTGAACAAAACGTTTCGCCTTCGAGAATAAGCTACGGGATAGGAATGACGCCAAAATGCTGATGGTGCACTTTCCTCTCTGAGGCCGAGAGACCAAGGTGAATTCCTGTGTGCAACAAGACGAGGATGGTGTGAATGTCGAGAAATGAATGGTGGGCTATGGGGTGCTTAAGAATATTGAGCCGGCCATGCTCAAGGCATGGATGAAGAAGGTAGACTGAGAACCCTTCGCCGGCGTGGTATTAGTTGGGTAAAACTATTGAAATGGTACAGGTGCGGTGCCATCGTTCCCATAATGACAGTCAAGAGGAGTCACGGAGACTTGACTTGATCTCTTACATTGCGACTCTGGGCTAGATTGTTGGACTTGGATTGCCACCTTGTCTCTATATCTTCTCTGCTGACATGCACACTCAAATGCAGAGCGTGCCACACGATGGAAGTATTATTAACGAAGAGATATAGCACACAAGGATGTAATGATTGGTTTGAAAAGAGACGCAATGCTGTAAGGTTCCTGGGCTAAGAGGATGATATTGTCGAGACAAAGTGTGGCATGAAAGAGATGTAGCCTTCTCTTCCATGACGAGAGCTTACGTCGTCCTCGTCAACGTCGACGTGCATGTCGCGTAAGCAATCGTTTCATTGCCGCATGCGGTTTTTACGATTTTGCAATGACGACCTGGCTCACGCGCTGTGCATCCCACACCATCTGTTTCAATATAGGCCATTGTCCACTGTCCAAATGACCACCTAGAGCGCATGATTCCGGAAAACCGGGATATTGTTTCCCCTTCCCCATTTCTTCCCGTCTGTTCTCAGAGGACGCCGAGAACTAAAATAATAATTTTTTTTTTTTTTTTTTTTTTTAAAAAAAGGGCCTCGAGTGGGTTTTCCATTTACCCACCACGCCCGTAAAGCAAAACGGCATCAGCGTTGCGCGTTTCCACTGGGCAGATCCACAACTCCACCCACCTCGCCCTAAATATAGCAACGAGCGACTGCGTCCGGGAAGGGCAGGGCAAGGGGGGGGGGGGAGGGTAAAAACCCCAGCAAACGTTTGCGTCACTCGCCACTCTTGTCGACAAGCTTCAGTAGCCGCGCTTGTACGTACGCACCTATCTGATCCGGAAGGACAGCAAGCATCGCCGGCGTTGCCATAAGAGGAGAGGGGAGAGAGGGGAGGGGGGAGGGGAGGGTCGCGGGGAGGAGGAAAAAGAGGGGAGACGTGGCGATTTCGTCAGGGACACGGGTTGCGCCGCACGCTGTTTCGAGGTAGCGAGTACGGGGTGTGGATGAGCCTAAAGTCTCGCAAACTGCCTCAGCTGAGGGTTTGGCAACCGTGAAATGATATTTGGGACCCTTCAAAGCACTAGGCCGTGGTAATGATGAATTGGGGATGTTTCTGAAATTTCCACAGGGCTGGGCAGGCTTATCTTCGCCTTTTTTTTAATTTATTTTTTTTTTCCTTTTTGTTTTAGTAGACGTCGCGGACGCATTACGTCCACGAAATTGGCTGTGGTTTACGTCAACAAGACTGGACTCTTTGCGAGTCTGCCACAGGTTGGTAGTCTAAATCCTGGGCGAAGCGGCAAATTTGTGTGACGCAGAGGCACAAAAGAGATGCAGCGACGTGAATCCTTTTAAAATTCTTTTCGCGTCTCGGTAGAGGAAGAATGGCGACTTCTGGCTGTGCTGAACGGGATAGGAGAGGCAGGAATTCAGTTTGTTTCATATGATTGTGTAATTTCAATTCATTGACTCGAGCTTTCTCAACCGCGTGCATGAAAATCCAAGTTAACAAGCGCGTAGCTCAATCTAGGCTAAAAGGCGGAAGCAACCGCAGCAGCATCAGCAGCAACAAAAATGGTGCTAGGTACAATGTTTTTCCAAGAAGAGCTGCAACTCACATCCGTCAAAGACCCTCCACATCCAAATGGGTAGTCAGAACATGTTTGCGCAACGAACTTCCGTAGGGTATCAAGTTGTAGATTAAAGTAAAAAGAAAATTTGCGTGGCCCAATTTCGTCCGCGTAGTAAAAGCCAGAATAAATGGTCATGATCAAGAATCGAGGAAGCCACTGTCCGATATCCTGCCACTCGTCGCTTTCGCTCGGCGTCCTCGACCGTGGGAAATTCAGATGTAAAACAAAACCGGATATGGTACACGAAAAGATGAGAGCGTGTGCGCAGTAATCTGGTGCCTTTTTTTTCCTTGGTCCGGCCGTGGAAAAAGACGTTCGTGTGCGTTCTAAAGGGTCAACAGGCGAGTGTGCGCTCATGACGACGTGGAGCTGCTGGTGCTCTGTCGCTTCAGCGACTTTTGCGATTTGAATATCCACTGCGAATGAAAGTCAGGATCGGCTTACGCATTGAGGTGCAGAAAAAAAGAGGGGGGAGGTTCCCATACTTCTGAGGAGTGGCGACCGTACACCATCTGTTCCCAGTCGCTGTTCGTGGACGATCTGTTTGTGCTGGTGGTGCTGGTGGTGCTGGTCGACGAGGTGCGATGTGCGGCTGGAGCCATTGCTGGTCGCTTCGGCAAATGCTGGGCTGGCTGTTGCTGAGGCTGTTGCATCTTGACGGCCGTGGCCTGCTCCGACGATCGCGACGGCGCAGGGCTCCGGCTTCTTGAGCGTCCGCGGACGCGGTCTGTAATTGCGCCGAAGAACGCGCGGGTGGCAGATGAATGGCTCCCCGAAGACATTGTCGGCGTGCGTGGTGGACAATGGCTGGAATGGTGGATGCCTGGGCTCGTTTTTGACGCAGAGACGCTGTGGTCGAATGTGGACAAAGCTCTCAATTGAGCTGAAAGGAGCTCTCAAGGCAAGAAATGATGTATAGTCGGAGAAGATGGACGGCTTGAGGGAGGAGGGGGGGAGAGGCAGAGAGGAAGCCGAAGCCAAGTATATATATATAATTTGGTGGCTTCACGGCCGTGGACGAGGTGGAAGGGCGATGCGGCTCCGTATTCTTACCAGGAAAGAAAAGGTGAAGATGGCCCGTCGACCCCTCGTGGGAGAGTCAACAGATCCTCGCCTGTTTTCTACCTGGTGCGCGCCGTCCAGCACGCATTTTCCGGTGAGATGAAGCCACAACCCCTGGCCCTTCATTCCAATCCATGCAGGCCAGCGGTCAGTCCTACCAGCTTGCCGAGCGGGATGGCCAATGACACACCGAAGACATCTTCTAGCGTTGGCCAAGGACGTTCGATAGGGCAGAAGGCAAGTCCCGCCTGTGGGCCACCTCACCGCAGAGGATGGTCCTGCACCACCGAGTCGACAGCCCTTCTACTGTGCTGTGCAGCTCCCGCATCACCAGCAGCGAGCAGCAGTGCTCCACGGCACCCGCTGTACGGTTCCCGGTCTCTCAGGCAGTGAGGATGCACACGTCGAAGCAACGGACCAAATGCTCTCCTCCTTCGCAAACGGCGCCCTCCGACTCTGCACACTCTGTCCGTCTGGTCCAAGTGCGTGGTGTGCTTCCGCAAGCTACCAACCGCAAAGAGGGGGGGCATACGCAGTCTTCCATTTAGTGAGCCAATAAGTCGTGCGCGTGTTGGTGAGCATGCCTTGCTATCGTGGGCTCGTCACTGGTCGTCCAGTCCTCCGCGTGCATGCCGTACAGAACGTCTGAGTGTCTGGATCTTTCTTGTCGGCGTGCCCTATGCACAACCAGGGGTGTGGCTTTTGTTCGTCGTTCCTTTTTGTGAGCGATCCTCGTAGCACCGTAGGCGACACCGACGCCGAACGTGCGCATCCTAATCCCGCTGCAGCACGCGGGTGAGACGAGCGTGCATCGCTTTTTTTTCCGCTTGCTCCCACCAGATGATCCCGCAAACGTGGTTGCTGACTGCGCTTTGTGGTCGGTGAACGGTGCTTGATCTGCTGTCGATGCTGTTTCATCGCTCTGTCAACCACCGAAACCTGGCTGACTGACCGCGCTCTCGTACCATCCATCTCACCGTGCCCCAGCACTCTCAGTCGACCGGCTGCCAAAGGTTGTGACGTCGTGAGGCGAGCCTGTTCCTCTCTTGGCCATTACTAACCACGGACCTCCGTATGACTGTTTCCTTGCCCCATGTCGCTGGCGCTCCGTCAGAAGGGGACGCGCCAACGCTAGGCAGCCGCATTATCAGGTCCCCGTAGCAGCAGTCCACGCCTGTTCGTCCTGCGCTGTTCTGTCCCACTGCTGCTGCGGACTCGCAAACAAGCACGCGCAATATCGCTCAACAATCCAAAATGGCTTTCCATCTTTTGGTCGCCAATTGGGAGACTACTGCACGTCCATGGTCGACGTACAGGTCGGGCAGTCTAGGCTGGCGCGAGGAGCCGTTCGCTCGACAGAGATGATCAGTCAATCGTCTCTTGCACACGAAACAAGGCCCAGTTCCTAGCAACGTGTTTCGCGCAGCCCAGAGATGGCCGGCTTCGCGGGTTTGTCATATGCTTCGTCGCATCGACAAATCAACCCAGCGTGCTTAGGCGATTCCTCCGCGCCCCGCACACACTCCGTTGCTTAGTGCTATCTCCGTATCACCACATGTCCCCCCATCGTGTTTCTTAAATGGCGTGAGTGCAAAGTCCTTTGCTCACGCTGTTTTCAAAACGTCTTGTGCATTTCTTTGCTATATCTCTCCAAGTCTTCCGCCGTCTCTCTGACCTTCCTGCTGCGAGCCCGTGCAATCAGAAAATCAACGAAAATACCATCATCCGGGTCAACTTTGTTGGTGCCTTCTGACGTATCCTTTCTCCACCCCGCCATCCCCGAGTTTCCGAAGCCGCAACACCGAAAGTCCGACCGTGTGCAATCCTCCCGTGCTGTTGCTTCAGCCTGGTCTGCGGCCTCCTTCTACCTCACGCACAAAAGTTCGGCCCCGTGAAACTTAGCACCGTAGACCGACGCGTGTAGAATTGTCTCCTCTGCCAGTGCGAACCGGAGATACGCTGTCTGCGGCTTGTGTGCGTTACATGTAAAGAAGAACAAGAAAGCAGCGAAGAATCTTGAAACAGATTCAAACAGACAGCTCACACATATTGCCCACAAATACGTACCCACTCGCCAATTAAGCTTTGCCAAACACAAATCAGAGCAAGGACGCAGATCACAAGAAGGCCCTATTGAGCTGAGGACGCAACTTTCTCAAGTTTATACCAGAGTGTTCTGTAAACCGTCGCCGACAAAGACACTTGATTGCTCCATAGACTGCACCGCTACGCCCACGCATCAGCACAACGCATTCCATGGAATTCTCCACGGATTTCCTCGGAATCGACAGCATGTACAATTACGGCTCCACACCGCGGCCCTCCCGCCGTGAGAGCTCGTCCTCGACTACGTCCACCTCCTCAATGGAAAGCATCCGCGGGCCGCTAAAGCAATACGCCGCCTCTTCAAGATCGCAGCCGCACAAACGAACATCCTCATCGGCAAAGTCTTACTCGCCAACGCCACTGCCAACGACGAGAATGCCTTCGTCATCCTCATCATCATCATCGTCGTCGTCGTCGTCGTCGTCGCCGTCGCCGTCGTCCGCCCAGCTCAGGAAGGCAAAGCGCTCCGACCTCGGCCTCGAGATCGACAGAGGCGCCGCCGCCGCGTTCGCTTCGGCCAGGACCCGGCCCTCCGTCAGGCACGAGGACACGGGCTCCAGGTCGAGCACCAGCGCCCCGATTCCGATCCCGGCGCGGAAGCCCGTCGTCAAGCTCAGGCGGGACGTGGGAATGCGTCAGGCCATGGACCTGGCCGGCTTCGCGGCCTACATGAACTCGTGAGCCTCTCTTCGCCACGGGACCCAACTCGCCCGTTCCCTTTCATTTTCTTACCCCCCCCCCCCCCCCCCCCCCCCTTTTTTTTTTTTACTTAGTCGAACTCGAAGCGTGTACTGTTAGCCGGTGCGTAGGAGTCGGATACGGGTTGCTTTGGTGTTTTGGTATCATTCTTCTCCTTCCCCTTTCCTGAACGGATGGGGCATGACCACACGTGCATGGAACGAAAGCGGACTCTTTCATCATGGCTTGCTTTTCTCTTAGATAGGAATTGGACACGCAACGCTGGGCTGGAAACCGGCTATTTTCTACTTTAAGATGACTCAATTAAAAATTCCATGCGCGGGCAACTTGATGTCTACAAAGTGATTGACGTTACACGCATACGCATGGGGCACTTCTTCTAGATCGTTGTCTTGCATTTCCATATCCGAGCCTTCGGGCCGGAGAAAACTGGCTAAATGCTTAGATATGTATATACACGAAGCTTTCCTCGATCAAAGCAACGTGGTTAGACAGACGGACGTTTCGAGTTCTGACACTAGGAAAAAAAAGCACAATTCGAAAAGATGCGCGACCCATCATTCCGACGCCGTTATGAGATCCCAATGCGCACACAAGCATTCCAAGATACAGACGATAAGAGTCGCCGCAGCGAACAGTACTGTGAGACGAAATAGCCAGAAAATGCGATCGAACACTACATGACCACTGTTCAGAATTGCTCGTCAGACGTACTTGATCAAAAAAGCTGATCTGGAAGGGATAGATAAAGCAAGTGTGCTTGCTTCAGTTCATCTCTGCGAAGAACTCGCGCAGCTCCTCCTCGACGAAATCCTCAATCTCGTCAGTCAGCTTCTCGATCTTGGCCGCAAGCTTGCTACCGGCCTTGCTCATCTTCTTGCCGGCGTGTTCAAGAGCCTCCTCCAGCTCCGTCTCGGTAGGGAGTTGGATGTGAATCTTCTCCTCTTGAGCGCGTGCCTTGTAAGAGCCCTTCCGGATGATGTCAGAATAGTTGGAGGCTCCACCACCATTCCATGCAAGGATCTATATTACTCGTCAGTTCCATGTCAAAGTTGACGCATCCACACAGGGTTTAAAACTTACGTTCTTGGTGTCACTTGGAACATCGGAAAGTGCGCCCTCAGTGGCAATGGAGATAAGGTTGGCCTTGAGTTTCTGGGGTGTGATATCAGCGACAGCATAAGCAGAGTCCTTTGCTGGCTGTAGTGAGAGCATGTAAGCGAGCAGACCGGCGATGTGTGGCGAAGCCATGGATGTACCCGAAATCGTGTTCACGGCGTACTTGCTGCCAATCCAAGTGGACAAGATGTTCAAGCCGGGAGCAAAGATGTCGTTGCACTTGCCATAGTTGGAGAAGTAAGCACGTTCATCGGCGAGGGTAGAAGCACCGACAGTGATAGCCTTCTCAGCGGCGGCAGGAGAGTAGTTGCACGAATCTGCGTTGTCGTTGCCAGCAGCGACAGCGAAGTGAATACCAGCATCGACCGCAGCATTGACGGCCATGTCTAGAGTAGGAGACTTGCCACCGCCCAAACTCATGTTTGCAGCAGAGCCCTTGAAGCCTTTGGCCTTGCCACTTTTCGCCGCGGCCATCTTGGCAGAGTGTGACTCAGCGGCGTACTCGACACCCTTAACAACGTCGGACATCGTTCCGGAGCCGTTGGAGCGGAGCACTTTGACGGCGATAATGTTTGCCTTCTTGGCAACACCATACTTCTTGCCAGCAACAGTTCCGGAGCAGTGGGTGCCATGTCCATTGCCATCTTCGTCAGCATCATTGGCGGGGATAGTTTTGCCCCAGGTAGCACGTCCCTCAAAGTCAACGTGGTCTACATTGGTGCCGGTGTCGATAACGTAGACATCAACTCCTTCGCCACCATTGGCCGAGTACAGGTACTTGTTAAATGTGCCGAAGGAGAGTGTGTCACGGTGGGAGATACGAGCAAGACCCCACGGAGCGTTCTTCTCCGTTTCGTAGTCTTCGGAAAGCGTATGAACTTCCTGGTCTTGTTCGATGTATTCAACCTGTCACAATTATCGTTAGCTGTTATTTTAGCAATCCAAGCAGATATCATCGTGTTGGTTGCTATGGACCCCGGACGATTGCGTGACCCAGAACCGGGATGTAGTGATAGGGTAAATGCGGGCCAAACTCACGTCAGGATGTCTCCGCAGCTGTTCGAGGACAGCGTCATCGAAATGACCAGAATAGCCCAAGAAGCTGCCGGCAATATTGTATGTGTGCTTCATGCCGGTCATTACATCGTCAACGAAAGGAATCTGCGAACGCTTGCGGAGCTCAAGCTTCCGTGACTCCGTCTGGACGTGCAGGTCATTCACCCACGCATGATGAGCGGCGGCTTCATGCTCCTTCACATGGTCCTTAAACTTGACGATATATGTGTTGGGGATGTGTTTTGCGTTAACCGACTGAAGGAGTGGTGCTTCGGGTATGGACCCGGTATTGAAGATGGGTGACGCAGCAGCGCCGATGGCGAGACCTAGCAAAGCGCCGGCCTTCATGGTGGAGTGAATGAACAAAGAAGAAGAGAGATGAGCGAAGAACGATGACAATAAGTCCTGCTGATGAACACCAGAATGCTCAAGCCAGAGGACAAAAGTGTTGAGGAGAAAGGGAAGAGAAGAGGCAAGAGGACGGCTGCGGATGTGGTGTGGATAGATAGGCTGCGTCAGATCTGGGGTCGGCGCTCGTGACTGCGACATTGATAAGGGCGCTGCCTTGCCAACGAGACAAGCCGGAGGCTGGTTAGGGTACGGCGTGACCCAGTCATGATGGCGGCTAAGCCGCTTGTGGTTGGATCATATTTGTGCTGAGCCACGCAAGGGCCCGCAAGGCTACCATGTCGCTCATTGAGAGCGAGAACGCACAGAGGCTTGAGACTGCAACGGTAGCGCGTCGTGTTCTGCGGTGGACAAGAGACGACGACGGCGGACGCGACAGCGAGGACGGCCAGATCTATTTTTTTTTTCTCTTTACATGAACAGGCAGGCGCGACCTTTGCCTCAAGGGAAGATTAGCGACTTCGCTGCTTCCTTTCTTTTTGGATCCCTCGCACCTGCCTCGTGCCGCCAATAGCAGGCCTCAGCAGGCTCAGCTTTGAGCCTCGAGTCCACCGCACCTTCCGTCTGCGTCAGCGTCGCGAGCGCGCAGGCAATAGCTTTCGCAGGCGTTCCGCGGACTCTCCACACTAATACACGGCAGTGACCTTTTCGAATCCTTTCTCTAACACGCCGACGCCGCAAGTGCAACCCTTCATGATACAGACATGATCTCCCCGCATAACACGCTGAAATCATCCTTCTTCGGCGACGGCGGAGGTCAACAATGGCAGAAGATCCACTCGCAGCGGACTTGAATGCTGCTGTGGAGAGCATAGAAGCTCTGCTGGCGGTGACTGCTCCACAACCAATCAGTAACGATAGAATCCAGAGTCTTTGCATCCAATTACGCCATATACAGCAGGCTTTGATCGAACGGGCAGGCACCGAAGGCGACTCTATAAATCACGCCAGAAACACGTTTAGGCATGTTAATGGCTTCGAGGTACTGCTGCGTGTCCTTCGCAGTGTGTCTGGCTACTACGATGCGGAAAAGTTGTCTCAGGATGAGCGCGCGGAATTTTTCGAATTGCTGAAGACTGTCTTCAATGTGCTGTCTGAGGGGCTAGGCGAACACTCCGGTAACAGGAGATATTTTGCCAAGAGAGTGGAAGATGGCGGCTGGAGGGCGTTGGAGCAAGCGTTGATAAGCAGCGGTCTGGCCGGTTCGAGCGATGATGCTAGCACTGGCATGAGCCAATTATTCGGGCTACTCGTGTCCTTCGCGCTGGCCGATGATACTTTTCAGTCTATTTTCAAGAACTATGGCATGGCTCAAACAAGTGGCTTCAAGGCAGAATCCACACCGGACGACATAACGAAAGAGGTGAAGAAAATGTTCACTGGCAACGAGTTGCTTCGAAACTCTGAGATTGTGCCCACTATCTTCAGCTTCTGGCAGCTGTTCCTCGCGTCTTCAGATTCCTCGAGCAATTCCAGCCTGTCCGCGGCTGTGATCTCAGCTCTGGATATAATTAGCGGCATATCCGTCAGAAACTGCGTCAAAATGCATGAGGCTGGTCTATTGGGAATGCTGCTTCCTTACTGTTTAGACGATAGCACTCACGTGCAACCTGCCGCAAGACCACTCATCTTACAGCTATGCCAAAACCTGATCAAATACGGCGTTGGTAGCCTCGATGATGCCTCTCTTCTATACAAGCAAGCCCAACGCTCAGATGTGGCTGCTCAATTCTTGCTCGACGCCCTGCACCACTCGCGTCCTCAATTCATACAGTTCGATCTGTCGCTACATGGCTATTGCTCTGTCGAGCTACCTACGCTCGGTCGTATATTCCCACCTCCAAACACCGGTTACACGATCAGCACATGGGTTTGTGTTGACGAATTTGATGACAGCTGTCATACAACCCTATTTGGTGCATACGATCATACGCAAACATCATTCATTCTCTTATATCTCGAAAAGGATTCTCATCATCTTATTCTTCAGACATCAGTGACGGCGAACCGACCCAGTGTGCGCTTTAAGAGCGTTCATTTTAACAAGCATGAGTGGTATCACATCGCGCTTGTTCACGAGCGGCCTCGCTTCAAGGGCAGCTCATCAGCACATCTTTACGTTAACGGAAGATATGTCGAAAAACAGAAAGTGCTTTGGCCATCACCACCCCCAACTTCGGCCGATCCAAGCGGCGCTCCACGTGTGGCAGCTGTCCAGGCATTTTTAGGGACACCTCAGAACCTCGCACCACGCATCGGCAGGAATGTGTGGCACTCAAAATGGTCAATGGCCTCATTTCATCTCATTTACATGGCACTCAACGATGACATTATCGCTGTCTACAGGCATCTTGGTCCTCGATATTCTGGTAATTATCAGGATATGCTAGCCTCCTTCATGACGTACAAAGAATCCGCGGCTATGAATCGCCAGAATGAAAATATGCATCCTGGCAACGAAGAAGGCAGTGACATGAGCAAGATGACACGTCAGAAGGCCAGCAATATGGTTCCAGAGTCTGCTTTCGCACTCTCCTTTTCCCCGATGTGGGTTCTTGACAACGAAGATGCGAATAATGTTAATGAGACACGTCTAAACGAGTCATTGAGTCGAGACGCCAGCAAAATGCTAAAACGACTGATTCGAGCTTGTGGTCAAGCTGTCATGCTAAACGCCGCAATACCTAGTATCAATGCCGCATTAACCCACCCACACGGTGTCGCAATCCTCACAGGAGAACCTGTAGTATCTGTCCCTCAATCCCTAGACGAGACCAGCTGGCGTCTTGCTGGAAGCGCAGCAACGGGTCTAAAACTCGTTGAGCTAGCTAATACCAAGGATTCTGTGCTGAGAGCCACAGAAATACTCTTCTCCTCACTTTCTAGCAGCTGGCGCAATAGCGAAGCAATAGAACGTGATGGGTACCAGGTTCTTGCAGGAATTCTTCGTGAGAAACTTGGAATGAGCTCAATTTTCGGAGACAATGGCGTTGCACCACGTGCTCGCATCACCGCCGTTGATGTGGGCGATCGCGAGGAACTAGCACTAGAGCTGCTAAGGCTTATTTTGCGGTTTGTGGGCTATAACGAGCGTGAACCGAAAAAGTCACTCATGATCAATCCATTGGCATACAGAGTCTTGCTTATCGACTTCGACACGTGGCGTCGCGCGCCAATAGCAACCCAGAAGATCTACTACGGGCAATTTCTGCACTTCGCATCGAGTGACTGCATGTATCATCGCTTCAACGTCAAGAGACTCATTAGAATGCGCATGGTGAAGCAGCTTCTCAACGCTCTAAAAGGTGAATCCTTCAGCAAAGACGTCTTTCCTGATTTCCTGGAGGCGTTTACAGCGCTATTGCAGTGCAATGTGACCGGCGATAATTTGAGGAGCTTGGCATTGTTCGTAACATATGCGTTCCAAGATAGTAGAGCATTTCCGAATCGATCATTTTCGCGAGGCGCGAGGGATAACCGTTCGAGTCCTCTCCACACCTTACAAAGCTCAGCGCATTCCACCCCTCGGAGCACAAGTCCAGGCACTAATAATGGTATTCCAATGAATGCAGTAACGCCATATGAAGTGGGTGTGAAGGTTTTGGAAGTCATGACTGATCTACTCTGCTCCTCCTCAGACACAGAGAACATCATGAAATTTGCTAAGACAGTTTCGAATCGGTGGTTGCAGTTCCAACTCGACGAACGTGATGACGAGCGAGTAATTGTTCTCACCACTAGGCTTCTCTTTCGCGTGCTTGTCATTCAGGGTCCTGAGTACACGAAACGATATGCCGAGAAATATGGGGGATTTACCATTTTAAAACACAAGCTCAAATTTTGGTGGAACACACCTGCGTTGTGGACATTGTGTTTCGCATTGATGTTCCGCATAGACCCGGCGCTTATCAGTCTGGATCAAGATTTCAATTTGTTTACGTTGATGGACATCTTCTCGCGTAGCCAATTACAGGTTGCGAATCCAGAGGTCATGATCGTGATTACTGGCATGCTGGAGTACGGCTTACACGAACTCATTCAAAAAGGCTACTCCGCACCTCAAGACGGAAGTGATATGGGCACGGGGAAGAGCGATTCGAGGTTCTCTGTTGTCAGGGAACGCTCAATGTCGCTTAATGTTGATAAATTCTCCAGGGCAAGCAGTAGAAGCTCATTGCAGAGACTTGCTGGCGATGCTGAAGTTCTCAACACAGTCATCAACTTCATGCGTGATTTATACACCGAATCTCCTGCTTTCAAGGAATGGGCAGCGACATCCACATATCTGCAGCAGCTTCTCTTCGTGCTATATCCTGTTATTGTAACGGCCGACAAAGTCTCTGCTGAGACGGAGTTGCAGTCACGTGGTGGAACGCTGACATTCGAGGGCAAAGAAGTGGTTATGAGGCCCCATCTTACATCGGAGAACCTACGACCGCCATCTGTCCGAACGACGAACGTAGATCCCCCACCTAGCCCGACAAGTCAACGCAGTATGCCGTTCCGTCGGGCATCCAGCTTCGTACTCATCAGTACGGATAAGGAGACTCTTGAGGCAGGTGGAAAGCACGCTAGGTTTAATGCTGTAATATCTCCTTCCAGCTCCGCACCTGTTGAGCTAAGAGTATCCAACGGTGTCGCCGAAGGTCTTTTGAAGGTCATAACAAACGTGCTTCTCGACCAGATCCTTAGGCGCAAAGATTTCAATGGTTTCGGCCTATTCCTCAAAGTGCCTCCTGGTTTTCAAGAACACCAAGCGTACTTTGAAAGCTTTGTGCTCAAAGAGGTAATGACCTCGCTGACCACCGAACTGCGCATGAATTACAAGGACTGGCCGAAGGAACCACGTATCATTACAAATTTGAGCCGGTACGCATCGCACATGGCCGAGGCGCTCTTTGAAGGCTGGTTCATTGGCGCACTGAGCGCTGAGCCACTGTTAGAATTTGTAGGGCAGGTACTCGAGCATCTGCAGAGGCCTGATATTAGATGTCTAAAGTCTGTGCGACTGTGCGACGCGAGCGTCCATACTCTGCAGCGTGTGTGCATGCGCATCATGCTCTACCAACTCTCGTCCGTGAACGAAGTTGTAGACGAGAAAGGCGCGTTGGCTTTCATGAAAAAGATGACTTTCTGGCAACCCGTCATACTTGCTTCGGAAGAGACCCTTCCGATGTTCTTGAGACTTGTGTTCTACCTGCTTTATGTCAAGTATTGCAGCCCTATTACTTCGGTCCGTATTGCAGCTCTCGATTTCTGGCGCTCGCTTCTGGTTCAGAAACCGCACGAGGCGTCTAGGGTGCTTACAGAGGCTTTGCATGGAGAGCATAAGCATCTTGGGCACAATTTCATGAATCTTGCTGAGCTCGATAACGATGCCTTCATGGTGTGGACGGACACGTTTAAGGGTGAGCTGGATGCTATGTTCACAGGTTCTTTAGCTAAGGACTGGGAGAACTTCGTGGCAGATCAGAATAAGGAGACGGAAAAAACCGCTGAGGGGCGTATTAGCAAGCGTCGTGAAAAACTCAAGATGTGGCGAGATGAAGAACTCAAAGCAGAGGCGACGATTCGAGAACACGACAATGCAGGCGGTAATTGGAGGAGAAATATTTACGTTTCCGAGAGACTGAAACATCAACGCGCGCTACAGGACCAGCAGGACAATCTGACATATACAAGTGCTACACTCAATAGATTCGACCAAGTGCTCAAAGGGCCCTGTTCCTTATATGAAAAAGAGCAGCCTCCGAAGTGGAGGCTTGATGAGACTGAAGGAGAACATAGGATGAGATTAAGGGTTGTGCCAGATCGATTGACAAGAGAAGACTACCAACCGAAAAGAAAGGCCAGTAGTTCGCTACCAAAGAAACAAGCTTCGCTGAAGCTGGATACGAATGTTTCAATACCCAGTACGAAGGATCTTGTTGGACCTACGCCGGCAGTAACCTCGATCCCGAATAGCATTTTGGAGCCTGGTCGGCAACGAGCTGGGAGCGCGAGCAATAGTCCAAGCACGATGGGACCTGCCGGCGCTGGTGAAGAAGACTATGAAGTTATCGAGGATCCAAAGCAAGATGAGGATGGCTTCGAGGACAAGAATCGCCGAGTCATGCGCGCCTTAGAGAGAGGAGACCAAATCCAGCATTTATTCAATGTATCAAGAATTATTGCTTTGGAAGCCTGCGAAGGATTGCTCATCTTTGGAAAGCAATGTTTATACCTCATTGATAATTTCTTGCAGCGAGCAGACGGAGAAGTCATTCGAGTCTGGCAGGCCACAGCTGAAGAGCGTGATCCGTACTTGCAGCTTCTACCCGATCAGGATGCAAAGAAAGGGAAACTTAGACAGAGTATTACGGACCAGACCAGCCGGCATTGGCGGTGGTCTGACGTAATGGTTGTCTCGAAGAGAAGTTTCCTGCTGCGCGATGTAGCGCTTGAGTTGTTCTTCACCGACGGACGAAGTTATCTGCTCACTGCACGGTCAAAGGAGGAACGTGATGCTTTGTATAAAAAGCTTACAGAACGAGCGCCACACTTAGTATCATCGTCGGTGCCCCCATTCCCCGAGGACGCATGGCGACTAGACTCATGGCGCCATCCAGAAGAGATGTCGCAAGGGTTCCTAGCCAAACTTACTAATTCAGGCCCGAGGGCCGCAACAAAGCAATGGCAGAGCGGCGAAATGTCAAATTTTCACTACTTGATGCTGTTGAATACCATGGCTGGACGTAGCTTCAATGACTTGACCCAATATCCGGTTTTCCCATGGGTCTTAGCCGATTATACTAGCGAGGAGCTGGATTTGAGTAATCCGAAAACATTCAGGGATCTCTCAAAACCCATGGGTTGTCAAACTCCTGGAACTGATGTGCAGGCACGCGAGCGTTACTTGGCGCTCAAAGATATCGGCGGCGACATTGGTCCATATCATTTCAGCACACATTACTCTAGCGCAACAACAGTCTCGAGTTATCTAATCCGGCTTCAACCCTTTGTTCAAGCCTACGTTGCCGTGCAAGGCGGTAAATTTGATGTTGCAGATCGGATGTTTGGGTCTATTCGTGGAGCCTGGGAAGGCGCTTCTGGAATTAACGCACAAGATGTTCGTGAGCTAACCCCAGAGTTCTTCTACTTACCTGAGTTTTTGGTCAACCATAACAAATATTCATTTGGCACTACTGCAAGTGGACACGAGCTGAATCATGTTGAACTTCCACCATGGGCAAAGGGATCCCCTGAGATATTCATCGCGAAGCATAGGGAGGCGCTGGAAAGTCCTATTGTTAGTATGCACCTACACAAATGGATCGATCTTATCTTCGGGTATAAGCAAACGGGCCAAGCGGCAATTGATGCACTGAATTTGTTTCATCCATACAGCTACGCCGGCGCACGAAATCTTGATGAAGTTGAAGACGCGGATACGAGGAAGAGTATGGCGAACATCATCCATTCATTCGGCCAGACACCGACGCAACTTTTCACAAAGCCGCATCCTTCACGAGATGAGCTTGCACACCCATTCGTTGGGTTAGACACATCGGCAGACTTGCTCAAGGGCCCTAGTGGGATACTCCAAATTCCGGAAAAAGTAGCGCATATGTCCGAGAAGCAAGGAAAGCTGCACGTATCCGGACCATTTAGGCTACACATCCCACCAAACTATGACAAGTTCATTGATTGGGGCTTTGTAGATGGCAGTTTGCGCTTCTTTTCAGATGACGGCAAGAAACTTCTTGCTATGTTTGAGCACCTGCACATTGGTCAAGTATCTACTGCCCTCTTTGCTGACAGCAGAACACTTATCACCGCTGGCTCGGACTGTGTGGTATCTATCTGGAATGTGGAGTATCCGTCGAGGAGCGTCAATCTAGTTCTTCGCACCTCGCTCTTTGGGCATCGGCGCCCAGTCACGGCACTCACGAGCTCAAATCGCTTCATGACCCTTCTATCGAGTGATACGAGCGGTCGTGTACTGATGTGGGATCTCAATCGCAACGATTTTGTTCGAGAGATTGAGAAATCTGGCACAGAGGTACGAATGGCACGTATTAGCAATGAAACTGGCGATATTCTACTTGCTCGAGGCCGTAATGTCAAGGTTACTTCGCTGAATGGGGTAGAGCTCCTTGAACAGCAAGTTTGTGTAGAGCCTGAAGATGAAGTAATGTCCATTGCCTGGGTCAATGCTCGAAGGCATGAGTGGCTGGATAAATGCCTATTCCTCACTGGCCATCGTCTTGGTTATGTCAAAATTTGGGAGAAAGTCGTCACTCGAGATGGTAAATGGGCAATAGTGCTCGTCAGAAGCCTAGATGCGGGACTTCCGAACAGAGAGATGACCAGAGTGCCTATTACGAGCGTGCTGATTATGAGGGGCACAGTATATGCGGGTGATGACGCTGGGAGAGTGGTGAGTTTTGGAAGATTGTTGTACCCCTGACAGCATTACGTGCAGCAAGTTGCTGATATCAGTGCAGTTCTCGTGGAGGTGCTCAGACGAGTAGTAAGGACGACGACGGCTGGTCCGACAGGGCATCTGTCTTTACGATAGGAAGAAAGTGAGGGATCAACAAATGGACGCGTTCATCATTTGAACTTTGGATGAGCATCGTGGCGTTGGAAGCGTTTGAAAAAGGATTATTTATTCAAAGATTCCTGCACTATAGAAACAGCATTAACGACTCTAGACATTAACATTTTCAGTTTAGCTATATTGCTATTCCTCCATATATTCATGTAGCTGTTTATTCCTAAAACGGGAGTTGACGAAGACGAGGTCGTGTTTCTCGGCCTCAGATTTACCTGTTGATCTCCCATCCTTTTGAAGCATCGCGGCCATGACAAATCACACGATTTGGACGAATATTTGGACTGTAGAGAAGCCATAGAGGTGAGATCGACCAAGCAATCCTTCATGTGTTACCGCCCAGATGACAAATTCTGCTTGCATCAGCACGGTGGGTCGAGGCAGGAATGTGAGAGCTAGCAGCGAAACACATGGTCGATTAAATGCCATGTACGGTAAAATCAACTCCTAAAACAAGAAATTGAAAAATCTAGGCGCATCGTACAGAATTTCCTCGTCATCAGCCTCTTGGATTGTCAAGGCCACGTCAACGCCGCAGCTTTTCGTATCCTCCAAAAGGATAAGGCAAAGCACAAACGGCATCAACAAAGCGTACGGGCTGAGCTACATGAGACGGCGCGAAGATGTTCCGTCCAATGAATGAGATTCTTTACGCGGCTTTTGCAGTCCTTCTTACAGGAACAGCCTCGCAATGACAGCCTGGGCAGATCGACATTTCCAAGGCTGGGCGCCGAGCGTGACAGTGCTGAGATCCCGCACGGCTGGTGGATCGAACGGAGGTGTAGCTCTCCTTATTTTTCTTGATAAAGTTTCACCGCCGTCTTGTGCGGGGGGTCATCTTGATCAATGCTTCTAGCCTTGCCGTGGAGAGGGCAGATTTACAGGACGAGAGGCTGATTTGCCATCTTGGAGAGAAATGCCGAGGAAGAGGGAGCCTCATTTTCGAGAGCCCCTAGTTCCATTCGTTCGGACGCGCGGTCTCAGCAGTCAGTACGGAAAGAATGTAAGTGTCGTTGTGGCGGTGGAGACTGGGAGAAGCCATTACAGTTTACTCTTTGCATTTTCTCCCATGGGTTTCTGAAGTCTAGCAGATTGGCCGTGCGACCATCTCAGGTATGTCGTGCCGATTCAAGAAGGTGTCACATGGTAGGCAATGCTGTGGTCGTCAAATGGATGAACTCAGACCTCTCCGAGTGTCTGTGTGATCTTGAACGGTCTGGGCAGACGCGTACACACTCTCTCTATCACCATACGACTCTGTGCATCACCGTGCATATCACAAGACGTTTTCAGAACGCCATAAGCATGTGGGCGATCATGTCCCGAGCTAAGCTGACGAGAGACGGTGAAGTCGCGGCAAAAAAAGGGATGGATTTACAGCTTATCTGTTGATTCTTTAATGTCAGAGCGAGACAGGACGTGAAAGAAGAATTAGACAAATCTATCGAAAACCAAGAGGAGCGCTATTTCTCGGCCACGTTTTGTGGTGGTTGTGAATGTTGTTGCAAGACTCGAAGATTACGGTAGACGGGCCGCACGGTGACTGCAGGTGAAAGCTTGTTGAGAATTAGCCTTTCGCCATCAAGTGTGGGGTGGCTGCACTGTGAATTCGCTTCATTCTTTGGAGCGGAGAGGCAGATCCAGATACGAAAGACGTCGTGTGAAGGCTTTACTGGCTGATGGGCTTAGATGGGCCATGGGCACGGCCTTTTCTTCACCGCTGTACATGCACGGCATGCTGCTTCAAACCAACAGAGCTTCCAGGAAAGGAAGTGCTCGTTTGCAGCCATGTCGCAGCGCTGATTTTTTTTTCTTCTATTTCTTCTCTTCAAGATAGCTCCTCTTACTAGATTCTCTGGCGTCCTTTCCGCAGGCGATTGCTGCGCACTATGGAAGACTCTCAAGCCCTGGCATCAGAAATGGAACAAAGCGCACCCCACACAGGACCTGCACGCACGGCTGGGCCGACGCCTCCTTACTGGCAAAGGCGCAATGACAATGACAGAGTACGAGCTTGGCGGTCGGTACCGTCTGCCGTCGCGTCCTCTGGAGGAGATTATTGAGCAGACTTACAAGTAGATCAATAGTCGCCTGGTGGCCGTGAGCTGTCTGTGCGAGGTTGGCGCACCAAGTCAGGGGAGATGTCACTCAACGGACGATGGGCTGAGATGTGCACTAAGTGACCACAAGCACCCAATTGACGGACTTGCATATTTGTGCTTGTAAAGATTCGAACAAGGCTGTGGGCTGCGTGAGCTCGTGCTCTCTGGATGGCCCGAGTTTAGTTCTAAGCAGAGCGCCAAGCAGCACCTGTTGGATTGCAGGGCCAAATTGAGAGCTGCAATTGCCAAGTACCAGCAGGTCACGACAGTGCTTAGCCAAGAAGTCTCGCGTCGTCGTCCGCAAATGATCGCTGGCTCCCTTGGGGGCGTCTGACGTTCTTCTCGTAGCTCTCGTTCGCAGTAGCACACGGTCGACCTGAGCTGAGAATGGCGACGTGATGCGACTTGCATGCGAGGCCTCATGGCGATGACGAATTCTGCGTTTGATCGTTGGCAAACTGTAGCATTTGAAGATCGTATCCCACGCTCTGTACACCTGATACTAATTATGCCGGGGTGAGATGCAGGTGCTAAGGCGTTCGACGACTGCCCTTGCGTCGTGCGGATGCGAACGGCGTATCTCAACAATGATTCCAAGCTGCCCGCGATACACTCCCGTTGTCGCCTTCCCGGGCCGATGGCAGCGATTGTGTAGCCAACCACAGTGAGCTGGCTAAGATCATGCCCAGCTCTTGGGGGCGCAAATCAGTGCCGTTTTGTGCAGTGGCGAAGAATCCGAGAGACCTTCTGGAAGAGACGCCGCCCAGGATTTGGCTTCGAATCCCACGCCCAGCTGCAAGGTCGTTTTTGTCGAGCATCGGGAGATGTTGGGTCCAGACAGAGTCATACCTTGTCGGCTTTCGTATGGCGCGCAGCAACAGTGCTGCCATTCTGCACGGTAGGGCTGTAGTTTTACAGAGCTTACTTGAGCCAGAAACATTGGTCGAGTCTTGATGCCGGCACAGCACGGCCTGGGCGGCGGCTTGACCGTTTCAAAAGTGTATTGAAATTGCTCTCTTTCTATTTGAGCAGGTCGATCCGTTCCTGTGCTGCGGATCCGTCTTCAAAACGGCGGAAATGTACATCGATACCAGAAATGCCGTCCCGAATGACTGTACTCGGGGGTGCCCCCGTAGACGAACAAGACCCGTTTTTTATTTTTATTTTTGATCTCAGACGTTCACGATCTGCGAGAGGCACTCGTACGGTATCGAATGGCCACGGAGGCACGAAAGCAGCGTCTCGTTTGTTGCAAGCGTGGATGCCAACGGCTATTGCGTCGAGTGGGGTGCATGATGCGATATCGAGCACGACGCAAAGCTACAAAGGACGGCGCCGCGCGCGACGAGCTGTCAGTCCACGGCCGTTGGCCAGCCATTGCTGAATAGGTTTGCTAAGCCCATACTTTTCGAGAGATTTTCTGGATTCCGGGTTGAGTGTCGGTCGGAACAGCCAGACAATCGATCGCAGCGGACGATCTTTACCGTCCAACATTGCCAGCCCGTCCGCCGGCGGCCTGCTCTGGGCATTCCGTTTCTTAGGTCGTATTATATGAGCGCCGATTCCCCACTGCCAGATCTGCTGCTCGTGCCCCGAGACTTTTGAACGTAGATTCTTCGGCTGCATATTTCCTCTGAAGTCCACCTGGACCGCCGAATGCGTGGCTGCGTGCCCTCGTCCTTGCCCATCGTCGAGTCCCCAGCATTCCCACCGGTTTGCAGACCGAGCCCAGCGCCGCCGTCCTCTCCGCCGCTTTGTCGACAACTACCCGTCCCGCTCGGTGGGCATGGTCGTTGGCGTTGCGGAGCAGTCTTGTTCCTTTGTTAAACTGAATCGCAGCGTTTGCGCGGCAGCTGCGTGACATTGCTGCTTGTGGTGCAGCAGTCCTGTGCCGGCTTCACAGTGCGCGGCCGCTGGCATACACGCCGGCCACTGGAAGATGGCTTCGGCCGTACAGCGTCCTACCATCCCTCTGCGGACGCCGCCGCCCCCTCCGCCACCGTTGTCTCCGCCGAGTCTGAACACCTCTGTCCGTGCAACGGTCAAGTGGTCGGGCGTGAAGGAGACAAGCCCTGTCGGGCGTCCCCCGCGCAACCCAGGCGCGGTTAGATCTATGCTTGACATCGATGTACCTGCTGCACCGACGGCCGCGCCAGAGGAGACGCACAGCAACGATGGAAGCGAAGAACCTCACGAGGCTCTAACGCCGGTCACTCTTGGAGGCGGTCCGCGCTTTCAACATGTCGATCCAGATGTCGCAAGCACAGAGGCAGCCGATTTTCCCAAGCCACTGCCACTGGCAGCTCCCACATCGTCGCAAGCGCCATCTTCGAATCCCACCCGCACCGAACACGTCGCGACACCTCCCTCGAAACGGGTCTCAGACGGTCGACTTCCAGCGGCGCGTAATGGAAGTAGTTCAGTCTCGAAGGGTCAAACTCTCGAAGGCACAGGCCCGCCCTCACCCAAGAGCGCAACGCGCCCGTCTCTGATGAACAAAGCGAAGAGTTTCTTGAAGAAATCAAACCCAAAATTGGATAGCCTGATCGACCAGTACGCGCCGAAAGCCAAAGCTCAAGCAGAGAGCCCGCCTTCTCCGAGCCGCGCTGCAACGAGCACGTTGGAAACGAAAGTGTTCACCCTCTCAACTCGCTCGCCTCGCACATCTCGCACGAACTCACCACCAAGCCCAGGCACGCCCAGCAGCTCCATCGGCGAGATTGCAGTAGAGGTGAACGACGATCGGTTGACAAAGGCCAGGACATCGAGCTCAACAACAAACTTGAACAGGCCGCACCCTCCGAGATCACGCATAACGTGGGGCACTTCCTTTACAAATGACGGCTTGCAGGTGCCGCTTTCGCAGCGCAAGCGCTCCGCCAGTACGGAGCAGATGCATCAGATCCGCAAGCCAAACCAAGGAATCGAAGAAGACGAAGAGGAAGAACACTTTGACGCGCCGCTGCAAGCTACATTTTCTACTCGTGCTGGCGAAGGAGTGGGCCTGAAAGCGAGGCGTCTTAGTCTTACGCTGCCGGATGATTTCGTTGTTCTCACCAAGAGCCTAGAGAAGGAGTACAAGAGCACGACGGTTTTCCACTCAAAGGGTACGCTAGTGGGCAAGGGAGCGACTGCGAAAGTTACAACCATGTGCAGACGAGACGGCCCTAAGGACGAGCTGTATGCCGTGAAAGAGTTTAGATCGCGGGAAAAGGACGAAACGGACCACGAATGGTCGCAAAAGATCAAGTCTGAGTACACGCTTGCCAACAGTGTCAACCACCCCAACATTGTCCGTACTTTTGACCTGTGCATCGACAAGCACAATCGCTATAATCACGTCATGGAGTTCTGTCCGATCGAGCTATTTACCATAGCAGAGAAGGGCTTGTTCAAGACTTATTACGACGAGAAAGCGAAGCTATGCTTTTTCAAACAGATCCTGCGTGCTGTGGCGTATCTGCACGATAACGGGATCGCTCATCGTGACATCAAGATGGAGAACATCCTGATGACTGCGGACGGCAATCTCAAACTTACGGATTTTGGGGTCTCGGAAGTCTTCTGCGGCGAGCATCCCGGAGCGAGATCATCTGGCGGTCGGTGCGGTCAGAACATGGGCGAGAAGAGGCTATGTCCTCCAGGCATTTGCGGCAGTCTTCCTTTCCTCTCGCCAGAGGTGATTGCCAAAGATGGTGAGTGAATGCGAGACAAACATAACCCTGCATACCTAAACACTCGTCAGTCTACTACGACCCCTCGAAGCTCGACGTCTGGTCGTGCGGGGTGCTCTGGATGTGCTTTGCCTTCTCCGGCAACCTGTGGCAGGTACCGGACCGGAAGAATCCAAACTATGAGACCTTCATGAACGGGTGGGACAAATGGATAGCTGAGCATCCTGATTCTACGCCGAACGAGGAGATTGGATACCCGAAATGCGGCAAGTTTATGGCATACATTGGACCCGTGTCCATCAAGAAGCTCATCCTGAAGATGATGCACCCGGATCCCAATCAACGCATTACGATCCAAGAGGCATTGAATTGCCCGGTCATCAAAAGCGCCGAGTGTTGCTCACCGGAAAGCTACGAGGATGTGACTTACTCAATTGACGTGTCCAAGAAGGCAAACGTGAGATCCTCGATCAAACAGTTCAAGCATAACCATCTTCCACCGCGCGCTGAGAACAAGGTCGCCAAGGCGTTCTCCCACCGTTTTGACATGGGCGACGGCTATTCATGAGAAAACCATCATCAACGGGACAATGGAACTATTGTCCCTTGCCATTATTTTTCCCCTTCACGTTATAGGGTGCATGGGCGTCTCTTGGAACGTCCGAAGGGCTTGGGCTTCCTAGTATTTCCACACCCTGTTTTTTTTTAGCCATCCAGTTGCAATCATCACCTATATAAAATACTTCGTCTAGATGAGCTGCTATGTCACTGCTCGACGAAGGACATTTTTCCTCCCTCGGCGATGGAATCGTTACCGGGCTAGAATTTCCCCTCACGTGGGTTCTGTAGATAGAAGCAGGGAGAGACTCATCCCCTGATGCTTGCACTCCGACGAAATGACATCAAAGCCGTTTTGCATTCTCAAAAGTCGCGCATGTCTGTGCTGCCTCTCTTGTCCATTCAACGGCTTCAACACGGCCATGAGCAATAACGAGTTGTAACGACATCGTCTTAGCCTCTTGGTAAGAACGGGCTGGAATCTCCACAGGACCCCTCCATCGGCAAAGGCATGCCATCACTGCAACTTGCGAGGATGGCCTGCATGCCGGCCTTTTTTGCAGGTTTGCCGCGCATTGAAATTTTTCTTGTAGACCTGCGCAGGATGAAATTACCCGCATCGCCAAAACTTTGAAGGAAATCCGTCTCGGCTTTCTGGTGGCGACGTAAGCTGGACTTAAGAATTGATGCATCTATGCGAAAGATCGCACGTGAGAGCGCGTAGCCAGTTTCTGAGTTTCTGTCAACATCTCGGCAGGTTTCCTGCAACGTCGGTTGCGTGAAGGGAGGTAGTTATCCTGAGCTCCCCCCCCCCACTACCCCTTTCTTTTTTGTGTGGGTGTTGTAAAACCCAATATAGCGGGTCCTGCAAATCGCAACACCATTTTTCCGATCCGTGACTTTTCTCTCTCTCCAGCCCCGGCTGATTTTGCACGCCAGAAATACCCGTTCGTGCCTCGCTCTCTGCCAGGCATCCTGGAAATCGCTCCCCTCCCCGCCGCGCGCTCGCCTGCACTCTAGTTAGGTCTCGCTTCTGCATGCTGTGGTTTTGCGCTGCGCTACTAAGCTCGCAGCTCTGCGCTGACCGGAGGTTTAGTACGACGACATCGAAACAGTCGCGTTCTCACATCCTGACGCACATAATGTACGTCTCACTGTATCGTTTGAAAATGGCCTTGCGGACAACCAGCGACAAGTTCTCGTTGGGATTGTTGGTTTGTCGAGTCATTGCATGACTCTTTAGCTGTTCTGGATGTCGGAAATAGTATTCCGATCACGTTTTGACAATGGACGACGTAAAGCGTTCGAGCGCTCCCCCAAAGTCAGCTTGACTTCCCCAGATTTTTATTTTTCCCACTGCTTCGGAGTTTGCAGAAAGAAGACATCTATGGGACCGCCGGGAATCATCTGGGTGGCTTCGCGGGTCACGCAGCCTGACAAGCTGTCCGAAGAACGCTTTTGCGAGTGGTACGAGGGCCAGCACATCGACGAGGTCACAGCCTTGTCGGGCGTGCCTGCAGCGGCACGCTATGAGGCGGTTCCCATGTCGGAGCTGGCTGGACCTCCAACCGCAGAGACGATCAAGGCCGCGGAGCAGAGACCGGACTATCTGATGGGCGGGAAATGGCTTACGATCTACGAGATGAAGGACGTCGACTTCAGACACACGGCCGAGTTCAAAAGCCTCGACGGCCAAAGCAAGCCGAAGGGCAACCTGTTGGACGAAATCTTCACCAAGGCGCATTTCGAGACCAGGTTTGGGGCGTTGCTGTCCAACGACGACAAGGGGATAAAGAAAGGCCCGGGGAAGCTGATCATCTCCGCCACCATGACGCCGGGAAGCAGGGCGAGCGCCGAGGACATTGAACAGTTCTACGAGCGGGAGCACGTGGCGGAAATCGCAAAGTGCCCCGGCTACGTCAGAACGCGGAGGTTCAGGTGGGTGGACACGACCGTGCTGAAGGAGTTTGAGCGCCTGCCTGCGGACCCGATCGAGCCCGGCAACAGCGTGGTGGCTTTGCACGAGTTCGAGGGGCCCTACTTCCCCATGGAAGGGCTGCTCAAAGCCGACGAGACGCCGTGGACGGCCCGCGTGCTGGAAAGCCTGAAGAAGAACGGCATCGAAGCTGGGTTCTACAGGTTGAAAAGGGTGTACGGGGAGTGGTTACCCGGCTCGTCGAAGCTATAGGACTTTGCTCCAATAATCAAAAAAAAAGCCAAAGCCATTCTGTGCGCATAAACGTGCGGAAAAGAAATAAATAAATATAAACATATATATATATATATATATACCCCTCGTTTCGATCGCTAATTTTCCTTTTTTTTTTGGCCCACCTTCAGTCCCACCACACCGCGTTCATACCAAATCCAGGCTCTTTCACGTCGCAGTGAGCGACTCGAGCGAGCCACTCGCCGTCCCATCTGTATATCTCGAGAAAGCCCTGCTCGTCGTCGGTCAGGGCGATCCACTCGTCGCTCCAGTCGCACGGTGCCACGGCGTTGCTGTGCCCGCCGCTGGTGCTCGTCGGCGAAAGACACATCTGACGCTCGATGGAGCCCTCCGCAGAGAGCTTGAAGGCGGAGATGTAGCCTGACACGCCGGCCTTGTTGCTGCGCGACGTCGCAAACAGGTAGTTTCCGGACGGCGTGACGGTGCACACGTCCGCCCGGTACATCTTGGGCGACCTCTGCACCAAAACTGCACGGTTCGGTCAGCGAAAATGGCCAAGGTTGACGGAAGAAAAATAGGGGACGGACATTTTGGCACGAGCGGATAGGACTTGTGCGTGTACACCGGCAGCCTTGTGCGCGGGTCGATCACGTACTCGGCGAGCGTGTTTCCGTGCTCCATCAGAGCGTACAAGTACTTCCCAGTCGGGTGCATGGCCACCCAGCGGGGCTGATCGTGCTCCTTTGGCGCCGCCACGTATCCTACCAACTCGAGCTTGCCAGACTCGGCGTCCTTTTTGTGGCACCACACTTTGTTGCCCCACATGTCCGCCGAATACAGATACTGCTCCTGGGGATCAAAGACCATGCCGTGGATGGCCGAGTCGGGGGCGTACTCGTAGTTCTGGATGCACTCCTTGAGCGCGCCTTCGCTGTCCGTCGAGAAGACGGAGCCGAGGCCGGCGTGCTCGTAGAAGGGATTGCAGTACACATGGTACGGCGGCTTCTTAGCCGGCAGCAGGAAGATTGCACGGGTTCTCGTGCTCGCGTCCATGGCTTTCGGATCGTGCGTCATAGGATGCGAGGCCGTGTGCGAGATGTCGGTAGGGCTCCTCACTGCGTGCGACGACCACTTCTTCATGCTGGCGCCGTAGATGGCTTTCTTGTTGTGCTACTTCCAAAGCAAATTCAGACAAAGGACGGACAAGGTTGTGTGACGGGTGCTTACGCTCAATGCCATCCATGATATCGGTTCGTCCCTGGGGATTTCCGTCCGTTTGATCATGTTCAGTTCCAGCGTCTCGTCGTCGAATTCAAAGGAGAATATAGCTCCTGGCGGCGTCCAGGTACCGACCATCAAGTGATGCTTCCCCATTGCGTTCGGTGATGAGGAAGACCGAGATCGAAACTTTGCAAGACGACCGAGACGCCCGACAGCCAAGGGGTTCCCAGACCTGACTCTTGACAACATGCAAGTTGCGGAGAGAAAAAAGAACAAGAAGAAGACGCGATCGCGACCATGGCACCTGATTTACGATGTACCGACCTCGATTCCGTGACATCGATTCGAGTTAGCTCGAGACCCCGCGGCCGGCGTGGACCCACTGGATATGGCGCGACACTCGGCTCTCAGCAGCCGGATAAGACTTCTTCCCGGCCATGGACATTCAAATCAAGGCGTGATGATTGGAATAGAGGCCGCGAGCGCAACAGTTCCGCAGCCCTCCACTCGGATTCTTGCTTCCCAGACGACCTCCAGGCTGATCCTGACCAGGCCTGGCCGCGCAGGTTGGTGGGCAAGGTACCGAGAATACTGCCGTCCCCAGACCAGCGAGCGGCGATGCTGGTTGCCGCACTCGATGCCGGGTGTGGAGGTGGACGAGCTGGACGGTGAGATATAAAGCCTGCTGGCGACGCCCTCGGGCCTGCTGCTGCCACTCGACGTCGCTTTCCTCCTCATCGCCACTGACCCTTCGTCCGCTCGTGACCTGAAGGACGTGTTCTGTATATCTGCCCAGCTTACCCCGCGACCCGCATCGGCTACACAGACGTGCAACAATGGCGCACAGATTCGACCCGACCTTCACCCAGCGCGTGATTGATGCCATCGGCCCAAATGCGACGCCCAGGAACCGGGTGATCTTCACCTCGCTGTTCAGGCACTTGCACGACTTTGCTCGCGAGGTCGAGCTCACCATCCCAGAATGGGAGGCCGGCATGCAGTTCTTGGACGACGTTGGACACATGTATTTCACCAGCAACAAGACGAGGCACGAGATGCACCGTCTGTCCGATATCACCGGTCTTGAATCGTATGCGCGCCGTTTCCCCGCGAGCGCGACATGCTGCTAACAGCACCAACAGCCTCGTCGACGAGATCGCCCACAAGCACGCTTCGGAGTCGGGCGCGCCCACGTCATCCTCCATTCTCGGACCGTTCTGGTCTCCCAACGCGCCATTCCGCGAATGCGGCGACACAATCGTGCGCGACCCCGCACCGGGCGGCCTGGTGACGCTCATGCACGGCAAAGTCATCGACCTCGAGACGAAGAAGGGCATTCCAAACGCCGTCGTCGACATCTGGCAGGCGTCGTCGAACGGCAAGTACGACTTCCAAGACCCGGAGAACCAGTCGCCAAACAACCTGCGCGGCAAGTTCCGAACGAACGAGAACGGCGAGTACCACTTCTACTGCCTGCGGCCGACGGCGTACAGCCTGCCAACCGACGGTCCGTCCTGGAAGCTGCTTCAGATGCTCGACAGACACCCGATGAGACCGGCCCACATCCACCTCATGGTCACCGCCGACAACTACAAGACCTGCGTCACCCAGATCTTCCCGTCGGATGACCCATGGCTGAAGACGGACACCGTCTTCGCCGTCAAGGACGATCTCGTCGTCGACTTCAAGCCGAGCACAGACCCGAAGGCTGACCGAGATCTCGAGCTCAACATCACGCTTGCGCCAAAGCCGATTGCCGGCGACTCTGGCCCGGCTCCAACTGGCAAGTTATGAACATGTAAAGTACAGAATCTTTTGTCTAGGATGGGAAAGCGGTCTTCTTTTTTGAAATGAGTGAGTGCATTTGGGGCGCATGTGCGGGGATCCAAAATGATACCGCAAATTGTTTCTTCCCAAGTTTAGCGAGATGAATGAATCAAAAATAAAGATTCTGAAGAGATCCCAAAAAAGAAAACGAACTCTGCGCTCTTCTCGATCCAATTTCTTTCACAATCTTCCGGTGCTCTGACAATCATGACGTACATGGGTGCCATGCTCTCTTCACTTGTGTGTTTTCCGCTATAATCAAGCTACCGCATTAGTAAGAGCGGTGAGCAAGGCGATTCTGCCCGTGGGGTTCGTCTCCCCTCGTTTGCCGAAAGTTCTTCCGTCATTCCCACATGCATGCGTCCGTTGTGGAAGGCCAGAGATCGCGGCAGTGATTCGCGGGCCTTAAAGCACGTCTAGCTCGCGCGGTCCACTCCCATGTAAAGTTTAGACATGTTCCGTCATCGGGTACATTATTAGCAGGCATGGCCATTAAAGCCTTGAGCTTTGGGCTCACAGCTCGTTTTTTGTCTCTGGTCAGGCGATGCGTGAGAGCCGACGACTTTTGTCGACATTGACCAACAGAGCGAGAACTTGGAATCACACGTCTTCAGTCACCGACCGCTATGGCGCCAACACCCGGGATCTTGTACGTGACTATGGCACCGCAGCCGTCTTTGTCGCCAGCACAGTTTCATGACTGGTACCAGAACGAACATGGACCGGGCCGTTTGCGGCTGCCTCAGATCTTTACCAACGGGTTCAGGTACCAGGCCATAGACGGCACGGACCCGGGATGGATGGCCATCTACGACGTGACGGACATGGCCTGGCTGACCAAGGAAGTCTACACGAGTTTGCGGCAGGAGCCCAAGCAAACTCAGCGGGAGCGGGACACGATGAAGCAAATCAAGGTGAATCGCAAGTTCTACGACCTGGTGTCCGAAAGGAGGAGCGAGAGGTTTGTCGAGCTTGAGAAGGTCGAGTGCGAGGGAAAGGCGACATGTGTTTTCGTCGCCGCTCTGGTCAAGCTGCATGACCAAAGCAAGAGGCCCGACTTTGACAAGTGGATGGAGGAAGAGCATATCCCGCTGCTGTCCAAGGTCCCCGGCTTCCGACGGGCCAGACGCTTCGTCAGCAGCCACGTGGAGCCTCCTGCGGACCCGAACGAGATCGAGCACCTGGCATTGTACGAGTATGACAAGGAGGTTGACTTTACGTGCAAGGAGTTCACGCACGCGACCAGCACGCCATGGCGCGCGCAGATCTTCGACAGTGTCGTCAAGGAAAAGGCGAGGAAGGTCTTCAAGTTATACTACACGTTTGGTCCCGCGCCTCGCGATCTGCACTCGCTGGCGGACCCATCCACGGCTCCGTGGTCGTCGGAGTATCACCAGACGAAGACGTTCCCCAGGCAGCACGGTGGGCCAGCGATCGAGTCGTACGTGGCGGTTGCCGACGGCACACGACTACGGTATCGGCTGGAGGGCGCGACAGATCCGCACGCGCCGTTGATCGTGCTGGACAACTCCGTGCTGACCGACTACAGCATCTGGGACGGCTTCGTGCGGGAGTTTCTTTCGCGGCCGGAAAACATCGCGTACCGGATCTTGCGGTTTGACAAACGGGGCCGCGACGCACCCGTCGCAGATACGGCCGTCACCGTGGACGTACTGGCGGACGACGTCGCCGCAATGCTGGACGCACTGCGCGTCCCACGTGCGGCGGCCGTGGTCGGCGTCAGTCTTGGCGGTGCGACGGCGCTCAATTTCGCGCTGCGGTACCCTGCGCGCACGGCACATTTCATCGCGTGCGACACGAACGCAGTCGCGCCAGCTGCGAACCCAAGCGCGTGGGGTGAGCGAATTGCCATGGCAGAGAAGACGGCGGCGGTTTCGGCGGCGGGCCAACCCGTCGTGGGCGACGACCTGGCCGAGGCGACGGTGCGGCGCTGGTTCGTGGCCGCATCATTCGAGGATGCCGGGCGCGCCGCCGACGCCGCCCACGTCAAGCGCATGGTCGCCGCGAACAACCTGGACGGCTTCAAGAGCACCGTCAAGGCGCTGTACGCGTACGACCTGCGCGATGCCATGCGCACTGGCACCGTGCCCGGCGCGTTTGTTGTCGGCGCCGGCGACGGCGTGCTGCCCAAGGGCATGAGACAGATGAACGAGGACTACGGCGGCAGCAGCTCATTCCACGAGATCCCCAACGCCGGCCACCTGCCGATGGTAGAGCAGCCGCAGGCGTTTGCGGACGTGGTGACCAAGGTGCTCAGCTCGTGAGAGTCTCTCGATTCCGTTTGTAAGGAGGAAAGAGGAAGAGGAGAAGGAGAAGACAAAGGAGAAAGAGGCAAAGAGGAGAAGAAATGATAAAAGACAATGTTCTTCCTTCAACCGTGTAGAGCTAAACCGTTACAAAGCGAACATAAACATGTACTCGCGTGTATTCTTCCTCCGCATTCCGCCAACATCCTCTCTGAACTGAACCCAGCGGCCGCCGTCAACGGGTGCTCGCCCTCCCTCTTCGTGCCTTGCGACGCCCGTACCGCCGCTCAATGCACATAGCTAGGCATCGTCGTCGCAAGCTGGAGGATCCCAAAAGGGGACACATGTCGAGAAGCACACCGCGCAAGAGAGCGCAAGGCAGGAGGTGTGGAGAGAAACATGGGCGGAACGCGCACGCACCCGCCACAAAGCTTCATGTATTGCCTAAACAATGCCGCGATGTGTCCTGGCTATCGTACAACTCTCAGACCAAGCCTACACGCCAGCCGCTTGAAGGAATGTATAAGCGGGGCAAGGTTGTGGACGAAGGTGAGAAGGTGACTCGGCTTCCAGTCGTCCTCTCTCACGCTCTGGAACAAACCGCTTCCTCCTTCCACGAGAAACAGAGGCCATGCATGCCTGGAGAACCGCCGATCGGGCCAAAGTGACGGTGTACATCTACGTGAAAAAGAAAGTAGAGCCGAGTATGTGAACGGATGTGCAAAATTAAGCTGCCGCCTGCTTCCACACCTAAACAAATCCACAACAGACATTTTAAACCATACTTCAACAGGGCTAACCGTCTCTCTTTCGGGAAGATAGTTTGGAAGGCCACGCCCGTTGGTTTGTATGTGATTATGCGTGCATGAGTATTCCCCAGCCCTCACCCTACAATCGTACAAGCCATGGATCCATCCATCCATCAAAAAAGGTAACAGTCAAAACACCTTCTCTCTTTAACGCTCTCCATCCCGTGCTTGCGTGCGTGTGCACATCAATCCCTTATCCATCATCATCACTTGCAATCAAACGCAACGCTCATGAACTTTTCTCGCCCCATTTTGCTGCCTAAACAAGACAAGAAAGAAAAGAATCAAAACTCATTCTTCGTCTGCCTCTCACCGGCTCCTTTCTCCCTTAGGAAAAGGATATAGAGAAACATATATTAGTAAAGGGAAAAACAAAGAACTAAAGACGCTGCCAATGCATCGATTATTGGCTGTGTGTTATGCTAACGCCAGCCACAGCCCTGTTCTCTCTGCGCCATCCTTTTGCAGGCTGGTTGCCCAATTCGCGTCCCACACCCGGCCAGCAAGCACCGCTGCTCTTGCGCACGGGTCTTCCGCGGTCCATGATGCTCAGTGAACGCTTGTTGGTGATATTTGCGGGTGTGAAGGTAGTAGCCATGTTGTGATAAATATGTGTAGTCTTAGCGTCCAGCAGGCTAAGAATGCCGTCCACAGGCGGTGATTGCGCGGAAATTGCCATATTATTCATGGTACCGTTGTCTAGAGATATCAAATCCAAACCATGACCGTCATCGTCACGACGGTGAAGGTGCAAGTTCGGAAATGACGTTGCATTCTCTTCGGCACCTTGCTCAATCATGTCCCAGAGAGACGCGTTTCTAACCTTCGTTGCCTCTGACGCAGTATCGATAGTGAACACGTGCGTACCCTGTCCCCAATGAACCTGCCACGTGTGCGGTGAGTCGTCGGCGTCGCGCTCGGCGTGACACTTCTGCCATCGTTGGTGGAGGTTGGGACCTAAAGAGAAGGCAAAGAAAAATGATTAGTAAAATGTAAGATCTCTATATCGATGCAGCGTGTTCAAAGAACAGGGATTCTTTTTCTCCGTGGCGAACGGGAACGAGCGGGAGTGAGCAATTTGAGCCTTGAGACACGAGGGCTTAGCGTCCGTTCATGTCCATTGCTGGGAGCTGGGGCGGAGAGGATGGGCCACCGTTTGCGGGGCGCTGGGTACCAGGCTGGCCATCCGGCTTTGACCAAAAGTCTAGACTGGCAACGACATCCTCTCCCATTTCATCCTCGTGCGCATACAATATCTGCCATCCCTCGTTAGAAGCTGATGGGACTCAAAAGTGCTTAGGATGAACTCACCTCTCTGGTACTGGAGTGCAACATGCGAATATTTTTTCCCGTGATGATATGCACCAGCCCGCCTGTGTCCATATGTCGGATCTCGATGAAGCTGGGCTCGAACGCGAGGATGTAAGGAGTGAAGATGGCGAAGGCGTTTGGATTGCCCTCCCACGTGATCATCCAATCCGGCCTAGCTCGCCAGCCGTTGCGGTTAACAAAGAACGAATAGTCAGAGTAACATAGCAAGAACTCAGTCTGGATGCGTTCGATGAAAACAGGCTTAACAGATCCTTCGCCCTTGCGCTGTACAAAGTCAAGTGAAGTGTCAGCTTGGTCGAGTAGCGACTGAGCCTCGAGCGTCTCAAGCGATACGATCTCGAAACCACGTGCACAGCCGACGCAGAGTTTCGAGCGCAGGAAGTGTATAGATGACGATTCAGTGGGAATGTAAAACTCCTGCGAAGCGCATGTGTGGTTAGCCAATCCAAGTTCCAACAAGGGATAACAAAAAGTAGAAAATGAATTCAGATTAAAAAAAATTAAAAAGGGGAAAGAAAAAACAAGCGATATAAATGATGAAAGAAATGAGAAAAGGGTGTCTGGGCCAAAAAGCACAATCCACGATGCAAACTTTGCTGATGATAGAGACCTTGTTCATAGACTGTAGACCCGGCTCCATCTCCTCCTCGGGTACGATGTGAGTTGTGCTGTATTGAGATACTTGAACTGTAGCAGGGGCTGCTGGCACTTTCGTCCTTGCACAGGGTAACACCGCCACTGCTGCAGATGATAGAGATGATGTCATCTCCGTGGTTGAAGGTAGATGTTTTGACGGAGAAGTAGAACGTGGAGGCGCAAGAAAATTGGGAGTCGAAGTAAAATGTCGAATACGTACTTTGAACGGCTTGAGCACGTCCTCGTTGCCAGCCAACATTTTGGCCAGGCCGGACTTTTTGCTCTTCTTGGTCATGCTGTCCATCGGCTCGTACACGCGGATCGTGCTGGACAAGGCCGAGGTCTTGACGCAGCACACCAGCTGCTGGCCTTGGCAAATGCCGGACTTGAAGAAGTTTGCGTGCGTGATCTTGCGACCGCGTTTGCTGATGCCAGGCTGACCCGCATCTGGCGAGAGGGCTTCGAGCGGATAAGAGTACAGGGTCTTGTCGGCGAGCACGAGCAGGATGGAGTGCTGCTCAAGAACGTCAATCTGGGTCACACCCTTGACTTCGAGGGCGCGGCGCGGCTTGATGGATGCGTCCTTGGGCTTACGGTCGCACACGTACACGCCATTGTCGGTGCCGACAACAAGCTTCCGACCGCCATCGATGGGCACACAGCAGTTGACGCGCGTGGCTGCATTGAAGAAGCCCTCACTCAAGTTGTCCTTGATGAAGACGTTGCTGCGCTGGCGCAGCTCCGTCTGCTGTTTGTCGACGCTCTCCATCCACTTCTGCTGCTGAATCGCAGAAGAACAGTACAGTGTAAGCTCGTATCCGCCCTTGCCCAGGTGGCGGAATGTGACAGGGTACCCATTCTGCTTGGGGTCCTTTGACGTGACGCTCGTCATGGTCTGGGTTCTCGTCGCCATCAAGCCAGAAGACGGGCGCTTGACAAGACCTGGTTTGGGTATGATCTCGTGCATCTCGGCGATGACAAGCAGCTCGAGGGGGATGGGCCGACGGTACACCTTGAGCTGCTCGCGCTTGTTGACCATTTTAGAACGCACAAGCAACACAGCATGGTCGAACAGATACGCCTGGATGTCGGCGACCTGGTCATTGGGCGCCTTCTTCAGCGTGGATTTGAAGAGAAGCTGCCTCGACTCGTCTGTCAGTTTGAGATCGACATACTCGCCCGGTCGGAACTGCAGCTCGCGGCTGAGCTGCATCAGGTTGAAGCGGTTCTCGGCCTTGCCGCTGGCCTCGTTTACCTCCTTGAGGAAGTTCTTTATCATGGCGATGGCCTTGGGCAGGTCGGTCTTGTCCGGGTTGTCGTCGGCCGTATACTTGAGCACATTCTCCAGCAGCAATGGATAGCGGGCCAGCCTCGTGGTCGGCTTGGTCAGGTAACCGTTCAGCTCTAGCTTGCGTGACTCTTTCAGACGCTCTGTCTCCTCAACGAAGCGGGCGAACAAGGGGTTGGTGCGCTTCTCGTTCTCGAACTCGAACTTGGCATACATCTGAGACGCGCCGTACGTAATGAACGGTTGGAAGCGCGGCACGTGTTCAAGGAAGATGTCGCCGATGTTGCGGCACACGTGGCGCTCCTGCTGACGGCGCGTCAGCGCCTCGGCGAGCCGCGAATTAACTTGGTACACCTCGGGCGCGTTGGCGAAGACAGTGCGCACGAAACGTTCGCGACGGCTCTCCGGAATCGGTGAGGTCATCGGGTTGCGCAGTGGCTTCATCCAGAAGTCGCGCAGATACTCGAGATCCTTGACGAAATCACGCTCGGTGTAGCAGACCTCAGAGAGAACCTCCTGGCGTTTCTTCTCCCGGTCGTCGAGTGAGTCGGCAATATCCTTGGGCACGGTCTGAATCCACAGCTTGCGCTCCGTGTCGTCGAGTTGGTCGTCATGCAGTGTTGCGTCTTCCTGCTGCTGTAGCACAGGTCGGGCCTTCATGTTCAGGCGGGCCTGTTGCTCAAGTCGGCGCGGGCATGCAATGGAATAGCAGAGCCGGTCGCGCGTGCACGTGGGCGAGTAGCATTCGGTGAGCAGAGTGAACACGCCGTTGACCTCAGTGCTCGCCGAGAGCTCCGAAGCCGAGTCCGTCATGGTCTCGCGGAACTGGTACACCTCGTGGCGCGTGTCGCGAAGGCGGTGCTGGTACGTGACATCGTGAAAGAACTTTTGCGCGTCGAGCGAGCGGCCCAGGAGCAAGGCAAGATTACGGTCCGTGGTCTTGATGATGTACGCAATCAGCGTGACGGCGTCCTCGCCTGTGAAGGAGTTCTTGTAGTTCAAGCCGTCTTTGGTCAGCTCGTCCAAGTTGATACGTGAGCGGAAGCACTCGGCCACGCGTGACAGCAGCGCCGGGTAGACGAGGGGTGCCCTGCGAGAGGCTACGGCGATTCGCTGAGACTCCGTCTTCTGAACGCCATTCTTGACCATTGAATCGTTGCGTTCGTTTGGTGGCACGATAGTCGAGGCCATTGACATTGTCCTGGACTGGGCGGTGCTGCTCTGGCTGGCGCTGCGCTGCTTGCTCACCACAGTAGATGTCGACGAGCTGACGGCCGACTGCGGGCTTGCGGGCGAATCCAAGGTCACGGTGACGTTTGATTCATTGGACATGCGCTGGCGGCTGGGGATGACACGTCCGCTCATGGTCTGGTGAGTGTGATCGTGGTCGCGCGCGTACGAAGTCATTGACATGGTGCGTTCGTCCGGTCGTTCAGGCACGACCCTGCCCTGAGCCGTAGTTCGTGCACCTGCTTGCATGTATGGCTGCTGGCGGAATGTGTGTGCGGGTGAGATGCTGGGTGCTGCGATGTTGTAGGAGCCGCCGGGGCCATGGTGGAACTGGGGCCGCGGCTGCGAGGCGAGCGACTGGCTGCGGAACGAGTCAGAATTCAGCGCTGGCGGTTGAGGACGCGGAGGCTGGTAGTACGGGGGGCCGCCTCGCGAGCCTGCGCTGGAGGAGTCACCACGGGGAGGGTAGAAACGCTGTTGCGGCTGCTGAGGGGGGAATGATGTGTTGAGCGATGGGGGTGCCGGCAGCGGTTGGCGAGGCGGCATTGACGGCGGCGAACGCTGCTGCGGGCCCGCGGCATATCCTTGCGGCGGAGGCGGACGCGAGGGACCTGGAGCATAGTTGCGAACAGGAGGAGGACGTTGGCCAGACATTGTCTGAGCGCGGTCGGCGGTCATGGGCTGATATGACTGCGAGGTCATTGTAGCGGACCGCGGAGCACCTGCACCCACGGGGCGAGGTCCACCGAAGACCTCAGCAAAGGCGGCATCTCGCTGTCGCGGCTGGGCGTTGCCGTACTGGCCGGCAAAGTTAGCACCCTGGCGAGAGCCGTAGTCGGCCATGTTGTGGATGACGGTGGTCGGCACGTGGAGGCGGCGCTGGATGACCGCTTCTGGCCGTGGGGACGGATCAAACGATTGCTGCCGTCGACGTCAGGACGGTTGACGGTCGATTGTCGTCTTCGATGTTGTCGTCGTCGTCGTGATGTGAGAACGAGTATGTCCGGGCACTTGGGCCCTTCCCAGCAAGAGTGGACTTCAGCACGGATACTAAAGGAGCGAAGGGCGGGTTGGGCGGGAGGATCAGTCGTAGCGACGACGCGTCTCGTCACGAAAGAGACGCAGATGGAGACTGGAGGAGGGGTGGGTAGACGGCGATGGCAGCGAAGGAAGAGGAGGAGGGCATGTAACAAAGGGGGGGTGTGGTTGTTGCGTATGGGCAGAGGATGTCAGGTAAAGGGAAAGTTCAGAGGTTCCAGGACCAAGTTGAAGATTGAGGCAGTGTGAGGTCGGCGTTGACAGGGATGTGCGTTAAGCCCGCACAAGCAGCGGGAGCGCCCAAAGAGCTTTCACGGAAGAAAAGCAAAAGCAAGCACACACACACACGCACGGCGGACACGCTTGCTCACGTACACGCGGCTGCAAAGACTGGCTTCTCAGCACGCAAGGCACGCCGGCCGTGTCCGCAGACAGAGCGTCTCTTCTTATCTCTTCTCTTGTCTGGCTTCTCCCGCCCGACCCCAGCTGTCACCGCACGTGCGATGCCGCCCAAGGGAGCGTCTGTGGCTTGACGCCAGTGTGGCTTAGCTCGAGCTCTCGCCGTCCACGCAACCGGATCAGCTTCACGTCGACCGTGTCTGCCATTCCATTCGTGCTCGGCGCCCGCGAACGACGAGCACAGCGCAAGACCACGACCCAGAGTAGGATCGAGAGCAGCGTCGAGAGCCTAGGCACCGTGCAGACACGCACATCGGCAGGAAGGGCTTCCCCTCTGGCCTGTGTCGATCATCAACCACATCATCACCGCCGTCACCACAACCACCACCACAGCTACTGCGAGCCGCACCATCAACCTTCCCTCGCGCACCCCCGTCTCGCAATGGACAACGAGTTCTCGCCGCCGTTTTCGGTCTTCTTCTCCTTCGCCGGCATCTCTGCCGCGGTACGTGCATCGGCCCCCTCCGTCCCCAACGTGTGCGTCGCCTGGACTGACCCGGCCCCTCGTGGGCAGCGCAGATGATTCTCGGATGCGCAGGAGCTGCGTTCGGCACTGCCAAAAGCGGAATTGGCATCTCGGGCATTGGCACCTACCGCCCGGATCTGATCATGAAGGCAAGTGCGACGACGCTCGTTCTCGCAGGGAAGGTCCCGCTAACCATGGTCCGCGCCTGCCAGTCACTGATCCCCGTCGTCATGTCCGGTATCATCGCTGTCTACGCCCTCGTCATCGCCGTCCTGATTGCCGGCAACCTCAACCCGGATTCGTACAGCTTGTTCAACGGATTCATGCATCTGGGCTGCGGTCTGTCCGTCGGCGGCGCCGGTCTGGCAGCTGGCTACGCAATCGGCATCGTCGGTGACCACGGCGTTCGCTCGTACATGCAGCAGTCACGCATCTTCGTTGGCATGGTCTTGATTCTCATCTTCGGCGAGGTCCTCGGTTTGTACGGGTAAGTGGCACACCATCCAACCCCTTGCAGATGAGTGTTCTTGACGTGACGAGTGCTGACGCGTATGGTCTAGTTTGATCGTGGGCCTCATCATGAACACACGAGCACAGGCGTGAGTACGTCCAAGCGTTAGGAGCGAGAGGAGGAACAAAGTCGATGGGGAGTCCGACAACGGGGCCCATCGTCTGTAACTACACGTACACGAAGCTTTTTGCGAGCATTGGGACTGGCGTTATGGTCCTCCAGAAAGAGCCGCGGCAAGAGGAGGATGAATGGACCAGCACAAGCTGGTAGCTCCTCGATCTAGATCAAAATTTGTAAGACATGGAATTTGAGTGCACGATTGCTTCGTACTATTCCCCTTCGTCGTCCGCGGCCACCTTCTCTCCTCCTTTTGTAGCAATTTGTTCGTTTCCTTAGCCTCTGCGGCGCCAGCTGTCTGCACTGCTATCGCTGTCTTCAATTTTTGCACTTGAACTGCCGCGCTGTCCATGTTTGGCCCAAGACCTGACAGCCATCATGGCTGTAACAGCAGCCACAGCCTGTGATGAGAGCACCTAGTCATGAACCTCCCGCCATCCCTGCTTAGCACTTCGGCTCTCTCTAGCATCGCTACGTCTAGCTCCGAAGAACCGAAATGATCCCACAAACAGAGCCAATGTGTTCTCGCTCTCAACCAAGTACGCCAGCTGCGACTGCTGGTATTGCCCGTGGTCGCGTGGTCGGCCCGCTCTGGAAATTGATGTCTCACGAACTCGACTCAACGACTCTTCCCGCTTCGCTGCACGACAAGTCGTGATCGGAATTTTGGTGGGAATAGTCCGTCCGAGCCGGGAATAGCGTGGGGGGCAATGTCAAAGGTCATGGCCCAGACAGACACGCCGAGGGCGGTGGAGCCCGCTGTCGTTTTGCGATCAGCAGTTCGAAGTCGGCTGGCCCTACCGTCTACCTCCAGCATCTGCTCTTACCAAGCTTTCTCCGGGATTGAGAGCGCGCTGAGCATCCTTGTTTCCGGAGGATTCACTGCTGGACCGCCAGCGAGAGCGGGACAGTCGGGCACTTGAGGAACTGCGCCGGCACGTCTGGAGCGAGCATCCCGCCTGGTTTTGCTCTCCCCCTCTCACCTTGCGACGACATAGCGTGCAAGGCTGATGCCAAGCCTACGATGACGGAAGTGGACGCTCTTGAATTCTGGGGCTCCCGCCCTTGACGATGACCTTGTTACGCTGCAGGTCTTAAAAAAAGTGTAGCAGTGCTCGGCAGCGAGGGGCCGCATCGCGATCTATTTATCCTACAACCTTTCTTGCTATTCTTGCCATCCTGTGCAGCGGGTGGCGCCAACAGGACACGCTGGTCTTGCTGTCCAACACCGCCACCGGACTCCGTTCGCCCTGCTTATTTGCATCAGACTTCGTACCAGCACTTTTTTAATTTCATGACGGCCTGTTTCGTAAAGCGGTAAGAGGAAGCACCCAATAGCTGTTCTGTTTGGCACTCGCTGGGGAAACGTTTGTGGCTAAGCCCGGCACGGAGCTCTGCTATTACTCTCCACACACGAACCCTTGCGGGCTCCCTCTTCATTTCCTCTCCTGCAGAAGCAGCAGCACCAGCCGCTGAAGAAGCAGAGAGACAAAAAGACCAGAGAACAATCGAGGGGAGAGCGATTCCCTGAAGAGACAGAGAAAAAGAGTCGGAGAAAAAAAAACTATGACCTAGGCGGAATCGCATCCGCCGAACATCGCTCTGCAATAAAAGCTCCCTTTCCCCCCCGGTTCACCACCTTCCGTCGATCCAGCGATCCGAAGCTGCAATCCGTCTGAGTGTCTTTCACAAGACAACCGTTCGAGACGCCGACCAGCGACAGGCTCGCCATGGCCGCCGCGGCCATCAACACGTTGCGCGAGCTACCGCACAAGCTGCGCAAGGCGAGCAGCGAAGAGGTGTCCGGAGCGCGGAGGGAGTCGCATCATTCACCCAAACCGCCGCACGAGTCGCGCCACGAGCGCAAGGAGCACGAGCAGGAGCGCAACCAGATTTTGCAATGGGAGGCCGAGAAGCACACGCTGCGGCCGGAAGAGATCGTTCGGCGTGGAGACGAGAAGCATGTCGGCTTTTCGAGCCGCAGGTTGCGTTGCGACGACTTTGAGCTGAGGAAGACGCTAGGCACGGGTGCGTACGCTTTTGTTTATCCTCCTCCTCCTCCTCCTCCTCCTCCTCCTCCTCCTCCTCCTCCTCCTCCTTTTCTTCTTCTTCTTTTCTTCTTCTTCTTCTTCTTTCTCTTCTTCGTTCTCACACACGCGCGCCCGCGCACTGCTATACGCTCGCATGTCCTTCCTTCTCTATTCTCCTACAGGTTCTCGCCTGTGCAACCCTCCCGCACACCATTGGCATTAGATGAGTGCATCTTGGCTGATCGGAGCGCTTGGGCATTTGGCTCTGTAGGAACCTTTGCCCGTGTTTGGCTTGTCACCTTGCGCGCGGACACAAATACCACGAATCCGAAGGTCTTCGCACTGAAGATCCTGCGCAAGGCCGACGTCGTGCGTTTGAAGCAGGTCGAACACGTGCGAAACGAACGCAACATCCTCGCGGCCGTAGCAGGTCACCCCTTCATCACCTGCCTCGTCACCTCCTTCCAGGACCATGACTCGCTGTACATGCTGCTCGACTACTGCCCCGGTGGCGAGGTCTTCTCATACCTTCGCCGTGCCCGCCGCTTCAACGAGGAGACGTCCAGATTCTACGCGAGCGAGATCGTCCTCATCCTAGAGTTCCTGCACGAGCGCATGGGCGTTGCGTATCGCGATCTGAAACCGGAGAACATGCTCATCGACGCCGAGGGCCATCTGAAACTGGTGGACTTTGGATTTGCAAAGAAGATTGGCAAGCGTGAGTGTACACCTCGCCTTTGTGGTTGAGACGAATATTTGGTGACTAATCGGTGGTCTGCAGTCGAAACCTACACGCTCTGCGGTACCCCGGAGTATCTTGCGCCAGAGGTCATCAGAAACACAGGCCACGGTTACGCCGTTGACTGGTGGGCGCTTGGCATCCTCATCTACGAGTTCCTAGTCGGCCAACCGCCCTTCTGGGATCAGAACCCAATCAAAATATACGAACAGTAATTTCTCCGAGTCTGCCTAAGGGTAGAGGGCAAAGAAAAAGAGGCGCTGACACAGTATAGGATTGTCGAAGGCAAGATTCGCTTCCCATCCGCCATGCCAGACGCTGCGCGTGACATTATATCCCGCCTGTGCACGGTCGACGTGACCAAGCGATTGGGCAACATCAAGGGCGGTGCCCGCACTGTCAAGCAGCACGAGTGGTTTGCAGGTGTTAATTGGGACGACATGTACTACCGCCGATGTCGCGGGCCCATCATTCCGCACCTGAGCAGTCCCACCGACACGCGCAACTTCGACGAGTACGAGCCGGAGTCGGAGGATAGGGAGAAGTTTACCGACGAGATGAACAAGAAATATGAGGAGTTCTTTGCGGACTTTTGAGCGAGGTGACGTCTAGGACATGAGAGGCAGTCTGACGGCGACAAATGTTTTTAAGGGCATGGTGGATCAATACGATAGAGTTTGTTTGACGCATGACTTTAGTTCGCATCAGCGTGGCGATGGGGACAAATGGACGCAAGGAGGCAGGACGCCTACGGGGGCCACACCAGGCATCTGATCGAGGGCAGAGCCATCTGTAGAAAGGGCATCGACGGTACGATACTCACAAATAACAAAAAAGAACAGAGAAGAGAGGCGATCGCTCCGGCAAAACAAGAGCAGGACACTGGCTGTCTGAAACTCGACGTGAAAGGGAAGCGAGAAAAAGGAGGGGAGAGGAAAGAAAAATAATCCCTTTAATCCTATTGTACGATTTGCATCTTTTGACCGTGTGCGGCGGCTACGAGGTTCACATACTTGTCTGATTACGAATGTACTCCAAAACGAATCCTGGGCAATTGATTAAGAAAAATATTGCATTACATCCCTGTATCCGCCCTTTCTTTCTTCTTCTTCTTCTTTTTTTTTTTTTTTTTTTTTTCTTTTTCTCTCTGTGAGTCGACGAGCATGCCTCCTGCGCGCCGCGAAATGTCTTTGAACGCCATCTTTTGCCCGCTGTCGGCCGCAGTATAGCAAGCGCGGCCACCATCGTGAACAGCGCACGGCTTTTGCTTGGCATCGGTACCGTTTTTCGCCAGGTGTGAGTTAACTAGCGTTTGTGAAATGAGGGGCGGATGTGGAGGAGAGGGGGATGGGGTAAGGGTTACCCGCCGCAGAGGCCGCTTGTCACACCTCAGCACGGCCCAGACGACTTCTTATGTCCACGTATCGAGAGATGGCCCGCTACAAACTCCTCTCTTTTGACTTGTCGAACATTTTTTTTTTCATTTTCGAGACAGGGCGACGGGGCTCGCAGGTGCGCATGGTATGTGTCAAGGGCGCCCGTTTGGCTCATCATTTTTTTTTTTTTTCATATTTTTCTTTCCTCGTTCGACGGGAGTCGAGTCTTGGTCGGAACAGGGGTGGCGAGAATGGATCGGATGCGTCGCACTGCGAACAAAGCGGATCGCCCTGGCTAGCAGCGACTCACGTTGTGACGTTCGGATGTGACGTTCTTGCAAAAGTAGGCCGCCGGACTAGCTATCCTTGCAGTGAAAAGGTCTGAGGCTTCAAGGTGCGGGGTTGGCGAGGTTGGAGACAGACGTTCCCTCGCTTCCCTTCCCTCCCTCTCTCCCTAACCCCCTTTCTCCTCTCCCTCTTCTCTTTGCCTGGCGTGCCAGTGTCACAAGCCACTTACTAAGCCTTCCTCAAAAGAAGGCTCGGTTAAAGCAGATACAAGGGCGGGACATCACGGAGCAAGCGAGCGGACTAGCGGAGTATGAGTCGTCAAATTCGTTGATTTGTTGCTACGGACCAACCACTTGCACCTTGCCAACGCCTTTGATGTCATCACAAAACTGACCAAAACACGTTCAGCTCAACGGACTTCGAGGATCCTCTCCTCATTACGATTCAATTTCATCGTTGAATATCCAATCTGTAGTCATTGCCGGCCGTTAAGAGTTCGTTAATAATCGCGGAACAAAGCACGGACAGTCCGCCCGAACAATCGAATTTAATACTTCGATCTCAAAGATGATCGATGAGACATGCTTCGTGGAGATCATTCTGCTGGTTAACGTATGCTGTGCGGGCAGCTAGGTTGCCTCACTTTGCTGGAATCGTATATGCTTGAAAAAATGCCTTAGGACAAGACGCCTTTGCGTCGTTCATCAGCTCTAGAAATCGAACAAATCACTGGCAAGTCTGGTGTAATATATGATCCATTCGATGAATTTTTGGTCAACTTGTCCAATAGAGTATACCTTCACGTTGTTTTCGACGGTGTAGATTTTGGAGAAGTTGATTCGCGACTGCGGCTCCAGCGACTCACCATTTCGAAGCACAATTGGTATCGGATACTTCGTCAACCTCTCGCCTTCCACCAGCATTGGTGTTGTACCTTTCTCGTAGGCGATTGAATGATGATCCGCATCCGGCCGATTATGAGTTCCGCGTCGTTGGTACGTCGCAATGGGACTGTTGCAAAAGCTCAGCAGCTGAAGAGAAATGTTTGGCGAAAAACGGGTTGCAGCACTTACACACACAAGCTGTGGTGTGAAAAGGCTCGGATGACGATGAAGCGTCGGATTTCGGAGAAGACCCTCTCGCCATACCTCACCTGCGTAAAAGCGTTCTCCATTTCCAAGTCGCGGAGCGTATCGCTGATCCCCGTCGGCTCCGTCCAGAGGACTGCAAACACCTGTCCGGATTTAGAATCGCGAAATCTAAGCTTGAAGCGTATGGAGTCGCAACACGTGTGCAAGCATCAAATGATTGTAATTGATGAGCGTTTGAGGCCGTGTGGACTTACCCTTCCGGGTCTAAAGAATCTTCGAATAGACCTTGCAGAATTAAGCTTCTTGTATCCTACAGATATCAGCACTAGGATGCGCCATCATGCGACTCTGGGGCTTACTTGGGTCGAGTTCGAAGGTGTGCCTGGAGGTAATCAACTTGTCCTGCGGTCCCATTGGCTCCCGCTCATATTTTGAGTTCATATTGGCCTCGCCTTCCTCCTCCCCTCCTTCTTCTTCGCCTTCTTCTTCTCTCTCATCATCGCCGATCACGTCATTTTCATCTCTCATTTCGTCCTCATTATCATTGCCAACCATGGGCGTCCACTGAGATCCTGATTGAGTAAGTCCTCTCACAGATGTAGATGATGAAGCATTGTATGGATCCTGAAAGCTAACAGACGCCATGTTGAGGTAAGTGTTGGATGAATCATCGCCACTGGTCCCTGGAGTGTAAGGATTGGTATGTTGAGGCTGAGTGCTGTACGTTTCGCTTCTGGTATACTGATCACCACGTCTGGTCCATGGAACAGAACGATTGGCAGGCAGAGGCTGAGTGGTGTACGCTTCACTTATAGTATACTGCTGAGGAGGTGAAGAAACAAAAACGCTCTGATCCTGGGTCGGTGACGAGTGTTGCGCGAGTGGGCCGAGACTTTGGGTTGCTTGACCAAATTCATAGCTTGATGTGCTCAACCTGTGGCGTCGTGGTGTTCTAAAATTCTTAGACAGAAGTCCGCAGACATTTGGATAGACTTACACTTCATGTTCCTGACTTCTTGTATTTTCCTCGTACCTGTACTCCCATACTCCTTCGATGTTCCGCCTTGCTTGATAATATCTGCCTGTTGTCCTATCGAAGTGCCGGTACCAAGGTGTCGCCATTGTACAACATTGTTTAGAGAAAATCCGTTGCAAGACTAAACGTAAATTGACTAGAAGAAGCTATTCGAGTCGGATCTTGGACTAGTCCCAACAATAATGATAATATCACTATTCCTGTCTCTTGCGACAACGTCGGTGGAGAAGTTCGGCTTAAGTACCCAACCCCAGGGTTTTGAGCCGCATTCTTGTCGCTCTCGCTCTTCGCGCCGCCGTATAGGATGAGCATGTCATTAGCGTGAAAGGGAAGAAAAGGTGCGTCGCTAATGCGGATATCCTCGTGATTGCTGGCATCCTTGAGTGGTGTTTTTTAAACTGAGGATTCTTTGCGAAACAGCTCTAAAACAAATGATTGGCTGATTCCGACTTGCAGTCTGGCTGGCATCGTCCGTGCGCGTGCAAGTCAATAGCAGGGCAACGGTGCATAAAAGACACATGTTTCCTGAGAGGCTACCTCCTACGATACCGTCGGGCTTTGTTCAGGTCGACGTTTGCCCAAAATCGATGACTTGTTCTCAGCCTGCGTAAGCCACGAGGTGCTTCTTATTGAAACTTGGGCAGTCAATGTCTAGTTCCCTGGCAGAGAATCGAAACCCTGGATGTGAGACAGCGCTGTTAAGCCCCTGAAAATAGCAGAAGCTATTTCAAATTAGAATGAGCTGGCTTACCTTCCTGATATCACCGCCAACAACAACAGCCAAACTCAGCATTATCGTTCCACTACCATAGTCCCCTACATGAACCTATGGCGTCCGGAAATGATCTCAAGACAGTTGACGCAGATCTACGAAGAGAACAGCTTTATTCAGAAATCGGATCTTTGGTAAGGCAGCAAGATCGAGTTTTGATGCTGCAGGTTGAGGCTCAAATCAAACGAGAGGCACTCAAACATCTTCGAAGTTCCGTGGCAGATGAGTACAGCAAGATATCAGGCCACCTACGAGAGAGTCGGATCCAAGACAGGCTACCAGATTCCGTGCTGTTAGCACTATACCAGGATAAACTCGAATCTGCTCGAAACGAACTAGGACCCGCGGAAGAGGAATTTTCAGCGCTTGAATTTCGGTTAGTCAAAGAAGAGGGCATTTTAAAAAGAAAAGGCGAAAAAATTAGGACCTTGTGGCAGAGTTTTCCAGTCTCTGAAGCTGACTATCCTATGGACATATCCTTCGCAGATTGCGAGGATGAAGGCAGTCAGGAGGTGGTGCTGACGGAATTCTCATTCGCTAGTTCGACTGCAGAAGAGCAACATAGTTCCAGACCGTGCCTTAGTCATCCAGAACCAATAGTTGATGCTACAGGACGTCCACCTGACATTTCTCTTCCGTACTTTGATCCTCCACCTTATACGCAAGATCTTAACGCGACACCAAATTCCGTTCGAGCTACTCAAAGCCCTCGAATTGCAGGGCTCACTTTAGCAACTCCACCCACGCCCAGTCGAAAATCCGAGGATACGAAATTTCGGCGCCGCTTGGCAGAGACTGAGCCTGATCACGAACTGCCAGAGCTCTTTGGAATGTTTCTGAGCTCCACTGAGACAGATCCTCCCGAATTGTATGTCGACATCATCAACGATCTTCCCGAGCTTGCCAAGTCGGAGACTAATGCTGTGAAGCATCTGGAACCGATCTTGATAGACCAAATGCCACTGCGTATTTCGACCGTGCTTCATCATTTCGATAAATTCACTGGCACAGGTGAAGCATTTAAGCGATGGATGCTTCACCAGGTTCGAAAGTCTCCGCTGGATATGATACAATATCAAAGCTACGATGAAACTACGCTTATTGCTACCGTTAAATTGAGCGATCCGGATTTTGAAGGCTGGGTGCACGTTCAGACGAAGCCGCCACCGAGTATGACACACCAGGAAGTATACCAACCTAATTTGCCACCAGAGGTTCAGACTCCCAAGCTCTTCTTGAACATCTGGTGGTAGCTTTACTACATATGAACAGTTTGTAAGAGCGCATGAATATGGTGCTTTCTTTGCGCATCAAGGTCTGAATGTTTTTGGCCATGTGGAGAATATTCGAACTGCATTTGGCAACCCAATTAAACATCACGGATACTTGAATTAAAACCGCATGGTTCTTTTGCTGGTGGACACATATATATACAAGGCACAATTGGCCTTCTGCTCTATTTGGCACGATGATTGCAAGCTTATTTGACGTCGCAGACGAATACCGTACAGAATTATCGATTAGACCAAATTAACGCGAGTGATTATAACCACAGCTCAATCTGGAGAAATCCTAGCCTTCAACAGGCTGACAATGCTGGACTACTACGCGTTCTGAATAACACCTCTTGCTCTATTTTCTATGGTATTTTGACCCTTTCCCACGCTTGCATCACTCTCTTCACTGGTATTAAGTTTCATGTCGGTCAATTCACCATCAAGTAAGTTTAGATTTGGCTACATCACTAGTGCAAAGCCAGACACACGATTGCGTTGAAACTGCGATGCTTCGCGGGATGTAGCGAGGCATCCTCGGAGGGCAAGTGCGGATGAGTAGTTCACACTTCTTTGTTCACTCTGCCTAGTTAGTCCGGAATACCTCCTTAGAGTAGTCTTACCTTGAATTGTCGATCTGTTCGTTTGGCCATTCCGAGTACACAGACACTATTGGGAGCATCCACATCGTTTTAAGTATTGTTTTTGAGCAAGTCTTTTTCCGAAAATTTTTTGGTATATCAAGCAAAAAGGCGACCCCGGGCTAGCTTTTTTAAGAACTGCAATGCTAAAGCCTCGCGCCATCTTGCTTTGCTTGGCTTAATTTTCGCCTGAATATCCCAAAGTTATCAATTGATCACAAGAGCATGATGGAAGGCCTAATTAATCTCACATATCTCTTGATAAAACCATCACTATTAGCTTAATACGACAACTGAACGCTGTTTTGTTAACTCACGCCCACCAGCCATAGATATTAGACAATATCAAGTCCATACTTTGCTAGCTTGAGCCAAAATCTGCAGCAACTAATCCAGAACAATGAAGGGAATAAGCAGCTTCCAGGCGTGGCAGGATTGTTACTCACCGTTTCAGAAAGTTAAGGAAGCGTACTATGCACATCAAATATAGGCTTGACCGAAGGTCTTTGAGATAACAGGCCTCCAGTGAGACTTCGGTATCATCAGTTTCAATCATCATTTCCTAATGCTGGAAACTAATCTAAGGAATGAAGAATATGAATTTGATTAGATTGTTCAAAATGGAGACTATGCGTGCAGATCCGGAGAAATCGCAAATTTCAACATGAATATAGTTAGAAATCGATCTTATAACGCAAATCACTTATATTATCTTCAAGCAAGCGAGTATTAGGGTCCCATCAGATTTAGGCCGAAATCTTCGCCATTATATCAACCTCGTTCCCTCCTACTATCGGCAAAGCTAGCGGCCAAAAATCAACGAGTCCTCGTTTAGACTAGTTCTCATTCAAAATAGTGCACATACTTACAATGCAAATGCCAGTGATAGTTCTCTTAGATCCGCTACAAAATGCTCGTAGGACAATCCCATTTTCCTATTAAAGTAGCTTCAGTCAAAACATTGACAAGCTCTTGAATTATACTAGTCATAGGAACTCGGGAGAGATTACAGAACGATTTCATGACTCTAAGTAAGACCAAGTCCCGTTCTCCTGCTCAAAATACCCTGAGTTATATTTTGTAGTTGCTTTGACTTTCATACAATGTATTGACAATGACTTCGGTGAGGCCAGTATCGAACACCAAGGCGTCGGATCAAGCTCTCATGTTCATTTGCTTAAGTAGAAATCTTGTGGAATTTTTGATGCAGTACTTTGTCATGAACTTGAACTTCGGAAGTGTGAAAATATACCAGTCGCTCAAATTTTGATCTTTCAGCACGCATGTAGCATTTTATTCTAGGTGATAGATCGAACGTAATGCATCTGCGGAGAATACTTTCCGGTGCAGTCATCAGGTTTCCCCTTAGACTGCTTTGTAGTATCTCAATCTTTGAATACTGAGAGGGAAAATCAAAGAGTAACACCCTTATTACATTTTTATTTCACGACTACTTGGCCAAGCAGCCACGCATGTTACACTTGATTTAATGGACACCGAATGAGCAGCAGCTACGAATCAACGCAGTCAAGCGCAACTACGTAGACAGCGCATGCATTTGGTTAATTAAAAGGCTCTTCGGCTCCCCGTCAGACACATTGGTCCAAGAAGGTCCACAAGTCTTTGCACTAATCGCCAATCTACGTGAGAGACTCGCGCCTGCAACTCTCACCGCTTATCAGGCCATAGAGTCAGGGATAATGACGCATCCAAATCATTATCGCGTTTTCATTTATGCAGCTGTGGTGTCACGACTTCTCTGTAGGCGAGTACATTTTAAGATTTTCTCTCCAATTGGATGCCATTTTGCACATCCTTGTGAAAGTGTTGTTGAGGAGCTGTTCTGTACGAGCTCTTGTCCAGTGCGAGCTATTGCTCTTTATTTCGAGACTCTGGATCCTTGGATTTATTGGCGAACTACACTCTTGAGCTAGATTGCGAAGTAGCACACTAAACTTCTTGGCTTGTGACAATAAGTCATAAATTCAGTGCCTTGCACGTTGCGTGAGGCAGATACTCTACTTAGTACTTCCGGAATAGATATTTGCTTCACGTGTTAGAGGACATCACTTTCCAGGTTATTTAGGACCACTACAATTAGGGTGAGTTCGGTGATATGGCTAACTGTTTTCGTCACACCGGTCCGTCGCGCTCGGCATGACTGTGCGTCTATCTGTGTCAGTAACATATGTTGGCGAAGCAATCATAAGTCTTCATTCTTGATTAAGGCTTAAGCTACTGCAAGCTTCGAGCGGGGCTATACAAGTCGCCCTTTTCCCTCGTCTCGCCCATGTGGCCAACCTTAACAAGGCAATGCCTACTTATCATTAGGCTATTAGGGAAAATTCACATCTTTTATCTGCACGCTTGCGTAAGTTTCACTTGTGGTCTGCAATCAGATGCACCTTTGCTTGGATGGCGAAAGCCTGATTTCTTACGACATCGTGGCACATTTGGAAGATAAATCCACCACGAGCGAAGTAGCACGCAAGATATCATCTTGTCTCTCCATCAATTCTACAACAACGATATTTACTCATGAAGTGATGTTTTATCATGGAGAAGCTAAGAAATATCTTGGCTCAATCTTCACGCTAATATCAGTTGTTCTATCAACGACGGTCTCTTCAACACACACCCAAGGCCTCGAACCTGCCGTTCGTCTCTATAGTTAAAACCTCCTTTCACTCAAATATTTTCGCTTGTGACTCTCTGAGTTAACCTTTGGAATCCAATCTCTTCTCAGAGGCAACATGAAACCACGTTTGAGCTCAACTAGAACGACACACGCCATTCAGATAAGACGGATGACCTATATGCAAGACGTGTTCCACATCATCCTCACAGGATTGCCTCTGATTGAACAGCTCCCGGTACCAGATTACCAAATTAAGATGCGCCCCTTCGATTTTGCATTTCTCTGTTAAGTTTTCGAGATCTTAATGGATCCGGTTGCTGACGCGTAAGGAGATTCCAAAATGGTCTTCCAACATGCCCCGCACATCTGGAATTGATACTGTACCCACACTGCGATCTCGGACCTCCTGCTCCAGACATCCTTTAGCTTCAGGTACCCTCTGCACATCAGCACCGCGTTGGGCCACTCTTACGCCACATGAGGTCGAAGTAAACCCGGCGGCCTCGCTGTGGAAGCGATCAAAGTCCCTCAGTCCTGGGTGGGGCGCAATTACCCTAGATTTGCCATGCAGGAACCAAAAGTTTAATGCCACTACCAATGATCGCGCAAATGATGACACGGTGAAAACGCAACTGATGCCTGTGACATCCACCCCCAAATTTAACTGCTGCATCAGCATAAGTCGACCAGCATCCTCTCATCAAAGACGCCCTGTGCCTTTGTTTGCTCGACCGACTGTGGCCTTTCCTCTCGGACGTCTAGCTTGATTTTCGTACGGCATCTCAACAGATCAGCCACTTAGGAATTGACAAAACTCCCACAAAGCTGATTCCCAGCCCACATTTTACTGATTTTGGGCATTTTGGTACCGTAATTCCGTAAAATGCCCCCACTCTTTAGCATGGCTAATGTGACTCCTTCTGGATTCTGTTCATGTCCTTTCCGATCACTCCGGTAACGAGGAGTACAGAGCACGTGTAATACTTCGATAAAATGTCGTTCGTCATGTTTTGGAGTATATTCTCGCAGAGCATTTACGAGGCTGTTGGACGATGGAGAGAGTCAATATCGTATGAGAGACATAACTTTGTCATGTAGATGCTACCGCACTAAAACATCGTTCATTAGCACTTCTTGTTCCTTCCTTGACCTTGGAAGTGACAAACAAGCTTGATCAAATTCAAAGCTTTGCTACTGACAGGAATCATGATCATTTTTACAAGATTATATCACTGAGACCTTTCTGAACAGTTCTTTACATCAGGGAATTGAATTGACACGCCTTTCTCTAGACGGAGAGAAGGTGCACAGAGAGGGGGTAAGAAATGATTTCTTGTAATTTTATGAGTAGGAAAAGGCATATTCTCAATATGGATTTGAGTGAATGGGTTATATTTTAAGCTTACATATCAAGTTTCGTTACGCTCGTGTCTTAGCAGCTGAATAGTGCTTTGCTGTTCGCATAGTGAAATGCGCTTCGGACCAAAACTTGTCATCAGTCAGATTTCTCGTACGTATATCGGATATAGTGCAGAACTGCCTACAGCCTCAACTTATTCAACTTATTTTTGGATTTCAAACTGCTCGTTGTCCACAATTTCGTTGGATTTACCATACTATTCGCGCTTCCATATGAGCGACTCCTCTTCTACCTTTCCTATCTCTCTCATCTTGAGCTTGTGTTCGACTGAGTAGATCTGACAAAAGTTAATCCTAGCTGTTGGTTGAGACAGCTTTCTTGAGGTTTTGTGCAGATTTTATTGGCAGTCTAATGATGTTCTCGTCTGGTAGCGGTGTGGGTAGGTACGG